CTAATAATTTACATGTACTTGTACATTCAATTTAAAGTCTGGTAAAAAAAAATTTAAAAAAGAATTTTCACTTGATTTCCTTTCGCTACCAGACGACAAACTATATCCTCCACTGCTTCATGTCTACCAGTACTGTCTAAATTATGAAGATGATCTCAGATCAGGTTTCTCTATTTCACCTACATGTAGTACTAGTAGATCTATGTAGATCTATGTAAACCAATATCCCTCATTAATCATGTGGGAGTGATGTATGTACAGGAAACAAAACTAAACTGACATTGCAAGGAAGGATATTAAAAGATGGATGTATTGTTCTGCTTTCTATACTAGTAACGTATCAAGTGTCGATGTTTGCACCGATACTATGTCAAGATGCTCTATTGTCTTTAAAGTTCAAGCTTAACTTAATGAAAGGCCAGCACAAGAGGAAGCACATTCATTTAAATGTAAAATGTCAACGCTATTTTTGCACTTGAGATCTTACGGATTTGAAGGTAATCTCATAATAACATGACCTCAATGACTTCTGTAGAATCATCTTCAGGCAATCTCAACAGCCTTGTCCACCACATTTTGAAATGTGAAGCAATATTTGGTGTATTGTAAGTCCAACCATGATAATTATGGGATATTATAGGGTGATGTACATGTATGTGACCGTCTATGATTGGTAGCCTCAAATTTACTGTAACTGCAGATAATCTACACATTAACATGTACTTTTAGGCACAAGATAATAATACATTAAATTTATTTTTGCCGATCATTTCTTCCTCGAGGAGGAGGGGGGGGGGGGAGGGGAGTTGGCCCATATTCAAAGTTTGGGTCTACATGACACATGCCCCAATTCCCAACTAAAGTTGAAAACCACAAAATTTATCACATGTATCCTAAATTCTGGCTGTCTGCTGTGGTTTTCAAGTTGTTTGGTATCAAATGTAGGCTTACACTGTACATGTTACCATGTAGCCTATTCCATTCACACTATGACTCCAGTCTAGCCAATGTCTGCATTAGTTTTCCAGTTACATGTACCAGGAAGGCGGTGAATGATCAACCACCATAACAGCAGGAACCGTATAGAAATCTAAACCTAAATTACAAACATACATGAAGACCTGTAACAGAGTGCCTGAGACAATTGCTAGAAGAACTATGCCTGCCTGGGCAGTGGGAGACCATAAGAATCCCATTTTTAATATATCAAATCAATCCATAGTCGTTGTGAATAAGCCACTTCAGAGATACTACATGTATGTGCGCATGGGCAGATAAAGGTCCTTCGTACAAAATCATAAAACCAATCGAGAGTCGAGACACGTGTTCATGAAAGTTATTTAATCATTATGCACTGACGGTTTTATTACATGTATATGATACAAAGGTGGAAGACTTCATGTCAAGGGAGCAAACAAAAGATTTCAGTCAAGCACTTCTATCACTTTGGCAGTGATTATTCTGAAATACACAAAGTAGGACTTCTCCATGTTTAAAAGATATGTGGGTGTGGGCATGTGGGTGTCATGTGTACAAGTGCTATCTTTGAAGTGGCATATTGAAGGCGCAAATAAAATTCTTCATGTTTGCTAATGATAATCGGATAGTCCATTTGAAATTTTTCAAAGACAAAGTACACCTACATGAGAAAAAGACAAGTAAACAACATAAAATGTGCAATCCCATGAAAGAAACAATGAGCATAGTTCTACTATGATCTCTCTTTTGTTTAATTCCTTTTACAAGACCCATAAAAGGGGCAGGCCTATTGAATCAACATATGACTGGCAAAGAAAAACCTCTGACTGAAACATGAAAATGAAAGAACGACACCAACCCCTTTTCAAAGAACACCTACATAAAAAAGACAAGTATGACACGTACAATCCCATGAAAGAAACAATGAGCATCCATGTGTAGGTCTACCATGGTCTCTATAAATAAAATGATGCCCCCCCCCCTTTTTTTGATGCTTTTACAAGACCCGTAAAAAGGGCAGGCCCATTGAATAAACATATGACTGACATAGAAAAACCTCCGACTGAAACATGGAAATGAAAGAACGACACCAGCCCCTTATCAAATTGCAGAATAAATGTTTTGCAAACTCCGCTCTGCAAACATTGCCCTCTGGTTGGTTCTATGAGTTAAAAGGCAGTAGGTTGTCAGGTGAGCTTTGAATGATTATGAAATGTTGAATCAGTGGTGCATGTTGCACATACATGTACAGCTTTGTTTGCTATGGTGAAGTCGAAAAGTGTATTTACTTATCACCACCATGCAAGTCTGCAATGGATGAATCATACAGCTAGCCAGCCAGCCAGCCAGCCAGCCATCATACTTCATAGGGTCTGGTGTAGACCTGTACATGTATGAAAGCATAGTAGGCCTACTCAGGATTCCTTTTGTGGATATCTTTGAGGGAACATAGATGGATTCAACATGCACATACCATATGACCATTCTGTACATGTACATGTATGTAGTATACATTATGAACTGTCTGTAGGATAATGATTTTGATTTGCAAGAGCTACATTTACATCATGTACAGTACATCCTAGTCAAACTACAACTTTGTTTTAACAGCTAATTGTACGGTATGTACATGTAGATACTTGTATAGTAGGCATACATGTTTGTGCATGGCTAAAATTTAGGAGCCAAAATCCTTTATATCATTTTTGTTTTCAATAATTCACACATTCTGCAAATATTAACAAGATTCATTAATTTACATACTCTTGATATATATATGTAAAATTCATTAATTTCATTTCCTGACATACAGTAGATGGATTCAACATGCTTACATGTACATACTGTATGTATTCTGTACAATATGACTAATTACCAACAACCTTCTTATGAAACTTTATGTCCATATAGAGTTACATGTGACTAATCAAGTGATTGTTACTCTACAGTGGTACGCGCACGATGCCTTCTCTCTAGATGTGGAGCCTTGCAGTATACTTACAAAACAAACATATCACATGCTGGAATCAGGACACAAGGAAATGAACAACATCCCCAATAATTTCCTTGGACATGTTTAGATGACCAATACAATAACACCCAAGGTCAGCATTTAATGCAATGAAACCTGGATCACTGATAGTACAGTGCAGGGTCCATTAATCAAAACATATTAAGAGTCACCTTTCAGTCGTTATCATTGGATTATCATTGCATTGTCTTTTGATCTAGAATGCTATAAATTGAATATAATGTAAATGTGAATTAGAGAATACTTAACGAGTGCAAAATGCCTAGCAGAGTTCTCTACAGTACATCGTACAAGGCTAGACTAGACCTAGTATCATACATGTACATGTAGGAGCAATATCTATTTATTTCTATTTTTTCTTCACTGAGGTACATTGTACATGAGCCAGTGATCTCACATAAGTATTCAAACTCGTGCCCACATACCCCCCCCCCCCCCCCCCCCCTGTAATTGAGGGATAGCAAGGATTAGTCTAGGGAGGATCTTCATGTAACTCAAGGGAGCTCTGCTGCCCTCAAAGGTTCATTCGGTAGCAGTAGAGCTCTCTAGAGTTTAGAGTAGATCGTACTACAGGAAGGGGAAGATTACTATGATTACTTGTGAAATTTTTATTAACTTGGAGCAAAATTGACATTCTGTGAAAACCATAATCAAGATTAGCATATATATACAAATAGAGGTTGTGCAAATAATATGCACTTTCTCACAGGATTCATGGCAAACTTCTGGACAGTATGACTGCATACCGTAACGATGGTGGGGTGCGAGCGCGTGCACAAGTGTGAATTTACCGAATGTAATCTCAGACCTTCATTAAATTAATGTACATGTAAGCAATTCATCGTTTTCTAATGGCCTAATGTACACGTCCGTTCACTGTCTATTTTCATGAAATCTGGAGGTTTTTTTTTAGTATGGTGTTGGTAAAAGTACCAGCCACTCCTTTTTTCAGTAGAGGCGCTGGTCCGAGAATAAGGATCGTCTGCTTAAACGAGTATCGTCTTCGTAAACGCGGACAGATATCTCCGCATATATAAGGATTGTCCGCATTTTTCGCTGACGATTCCGATTTCCGATCCACGCAATGATTTTCTTGAATCATTTTACAATGACTTTGTACAGAGACTTTCATGTTATGAGCGATTAATCCTCGGGAAGACGGACAACCCATAAAAGTAGACGGTGAACAGTAGGGGGGCTGGTCCGACAATGAGGATCGTCAAAACGTGGACAAAATGTGTCCTCAAAAATAAGGACCGTCTGCATTTTCGCGGACGTTTTTTTTCATCGTCACTCTGCGCGTTTCAGGTTACCAAATCGACCGCTGGTGATGCAAAATATGGATTCCCTCATGGGAAAATAACCCTAGTTCACCGTCTACTCTTATGGCTTGTCCATCTTCCCAAGGATTTATTGCTCATAATGTGAAAGTCTCTGTACAAAGTCAATGTAAAATGCATCAAGAAAATCATCGCTGAATCTGTTTTTCGCATCGTTAACGCGCCGATCAAAAATATGAAGGGTCTGCAAAAATGAGGACGATCATTATTTTTTAGGACGCATCAGTCCACGTTTACAAGGATATCCTCGTTTATGCAGATGATCCTCATCTCGGACCAGCGCCCCACGTTTTGAGGCACTTCACAATCATTTTGAAGCGCCAATTTTGGGGGGCTTCAATATTACACCATATCACAGACACTGATAACACGTAGGGCCATGCATCTCAGATTTGTAAAACTTAAGTGGAAACATTGTTCAACAATTCACAATAACAATCATAAGCAGGATATTAAAAGTCTCACAATCACAAGCACACACAATTCACAAGCCGGTCGAGTTTCACCTGAACAAAAAAACAGCCGACGTTTCACCCGTCAATATCTTTTCATGTTACCAAATCATTCGTATGTTCCAACCATGATTCAAGTCAATTTCACATGCATTTACATTCATAAAATAGAAAATATGAACAGAAAATCGTACTTACAGAGTGCATTCCAATGACTGGATAGCATTTAAGCTTCGAATAAACAACTTCCCAGGAAAGCACAGCTCGCAGCATTATACGTACGGACCATGGCCGTTTTACGTTCGGTATGCTACATCCATGTCATGACGTCGTACTGCGCTGCTGATTTCGCGATTATCGTCAGAAATATGAGTGGAATGTCGCCACCTCTCGTCAATAGTCCGCACATGTTTTATGGGTAATTTCTTTTTCTTTTCTACAGTAATATTAGCTTTGCCATATGAGGTATTTTCCAGCTCCAAAGAATATGGAGAATTTTGTCAAGAAAGAAAACAAAAATCAGCGCAAGATAATATGAGCAGGAGCACAGGAATAACTCTATACCATAGCTCTACAGTGTAGTTCTTACACCCCCATCCATGTTTTCTCTAATCAACAAATAATTAAAAGCGCATCCCTACAACAATAATTTCCTCACGTAGCTCTAAATGGAAATTGTCCATCCAATTTCATTGTGCTTGAAATGCCTCTGTTTTGCGCCTACTACCCTACTACCATTCTGTTTATACATCTACCTTGTTTGGCGTTCAACAATAAGGGATAGAGCAACGTCGAGGTCGATCTGGCGCTGTTCAGTGGCTGCCGGGCTCACGATCAATTGGGCAAAACGAATTTCCATTTTCGGTTTAACTTAATACAATTTGGAGTGGACTTTAAAAGATTATTAGTATTATTATCATTATTATTATATATCATCAGTTTGGTCGCCCATATAGGTTTCTTTCCTGAGGCCGCCATCACGTTCAACTCTCCTGCATTTTTCAATTTTGAAATGATTTGTCAACTCTTTATTTTATTTTCAAACGTATAATTATTCAATTGTTTTATATTATGATATAGTAATAATAATAATAATTACATTTATAGAGCGCTTTATACAGGAGTTTCTAAGCGCACAGGTGGTGCTGTCTAACTTAGTATAATTATTTAACATTGAATAGCTTAAAACCAACAAAATGAAATAAAATATTACTAATACAATACAATTCAGTTGAATGGAATTGTGTGAGCCTCCAGTATACTATAACTGATTAAAAAGGTGGGTTTTGAGAAGGGTGATATGATATAATATAGGTAGTTCAACTTGGTTAATAATTTATATGTACTTAGTTTGTATAAATATTTATTTCTAGTATCTAAAATTGCAGCAAAAAAATCAAACAAACAAAAAATACTGCGTTCTTAAGAATATCTTTAAATGCTGATCTCTCTCTCTCTCTTTCTCTTTCATTTTCACTCCGTTCCTTTTTCTCCCCCCCCCCCCCCCTCTTTCTCTCTCTCTCACTCTCTCTTCTCTTTTTTATATTTTGCATCACTCTTTTATCACTGCATGGTGCTATCCGGTGCTATCTCACTCTACTATCACCGCGAAACTTCTTACTATCCCATTTGAGCATTTTAGTAAGGTAAAAAGGGGTTAAAAATCAATCTATATTTGAGAGTTAACAACAGCAATGACAAGCAATGAAAAAGGGGAACGAAAAAATAGCATTATAACCGAGTATCAAACCCCGGTATACCTTCCAACTACGTGGTGATCGCCTTTGCACAAGACTACTGTGTCTTACTGACTGCTAATCTCTATTTATTTTCTTCTCTATGATGTTGGATGGAGTCAGAAAGACAAAATTTGGTAATGATAAAAAGATATCAAGTGATGCTATTCTTCTTAATTTGACTTGATTACAAAATATGATGAAATATTTTTTCTCTCTTTTTTGTGTGTGGATACCTTTAAATAAATATTTGGCCAAGTCAATATTATGGACTTAAAATAAATAAATAATCTTTGCATTGTGAAGCGATCAGTTTTGATCCACAAGATTACTCTGCTTTACTGCTATAGTAGGGTTCCCTTCTAGTTGTTAACACTTTCTGATGTCAATGACTTTACAAAAAATACCGGTTTACTGATTTTACGCTTTCGGAAGACATGATGATGATTATTTGTATAATCCGATGTTGTCAAGATTGCCCGTAAAAGCGTTCTTTTCACTAGCAACTGATAGTGATTATTATTTATTTTTTAAACTGTCGAATCGAAGTGTATGTCAATAGGCCGCTTCGTAGCTACCTGACATAGTACGAATAACAGAAAACGGGTCTTTTTAATTCAGTATGCGTCGAATTCCCTAACATGGCACCAATGAATAAGCCAGTTCATAGATACAATCTGCGCATGGGCAGATAAAGGTCATTTATACCAAAATGGTAAAACCCACAGAGATTAATACTGGATATGCGCTCATGAAAGTTATGTAACATTATTCATTTATGCACCAACGTTACATTCTATGATACGCAGGTGGAAGTATTCTTTTCAAGAGGTCAAACAAAAGGTATTCATGAAGCACATCTCGGACTTAAAAAATCCTCTGTGTGCCCATGCCTTGAGCCATAATGCATGGCCGTCCAGAGGATTTTTTATGTTGGGGACCGGGGTAAAATGCAATAAATTATTGAAAATTTATTGCATTTTCTGGTTTTTTTTTTAAATTTATGGAAACTGCCCCCTACCCTGGCCCCCGCTGCGCACAGCCATGGTTCAGTGACAAAGCAATGGCCTCGTAACTGTGAGGCTCCAGGATCAAAACCGTGTCGATGTGCTATATTAGTGCCCTTTTGTGGGGTATTAATCCTTATAACTGTCATTTATGGCTTAAGGGCGTAGTTCCCCTAGTTGATAAGCATAGTAGCATACACATGCCTCAGCAGTCACGCAAAACACACATTAGCACATTATTATTCAATAAAATTTGAGAATGTTTCCTATTATCTAGATCTATTATTTTTAAATTATTTTAAAAATAATTCCAGAAATTGGGGTAAAACAAAAATATTCCAACTATATGATCGACAGTGTATGAAGCAGCAAGGAGAGACTTGTAATTCCGGAGCCATATGAGAGTATTTATTATCTCCAAACTTTGGAGAATCAAATTTGGTCACATCATTATGAACTTCCACATATGTAAAACACAATGAAGAGAGAGCCAGCAAGAAAGAGGGTCTTGATCAATTGGTGATCAAAACTGAACTCTTTTCTTTTTTTCTTCAGAAAGCTAGAACATGTAATATTTATACAGAAGGATACAAGTAATATGAGGGTAGGTTACGTTGTATCAAAGGGACAAAGACATGAATGAGGGCCACCAAAACAATGGACAACTTGGTAGTTTTATGTATGGGGCTTAAACATTATAGAGGTGGTCTTTCCTGTGGAGTTGATTAAGATTGCACTTGGTCTTTCTAAGGGGAAGGATTATAAAGATATAAACTTGGCTTTTAAGTGCATCTCAAACTAGGCATCTTGACAGGGTATAAATATGAGGGTACTTCATAATTAACTGGGTTTTGGGACAATACTACACGACCTCCCCTTTCTTTGGAAAATGAGGCACTCATTCCTTATTAAAGAATAATAAACTGATGTATAAAGAATGAAATAGCTGAAAATTATTTTTCATTTTTCCCCTAAGAATTCAAACTTCTAGAACCTCTAACGGGCTCTAACGATTACCAAATTAACGGTTATTGTTATTAGCTGCACTCTCCCTTTCATAAGCATTGAGTTTTTCGTCCGCCCCATAAATCACATGGAGAGACATATTCGGGGAATATCGGGTAGCTTCGGGTTTCCGACCAAGACTCTCGGCCAAGCTTCGAGTGTAGTGCGGCGAATTACCGCAACATAGACCCACATAGGGAATGCCTAGTTCGGCGCAGCGCTTTCCGAAGTTGACGATATCATTCCGAGTGCACAGATGACAATCAAGGTCAACAGGGAAGCAAAGTTTTCCTGCAAGATGAAAAGAAGAACAGGTATAAATCATTTCATTTTCATTCTTTTAATAGGGTTTTTCATTCAGTATCAAATCTGTTCATCCACGAAACCATGTGATGTACAACAAAATACAGACAAGGAACATATTACAAATTGACAACAACAATAACAATAACAACATTACTACCAAATGAATCAGAGCAACTGAACCTATACACAATTAAATTTGAACGAGAAAATTAGAATGTTGCACAAGAAAAGAGGAACTAAGGGAGAGGGGTAAGGACGAGGAAAGAGGAAAGATAGAGGGATTGATTCAGGATTGTCAAAAAGGGATAGGGAGCACATTTCTCTAGTCAGTAATTTTACAAGGCATACTATTTCTGAAACCTCGAACGGACACAAGTCAGAAAATCTTTAACAAACCCCAAAAAGCTTTGGATTTGTCACAATCGTCATCTGCTAATATTTATCTGGGAAGCTAAAGATTTTTCAAACTTTAAAAAGGTGGAATCAGCCGAATATTCCTACAGGCCCTTCAGAGGGTCGCATTTTCCTTCTTCCAATGAATAATACTAGTATCTGTGTCTCATGTCTATAGGGGGCCACCGTCACCTCCCCTTCCCCGATCCACATATAAATAAAGTAAAAGCCTGGCAACATAAGAGACGTCGCTATTTCCCAGCCTCGGGTGACGCCATGCCAAAGACGCAGCCCACCTCCGCCGAAATCCTCCAACGGGTATTTTCAATTTATTATGATGCTGTTTATTTCATCCTTCGAGGCGTTCATGTGATTTCTCAAATTCTTTTTTGATCAACTGACAGTATACACTGCCCATAAAATATTTATGAATTTATAAACTATTCCATATGAACCGATGCTCTCGAAATTGAAGACGCAGCCCGCCTCCGCCGAAAAAAATGCTGGACATTTTCCAACGGTTATTGTATATCTCATGCGGTTGTAAACATAGTGACGGGTCCCTTCAGGGGCGGTGGGGCGTTTTTGAAAGTGCAAGGGCTGAACCGACCCGGGACGGGCCCAGAAGCATGATTATATGTGTAGGGGGGGGGGGGGGGTGCTCCAGGGGCTATGATGGGCTACTGTTACATGCAAGATCAGCTATTTTCTTCCCGGGGGTAGGGGCAAACCCGGGGACTGCATAATTAAAGGGAAAATAACGACCTCAGATGTATTGATAGCAACTAAACGGAGGAAAAATCAAACTTTGCATTCTACCGACGCACTACGACAATTTACAATTCTTTTCGCGAGGGAGCACATCGACTGAGCAAGACATTTGATCAGACATGCTCCGCGCCCCATGCCCTTCATCCTTCAATGTATTCACTGCTCACGCAGCTCACCTAAGCAGTTCAGAATAATACACACTGCATTGCACATGTGGTGTCCTTTCTAATGTGTTATGAGGCGCGCTAAAGGTAATGGACTCGAAATCATAATTCGAATCACTGTTTACATTGCTTTTTCTTGCGATCAGTTTTTGTGTGATGTCATTCTCACATCGCCTCAACGACGGAACTATTAGCTGACATATACCACGCTTCAAACGCCGACCCTGAAAGATTTCAAAATCACCTTTCAACCAATAATATGATAGTTATAATCCTGTGAACAGTTGAGATGAGATGAAACTGTGAGGGCTTGGGTTAAAAAATCAGTGCGGAAGCGTCCTTGGAAAAATGAAACGCTAGTCCTTATTGTATCGAGTCCTATACGAATGTAATACAAAAACATGTTTTTAATATATATAACCGCTACTTGTACTTTGGCAGATGATATATCAATATAAATATACTCTAACACATACGATGGAGTCACCCTACTAAAATAAGACTGATGAATGCAGGTATGAATGAATGAATAAATAAATAAATGGGGCCTGTCACCACGAAATGAGTCCAGTTGGTCAAAATTTTTATTCCTGTTTTTAAGTATTATATGAATCTATATTAAGTAAGCTTTAAATTAAGGGGTCACACATTAAAATTGATAAATTATATCCAGAAATATGAACAAAAACCTAATTGGACTTTATAAACAATGGGATTACCCAGTTTTGAGATAATTAGGTGTAAAGTTAATGATGCGTAACATAGCCTATATTATTTGCCAAAAAATGTTAGAAGGAGATATTTTCGTGACCTAAGCTCTGGGGACATAAACTACAAGACATTAATAAGTCGATTTTTGGAAAAATCTTAAATGTGGTAGGTGGGTCAATTTTCAGTACATACACACTATACATCGCTATTACTACGATTGAGCCTAATGCGACACTGGACTCATTTCGTGGTGACTGGCCCCAAATAAATACAACTTGAGAAAGGACTGTACCCGTCTTGGTGTCTGTCAGAGTCATGAAGGTGGGTTCTTCCTGTATTGTCCTATATGGTACAGGTAACACTGCCAATGGAACCTGCATCGATGAAAAAAAATTATCAGTGACGTAGCTACGTGGCATGAGGGATACATGCCCTCACCAATCGAATGGCGAAGATAAATAGAGAGAAATCGAGAGAAAGAAAGCAGAAGAAAATAATAACATAGCGCTTGTACACATAATATATGTCATATTCAATGGTTTCACATCGCTTCACAGAGTTCAAACAAATGAACATACAAGTAGCAATGGTTAATGAGAATCACTGAACAGGAGAGTTTTGAGAGCCTTCTTAAAGACATCTAATGAAGGAGACAAGCGGACAAAAAAAAGAAACGTAATAAAGAATTTCGACCTATCATGTTCTCTCCCAAAATTTATAAAGTCAACGGGTATATCATGGGTGGAGAAACCCTGTTTCTTAGAGGTTCAATGATTTGAGATAGGGAGTATACATACACGAACATAATAAAGGGACACACACAGGGGCGGCCGAGCGACTTCCAAAGTGGGGGGGGGGGCACCAACAAAAAAGGGCACTTTCTGGAAAAAAAGGGCACCTACAGTGGGAAATCTCAAAGCGAAAATATACAATTTTTTAGACATTGGTATATACCCCTACATTGCGATTACATTATCAGGGATGATTTCAATATTTGTTTCTCTTCATACATCATACAAGATATCGCTTAAGCATCATACTTTACAGTTGGGTGTGATGTCTGAATATGCATTTACGAGCGAGCGAAGCGAGCGAGAAAAATTTTAAAGATCTGTGAGGTCGCAGTGTGAAAAATTACATCTTATAGAGAGGAAAAAGCCAATCGTGATGGGGTTATAAGCACATTCTCATAACGGAAGACTGAAAAGACCTTTGATAAGTAACATAATTATATCATCTTTAAATGCGAGCGAGCGCAGCGAGCGAACTTTGGGGGAAATTGCTCTTAGTCGCTTTAAATAAGGGGCACGTTTAATGATTACATGAAAAGGGGACAATTATCGAAAGGGATAAGACACTTATTAGAAAAGAAAAGGAGCACGTGTCAAAGTACAAAGGATAATTATAAGGGTGAAAATGAGGCATTTTTTTCACCTGAAAAGAGGCACTCACCAGTGATGAAAAAGAGGCGTTTACGAAAATGGGAAATAGGCATTTGTTGACAAAAAAGGGACACCCATCAGATTTTGATAGGGGCATTTATAAGAGGTGAAAAGGGAATAGGTCCCTTATTAGAAAGGAAAAGGGGCACGTATCATTATTAAAAGGGGAATTATCAGAGTTGAAAGGGGCACTGACCAGATATGTAAAGGGGCACTTATGAAAATGTAAAAGGAGCACTTATAATAAAGGAAAATGTGCATTTGGTGAATGAAAAGGGGGCACTGTTCAGATTTTTAAAAGGGGCAGTTATGAGAAGGGGAAGGAGCTCTTTCTTTTTAACGGGGGCACTTATCATAAGGAAAAGGGACACTTATTAGAAAGGGAAAGGGGTAGTTGTGAGAAGGGGAAGGAGCTCTCTCTTTTTAATGGGGGCACTTATCATAAGGAAAAGGGGCACTTATTCGAAAAAAAGAGGGGCACATGTTAAAATGAAAGGTGTGCTCATCCGATTTAAAAAAAGGGGTAGTTATTAAAAGGAGAAGGGGCACTTCTTACAAAGGAAAAAAGGGGAAGTTGTCAAAGTAAAAGGAGCACCTCTCAGTTTTGAATAAGGCAATAAGGTGAAGGGGGCACTTATTAAAAGTGAAAAGGGGCACTTCTCGTACCTGAAAAGAGGCACTTACTAGAGATTAAAAAGGGGCACTTATTCAAGATAATTTCAAGATTGATGAGAATGGAAAATGGACACTTATTGCAAAGGAAAATGGGAAGATGTCGAAGGAAAAAGGGCACGTGTCAAAAATAAAAAGGGCACTCGTCAGAGGTGAAAAGGGGGAAGGGACACTTTTACTGAGTAATAGGGGCACTTGTCAAAGTAAAAGGGGCACCTTTCCTATGTAAAAGGGGCACTTTTCCTATCTAAAAAGGGGCACTTTTGGGGTATCTGAAAAAGTGGGGGGGGGCACTGTGCCCCCCCCCCCCCCTGCCCCCCCCCCCCCCGGGAGGGCCGCCTCTGGACACACATAAATAAAAAAATAAAAAAAACATAATGGAGAGACAAATAATCAGATGCCGCCGCATATTATGTTTATGTTTTATGATAATGGATTGTAAAAGAAATGTAAGATATTTTTCGTATATTAAGGTGTTATTAACATTTTAGGCGACGTGACCTCAGATGACGTAACGCATTCGCTGCCCGCGAGAAGACTGTCATTGACAACACACACATAGCTCTTATACGGCCTTTGTATGGATAGCCGAAGATAGATTGATTTGGTTTAATATTTGAGCTGGTGTCGAACTAATAATCCAATACGTCAGGAGCAGTAGAAATGTTAATTTGTCTATTGAAAAGCGACATGTCTAAACAAGGGACAGTAAACCTTAATTCCAGCTTTCTTGGCGTCTTCCAAGAGTGGTAGAATGGTGTCGGGACCCCGAGAACAGTTGAAACCGACCACATCGGCTCCTGCTTCTTCCAGTTTTCGTAAGGCTTCCGTCGCCTCCACTTTATCGTTAGTACATAGCTTTCCATCCTCATCTCGTGCTATTTGAACTGTGAGGGTAACTACAGCTGGAAGTCCTGCCATCAAAAATGAGGGAGTTTGAAACAAAAATCTACTCAGTCAGTCAATGATAGTCCACGATGAGACCGATACATTATCTAATTTAACTTTCGACTAGTTGTGAGAAGATCCATACAAATCATAGCCCATAGTTAGTCTATATTTTCCTGAAACATCAGTAATGCTTAACCTTCGATTTTTGTTTAACCTTCTGAATCGCTGTCAAAAGCTGTAAGAAGGTAAATGAGTGAAAAGCTTTACGTCATTTTAATCTTCCGTCTCTTTTATCTTCGGTCTTTTGAAACTTTTGACTAGCTATCCGAAGCTGTAATAAGGTCCATGAGAGAGAAGCCATCCGTCATGTAAGTCTTCGGTCTGGGGGAGCAAGGATATATTGAACCGTCAGTCCTTCAAACCTTTCGACTCGTCAGAAGTTGGTTCACGAGGGTTCACAAGTCAGAACTTTCGGTCTCATTATTATATATGGGCAAGTTCAAGCTTTTTCGTCCATGACTGTGTTACAGACGACATCCAATTTTATTATATATGATTATTGTGTCAAACTGGTAGCCCTACTAAAACCTTGATAAAAAATATCAAGTCATTATATTTTTTATATTAATTCATGTTCATGATTCCATGAATTAATTTAATATTATCTTGTAATGTATGGTGCATACCGTAAGATGGGAGTATACATGTTCTTCCACTATTGAGGTTTTATCAAGTTACCTTTGCCATACATTTTGATAGCTTCGAGAGCAAGCATAGCTTCTCCTAGGTTTACTAATGTCTCGGCCACGATGAAGTCAGCTCCTTCCTCTGCCGCCCATTCTACTTGCTCCTGTCAAAACAGATAATTATAAAACAACCAAAATCATCAACATGTTAAAGACATTCTCTGGGCAGGTATATTTGTACGTTGGTTTATTTGTATGCTCATTTTTTTTCTTCTTCTATATTTTGAAATTGGGTATAATTTTTAGGGAAATGGTATCATCAAATCAACTATCAAATAGCAAAGCTTTGATAAAGGTATATCAAATACTCTTCATAAAAATACATTTAAGCAACACATCTATAGCGTGAATTATCGCACAGCACTAAAACAATGGTGATAAAATATCGAAGATCTTGTTACCTAAGCACCTTTTGGTTCATAGAACATGGTCTCATGATGCCTGATGGCTACAAAAATACTATTTACTCGTTTTTTATATATAGATTTCAGAAAAGTATTATACACTTTTTTTGGGGGGCGGGGGCGGGGGTCGATTTTGATGGGGCATCCACCCAACCGCCCCTTCAGGTAATCCCCTGGTGGTCGGTCTCTTTTTGTCCTACCTTAAACATGTCTTTGATCAAGGCAGTCTTAGCATCGTCCCCAGGTGTGTATTGTCCGGTGTTGCAGATATCACCACACATCAATGTCCCTGTCTCATCAGCCACCTCTCTCGCCATCCTTAGCGCTAGACGATTGGCCTCCTCTAAGTCGTCCGCGCGGGACACTAGAGACATTTTGGAACGGTGCGCGTAGTACTTTAATGATAAAAACATTAATACGAATCAAAAGTATATATCTCTTTGCTTGCAAACATTAAGCAGTCAATCGTCGCCCCTTTCTTACTGTCAAGCTGATTGAATTTCTAATGTGTCAAATCATGTTCCGAAGGCACACGTGAAATTTAGATGCAGAAGATAGATTTGTGTATGATGTATGTTAATAATGTTCAAGTTATTAACGATGAGCTGAATATAGAGACTCAAGAAGATTAAATGATAAAGCAAATCAAGAATTTGAAAAATAATAAAACCCCTAGTAAAGATTTTATTTTGAATGAGCTATTGAAATCTAGCTCAGCCTTTTTGATTAGGTTAATTGTTGTCTATTTAATTTCATTCTTCAATTCAGTTTATTTCAACAGCTTTAAAACACCTTACGTCAGGCCCCACGGAACTTTTTTCAAAGTGGGGGTGGGGGGGGGGGGCCGGCTAAAGTATTTACGATAAGGTAGAGCGGAGTGTAAATTGGCATGGGGTCAAGGGGCGCGTTTAATGATGAGAGGAAAAGGGGACAATTATCGAAAGGGATAAGACTCCTAAAGGAGCACGTGTCAAAGTAAAAAGGGGTAATTATCAGAGGTGAAAATAGAGCAATTCTTATATCTAAAAAAAGAAGCACTCACCAGGGATGAAAACGGCACTTATGAGAATGGCAAATGGGCATTTGTCGACGGAAATGGAGCACCCATCAGATTTTGATAGGGGGATTTATAAGAGGTGAAAAGGGGCATTTATGAAAGGGGGATAGGTCTCTTGTTGAAAAGGCCGGGGCACTTATCGCACCTGAGAAGGGGCACTTATTAGAAAGGAAAAGGGGCACATGTGAAAAATAAAGTGTGCGCTTATCGGAGTTAATAAGGGTAGTTATTAAAAGGGGAAGGGGCATTTCTTATAAAGGAAAAGGGGCACTTGTCGAAGTAAAAGGGCACCTCTCAAATTTGAATAGGGTAATTATCAGAGGTGAAGGTGGCACTTATCAAAAGTGAAAATGGGCATTTCTCGTGAATGGGGGCACTTACTAGAGATTAAGAAGGGCACTTATGAGAATGGAAAATGGACATTTATTGTAAAGGAAAATGGGATCTTGTCGAAGGAAAGGGTGCACGTGTTAAAATAATAGGGACACTTTTCAAAGTAAAATGGGCACTTTCCCTATATTCTTACGACGTTATAGGGGCAATTTTCCTATGTAAAAAGGGGCACTTTTGGGGTACTTGAAAAAGTGGGGAGGGGAGCACCCCAGCCCCCCCCCCCCCGCTCCCACCGCGAGCGCCGCTTCTGCTTACGTGCCCAGAGATGAAATAATCGGTGAACTTTAATTGCTTTTGAGAGTTCGATTACTTGCTCCAGTGTCCGCTTGTTGACGATTTTCGTAAACGTGCAATTAAACAGTATTTGGAGACACCAAATGTATTCTAACTGGATTCTCTTTTTAACAACACTACTTTAGAGGAATATCTAAAAGCATAGATTTGTCTTGCCATGGTACACTTTACAGGAACAAACATCGACAAATTCATAAGTATTCATCTTTGTATATGAACAACACCTTATTGTATATGTTACTCCATATGCAACGTACTGATACATATATGTATTTTATGTAAATGAATCACAAATTCAATACAGGCGGGCCTGTAACCTTTACATGTTTATTTATATTTTACCTATAAAGTTACATGACATATTCTTATTTTCACGTTTTTCTGTTTTTGTTATACCTTTATTGTCAAGTAGATCTTGTCATTGTTATTTTGTACATTTGTTGATGATATTTTGTATCGTTTTTATTATGTACTCATATACCCCAATGTAACCCCGATTTCGATGTTTGAGTTATATATTTTTTCATTATCAGAATCAGATCTAACACCCAAAAGTTATTCTTATTGATATTCAATATCATATCTTGCCGTACTTGTCCGATTTTCGATGTCATTATATACAGCATTACATCCTCTGTAGGATTTTATAATAAAGTGTAATATTTGCACGTCATTCAGATTGTTTGCCAAAGCAGGGTTCAAGCTATAACTTCTTATATAGCTAATACAATTATCCTTTTGGGACCTGAAATTACTGACGGGGGTACAATATCGATGCACTTATGACCGTTATCTCTTGACACTTGCTAAAGACAACATAACCCATAACCAGTATCTCCTTGTTCTGTACCCATTGTGTACAACCCATGACAGCTTTACCCATTCGGAATGGTGACTCATCAAGGATGGGTCAACTGGTTTTGCGTATTTCCGATAGCGGACAACTCACATTTGTCCGGGATATAGTTGATATTGTCCGGTCTAATGAAATTGGTGGGAGTTATCCCAAGTTGATGTTGGCACATTGTTGATAATTTTCAGTGGTAATTGTCCATGGTAATGATTCAATAGTATAGTCATTGTAAAGCCTGAAAATGGTTCCAAGGGAACATCCTAGATTGTTTGAGGTATATAACTGTCCGAGGCTGATAGTATGGGATAGTCGACTGGTAATTCGTAGAATACTAAAATGTTTCAGCTTCCACTTCTTCTTTTCTTTCTTCACTTCAAGATTTGTTATCCTTGTATGTTATCAAATTTGGTACTATTTTCTGTTTCGCCTTTTACTGTATATTAATCAGACTTTGCATGAGCCTTATCAGATACAATCTTTGCTTTGTATCAAGGCTCCTAACATTCTACTCTTCCTCGAAATGCTTTACTTATGTTCCGTTCAATATAACTTATTTTAGTTAACCCACATTTTGGTGAATCTTTAAAGAATTTCTAGTGAATCTACATGGTTAATGTGGAACAAATAAAGCTTCGAGACTTCACACTTCTTACTGTCAGAGCTTGCACGACATCACTGCCAGCGCGCACGAAATCTCTGTACATCTGTCTGACGAGCTCGGGATGTTCTACTACGACTTCAGGGACGAACGGCCCTGCCTGGACGTAACATAACCGCTCGAAAGCAAATATGTACCCCTCTGCGACGATAATGGTCTCGCCCCCATTCAGGCGTTCCAACAGTCCTTCAAAAGGAAAAATGGTAACAGAATTATACATTATGAGGGGGGGTAAGCGGACACTTTTTTTTTTTTTTTTTGGTCTCGAAATTTGAAAATTTGACATTTTTCTTCGTTGGGGGGGTAAGGTCACCTTTTTTAGGTTAGCCGTGGGCATTTTTTTTTTTTTTTTTTTTTTTTTTTTTATAATTAAAAAAAAAAAAAAAAAAAAAAAAAAAAAAAATCCAAAGGGGGGGGGGGGGGGGGGGGGGGTTTTTTTAGTTTTTTTTAGGGGGGTTTACACACATAAAAATACCAAAAGGGGGGGGGTTGAACCCCCAAACCCCCCCCCCTGCGTACGCCCCTGATTGGTAATAAGAGCTTCCATTTCATTTTTTGAGAGGGGGGGGGGGGGCGTTTCCAAAACTAGTCAATACCTTTAAGAGAATACGTCAGGGCATTTTCTAGAGTACAGTTTAAAGATAGAGCATAGAAATGTTGTTATTCTTCCATATTCGGTCAATAAATGTCTATGATGAGACCGAGAAATGAATGTCATTTATATATTATTATATACAAATAGGCCTGTATACATGTAAATTGTGTGTTTCGAGGGACGGATAAGGCAAACAAATGTCCTACATATAAACAGGAGTACTATTTGCAATGTTTATTATACCGACACATTTTCTCGGTATAATCACAGCTCTCGGGGAAATTGCCCCTGCATCAAGATTTTCTGTGAAAACAGGAAGAAATTGCTTCCATCGAACATCACAGCTTGAGTTTCGACACCGGCAGTATGTATTTATTTTTAGATTTTTTGGATTGAGTACTCATTTTATTAAACGGTAACATGTGCATTGGTTTGTTTTATGACGGACGCAATATCTACAACACAATAACAAACAAAATCTTACCTTTAGTCTCCGGCATTTCAAACAAAAGTCAAATAATAATTTCACTGTCGCACTCTCAATAGTTTTTCAAAGAAGCTTGCTGAAAATCGAATTGAATTATCAATTGAAATGAGTGATGCACATCTTCCCCAAAAGAGGCGATCCTCAATGATAAAGCGTTATTGTGGTCTGAGTTCGACACGATATATATACAAGTACTCCTTTTCTCATGTGGCTCGGCTGTACATTCACGCCCATTCATGCAGAGAGAGAGAGAGAGAGAGAGAGAGAGAGAGAGAGAGAGAGAAAGAGAGAGAATGAGAGGGAGGGGGGGGGGGGGAGGGTGAATGAGAATGAGTCCAAAGAATAAGCAAATATAATTGAGGATATATTTGTTTAGCCTGAAACAAATATATACTATTCCAAAAATGCTTACATACCAGTTCACACAAGCATTGAGACCCTAAAGTCTTCAAATGGGAGAGGACACATTTTGTGCATTTTAGTAGGCCCCTATAATGATTACCCTCCCCCAATTTTGAAAATAATACTTGCTCCCGTATTTCTTAAATAGCGCTGCCCCGATTGTTACCCTGGCTTTAGCAAGGCAGCCACTGCGACGCTCTAGCATTTCAAGGAATTAATTCCTGCCTGGTACCCATTTACATCACCTGGGTTGAGTATGGCACATGTAGATCAATGTCTTGCCAAAGGACATTAGTGCCGCGGCGGGACTCGAACCGCGGACCTTAATCGACAGTCCGTCGACGTATCCACTCGACCACGGCACCATTTATGTATTAGTGCGTTCAAAATATATTCCTCCGTCAAATAGATGGTGCAGCACGGTTGCAGTCTGAGCATGAGCAGATAAAGGTCATTGCAGAACAAATTTTGAAATTAACGGAGACGAAATACTGGATTCGTGCTCATGAAAGTTATGTAACATTATTCATTCATGCACATTCAGTGCACTCCATGATACACAGGTGGAAGTATTCTTTGAAAAGGGGAAACAAAGGCTATTTCTATAGCACCTCCATCGCTGTAGGAGTGATTATTTCAAAATGTACAAAGTGGGACCTCTTCATGGTTTTAAGATCTGTGGATATTCGGGGTCATTGCAGTAATGTGCTAACCGTGAACTGGTCTATTTCATGATAATTGTTGCAGAGTAGCCTTATCGTACTGAAATATTGAGCTGAGGTTTTGTGAAAGTACGCCCTCTACAAAAGGAACCGACCCATATGCAACTAGGCGTTGTGGCGTGCGCCTGTAATCCAGCTAAAGAGTGGAAGTTACAAACTGATTCAGCCGAGGACGCAGGTTCGAAACTGAGTCACGTCTTTCGGATGGTGACGTTTAAAGGTCGGTCCCAGACGTAAATAATCATATCTGATTGATACACGTCTGTAAAAACCCAATACACACACACACACACACACACAACTGAAAGAAAGGTCAATCTATTCACTCTCAGACGCTTTGCAGTTGATGTTTGGTTATTTTATTTTGAAGGCAACAAAACAGCCCCTGTAGAAACACAAGTGTAAAAACAAATATAAATTAAAAACATCATAATATTCAAATAACCAATTACATAATTATATACTTCATGATCTGTATCAGCAACAAAGAAGGTGTTCAGTAAATAAGTTCATTATAGACCATCTTCAAACATTGTATCAACTAAATAATCATCACTATTATTTTCATGACTTCAATGAACAGGTTAATTAAATAATATATCATGTCTAATTTAACGGCTGAAGGACAGTTAACTTGTCATTTCACAATATAATGCCTTACATCACTTAAGCAAAACCTAAATTACAGTTGAAGTGTAAAAAGTAACAACAGATTCATTCAATACATAATGCAAACAATATCTTTTTTAATACAAATTAAAAAACCAATAAGACTCACCGCCCACACTATATAAAAAAAAAAAGCTTGACTTCAACGTACGCCCTTGTACATTACAGTCTTTGTGGTCCTATGAGGGATAAACGTTTGGTAATTTTCTGTTTAAAAAATCTGGTCGGGTCTTATTTTCATCAGTTTACCAAACACGGGGCAAAATATATACATGTAATATGAGGTTGAGTTACTTGATTATACAAAAGCTTAAAGGTACTATGTCCCATTTGCAGGCCAAAAAAATGAAAAAGTTAAATTCCAACTGCATTTGAAAGATAATACTAATTTAGAACTTCCCTAAAAAAGGTGGGGCTTGAAAATGTCTTCAAGTGGGAAAATAACAACTATTAGTTGTCAAATCGACTTTAGGGCTATAGAGCCCAAAAGTAATAGTCTTGATTTTCAGACAACTGTACTGAATGGTCATACGTTTTATGCTGCGCAAAGATTCAATTAGTTTAATCTTGGCCATCACAAAAAGTGGGTTATTGATGTAGACAAATGCTCATGTACCCTTTACAACTCTTTTCATGTATGTTATTACCAAAGAAGAAAAAAGCCAGTCAGTCACTCAATAGTGTCTGACAGTGAAGTCTAGCAAGTAAACGGGTTTCCTTGCATAATTTGAATATGAGGACACTGCTAACTTATAAATTTCACAGATAGGACATACATGACATATTCATAATTCCTGCAAAGTTCTACAGAATTTGAGGTTGGCTGCAAAAGGGACATTGTATCTTTAATGTATACTATTTTTTATTTCTTTCTTAGTTTTTCTTCTCTTTTCCGCTTGGTTGTCTTATTTAATACCCCATCTCTCCCTTGGGCCGGTTAAAAAATAACCCCACCTAATAAATAATGAAGGAATAGTAAACTGTCTTTGCGTGACAGTATTATGATAGTCGATGAAGAAAACCGTTCAATAAAGTCCCCCAAATCACCTGTTAAGCTTTCATTATATCCTTTCGCCAGGTAGATACGATGCGACTACGATTAATATCCCATTAAAGACAGGTGGACACCGCAACAAGGTTACGACCAAAATCGATGTTGCGACACAAATTTTAACTTTAATCTTATATTTTTCCTCAGGCTAATGTCCATCATCGTTTAAAGAATAAAAGATAATATCCATGTAATGAAATTACTGTGTTTTGATATAAAAGAATGTGCACCTGGTGTGTGTTAATTTGATTTTGCGGTCGAGTTTGATGGACTTGCATGTTGATCGGGAAGAGAAGAATCGGTGGGTATATCTCGAATTATTAAATTGGTTTTCAAATCATGCGAGCTGCCACGTCAATTCTATAGTATGAAACAATGTGTATCAGAACATTTTCGATAAATTCAATTCTTTGCATGCTTAGGTAACGCAACCAGATCAAAATTATTAAAAAAAACTAATGCCTATTCTTTTTTTACTTGAGCTAAAGCTGACGTTACTATCCTTTTCCCAAAATATTAACAAGGGAAAAATGTTTATTTATTTAAAATAATATCACGAATTCAAGTGAAGTGGTTTTGTATATTTGTACACAGATATGTCGTTTCAACACAGATCTACAAAACACAATACCTTTATTTTTATTAATTTACATATTTATTCAAAGACTACATGACTACAAATAACATGTCATGATAGGCCAAGATGCAATTAACAGTATTGTCAGAAAAATGAAACTATGTACGAAGGCTTATAATCGCCGAAAATACAAAATTAAAATGAAAGCAAAAGAGACGGGATGCGATATTATGGTGGATAAAATCAGGAAAAGTGATAATGAATAACAGAGGGAGGGAGAAAGAGAGAGAGAGTGAGAGAGAGAGAGAGAGAGAGAGAGAGAGAGAGAGAGAGAGAGAGAGAGAGAGAGAGAGGCAGGGGGTGTTAGATGGGGGAGGGGTTTTAGATGGGGCCTAGAGAATCCAACATCATGTCAATGAATTTGAGAAGGTATTGCAAAAGCAAATACAATGTGTTTTCTGCCTCCCCCTACTATAATTATATCGCATGATTTAAAGGGGAACTGCAGCACCCTCAGCCCTCCGCCCTTGCCCCCGTCTCGTTTACCTGTGATGACATAAGAATTACCGCTTTCAATCACTACCAACAACTCTTGGCGAGGAACAACGCAGGATGTGATACAAAAGTGAAATTCAACCCACCACCACTGCCATACGTTCGCTACCAATGTTGCATCATACCCCCAATCCTCACATAACCCCGTATGTCTTAATATGTCAGTACCCCCCCCCCCCCCCCCCCGAGGTATCAAGGATAGATCTGCTTTTAGTGTTCTAGTCTAGACCAGACGACCTTACTGATCATCATTCATAAAGAAAAGAGATATAGAAACAAGGCATAATGACGTTCGGCTTTAATAATCAGTTCATAGGCTTCATCAGAAGTGATCTAACAATATATCGCAGCAAATCTATCGCACAATAGGAATGAAGGAAGTCTTATGAACGGAAAAAGAAATAAAAGGATAAAGAGAGAAGGAGAGAGACAGACATAAAGAGGGAGAGAGATAGAAAGATATATTTATATAGAATGAGAGAGAGCGAGAAAGGGAGAGAAAGAGAGAGAGAAAGAAAGAGAGAGAGAGAGAGAGAGAGAGAGAGAGAAGGGAAAGAAAGGAAAATCGAAAAGCCTCTGAGGAGTTTCGATTATTGATTAGTTTTAGGCTTTGTCCCGTGTAAAGTTATGCGCATGTGTCAGAGAGAGAGAGAGAGAGAGAGAGAGGAGAGGTAAGAGGGAGAGAGAGAGAGAGAGAGAGAGAGAAAGAAAGAGAGAGAGAGCTAGAGAGGGGGGTGGAAGAGAGGAAAGGGAGAGGGGTGGGTGGGGTCGTCTACACCGTGTGAAGGATATCGATTATTACTCAGTAATAGGTTTGGTCCTTTGTAAAGTAATGCGCATCGTGTCAGACCAAAGAGGTATCTCCTTGGTCAGAGAGAGCAAGAGCGAGAGGGACAGAGAGAGAGAGAGAGAGAGAGAGAGAGCGCGCGCGAGAGAGAGACAGAGATAGAGAGACAGAGAGAGAGCGAGAGGGAGGGGGATGGGGGGGGGGGAGATGGGTGGGGGTCGTCTTATAAAACTTTGAAGGATTTCGATTATTGATCTATTTAGCATCATGTGAAGCAATGTATGTATGGCATGAGTTGAAGTGGTGATAGCGGTGAGAGGAAGACAGACATAACAACAGAACGTGAGACCAAAGGGTCAGTACGAGGTCAAATTTGACCTTGGCTGCTTAGGGGCGGGGCCATATTAACAAAAAGATGAAGACATATATACAGAAGTAGATGTGTTTGATCTTGCGTCAGTAAAAAAAGAGCAGTTTGTCCTGCTGCTATATTTCATTTATACTGCCCTTAGACAAGGAAAGATAACTAAAAGAATTTGTATATATGCCTAGAAGAATATTGCAGACAGAGTACATCGTATTCACTCATCTTGAAAGCTTGAACTTACTGTCCATAATTATTAATTCCTAATCAACAGTCTCCATGAAAAAAAAATTGTTTAATACCAAGACCTATATGGATTAGAGCCTTAAAAAGGCTAAAGAAATAGATTTGTTGTAAGACCAAATTCAAACCAACATCTTTCACCAACATTGACATTTCATTTACCATCAGTTAATAACCTCTCCCTTCCCCTCCCTCTCTTTCTCTCTCTCTCTCTCTCTCTGTCTCTCTTTATCTCTCTGTCTCTCTTTCTCTCTCACTATCTCTCTTTCTCTCTCTCTCTTTCTCTCTCTCTCTCTCTTTTCTCCCAAACCTTCTCTGTTTCTCTTACTCCCCTCCACCTCTCTGCCTCTCATTGTCTCTCTCCCCTACTTCCGATTCTATTACTATTTCTTCCGTTCTCTCTGGCACTCTTCTCAAGCATTTTCAACGTCCATTTTAATAATTTCCATTTTAACATCTCTCTACGACTTGTCTTCTCTTTTTGTAAAAGTACACATGCTCCTCATGTTCTAATTCTTTGTTTACATTTCTATAAAAATGAGATTAAATACATCATTCATCATATTTTGTATCAAAATACACTTCGAGATGATTGGAAATGAAAATATTCTTATTGATATCGATATAGAAGTATATACGAGAGTATAAAAGTAATGACAGCGCTATACACCCATGTCGCATTTGAATTCATATCTATATCTTCTTTTAATATATTATTTTCTACGTAATCTCAAGAAAGGAAGAGATATAACGAAATTATCAATATTTAAAACACTTTACATTCGAAGTTGTTGAGAGTTATTCTTTTATATTTCATTCTTCACACGTCCAAAAATACAAAAAGGCTACAAATATGATACGATCACAAAATCATATTAAAGTGAATAAAAAGAATGACAATAAAATTACTAGCCATTTCATTTATATTTACCTTAATTTAGACATCATCCATTTACCTAAATATATATATTTTTTAAATTTATGAATAAGAACAATTTCAAATTTTGGCAAAACGCATTTTGAACTTTATTGGATTCACAAGTTTATTACTGTAGTAATAAAATACTTTTTAAAATATCATATTTGATTAGCAAAGTTTTTAATAGAACAAAATAATAGAAATTTGATTCATTCTAAATCTTTCTTTATTTCATTCACTTACACTTACAAACAAATGAGCCCGCATGTAAAGATTCTGCCTTATAGTAAGAAGTGTCGACAAAACAGAAACTAAAATCTTGGCAAATCTATTTAACTTATAAGATAAGGAATCCATGGCGAATAAAAGATATAAAGATATGAATTTCATATCAATTCAAACTAATTAATCATCTCATCAGGGCGTCACTATAGAACATGTTGAATCGGGAAAGAGCTGAAAAATGACCAATAAACAAAGAAAAGAGTTCATCATTTATATCATTTTTCTTTTCTTCCTTAGTTGTCTTTTCTTGTTGTTTTTTTGTCTCTCTTTCTCTCTCGATTTTCCGACAGCTTTATGACAACCCTTTATTGTCCAATTCTCTAACATGAAAATTAATATGCATTACCAGCATGCATATAATATACAAGATATGAAAAAAATTCAAAAATCGACAAACTCCTTCTTTTTGAGAAAGAGAATCGTTCCTTATTTTATAATCAATGAAAGGACATTTTATTACTTGTACGGAACACTAACAAAAAGGCATCTAAGAATTTTCGTCCTGCATTACCAGCATGCATATATTATAGAACATATGAAAAAATACAAAAATCGACAAACTCCTTCTTTTTGAGAAAGAGAATTGTTTTTATGAAAACAAAAATCAAAGCAAGGAATGTTTCATCTTAATTTATGAAAGGAATACTTTTTTTACAGATGGGCTTTGTCACTTTGGTAATCGAAGTTTTGTAAGGATGAATTTAGCAAACCAAAATTCATGCTCATTTTTCTAATCCTTGAAACGAAACGAAAAGACAACAACAACAAAACAAAACAAAACAGGAAGATAGGAAGTGGTGAAGTATATAGTAAAAGAAATATGTAAGTCAAGTTGATTCGGTGATCTGATTTCATGAGTCTGTAAGGGGTTCCTCAATGAAGTGATCTAGATTCACTAACCACTTAACCACATGCATGCCCTTGTTCTTCAACTCATCCTTCTCCCTGCTTCGGAGCAGACGTTCGGTTGGCGGACAAAATTTCCCGCCCAAAGCAAGCGCCTTGTCGGCTGCAACCGCAGGAATGTTCATGTTGTCTTCCGTTTCGCCGTTGTCTTCGGTCGGGCTATTCCCGAGTTGCGGTTTCTCAAGGCACTTCTCGATGGCTTCCTCCGTCAGATTGTACTGCAACAGAACCGGTACGTCGACGTTGAGGTTATCCGGAGCTGCGACTGCCTTGCTTTTTTTCTCTTCTTCGTCATAGATGAAGACAAAAGTCCGACTTTCACTCCGCTGAAGCATTTTTGGCCTGGAAAGTGGTTCCTCTGGTGCACGCAGGTTTTCTTCCACCAATTTGGAGTTATTCTTGTGATCCCGGTTCCCAGATGTCCAATTATTGTTTATTACTTTCTGTTTGCTCATCTTCGATTCTAGTTGTGTTGCCGCATCTGGATCCGAACTTGCATCCAATTTCGGATACTGAGTTGTAAAGGGTGGTGGGTTGCCGGATGAGTAGCCTTCGTCAATGGTGTCGTCAATGCATAGTTTATCGAAACCAAGTCCTTTCTTTCTGGAAGGTTTTCCGTGTCTCGCAACTGACTCTGTCGTGTGTTGACGTTGCATCATGAAAACTAAACTTTGATTATGCCATCCAAAGAGATCCTGTCTCTAGCAATATGCCAATCAAAATATGGGCAAGGGTTTCCTTGAGAGTGCTTTGGATGAAACTCCATTAAATCATTCTGTTGTGGTAGACTTTGATTTTACTAGCCATTAGCAATGTTTTGTCTGATACTCCGTCGGGCAACCCATGTTAATATTCCCTGTGAGGGATGGACTAAAGATACTTCAAGCCTGAGAGCTGTTCAATCCAGAAGCTGGGACAACCTACAAGGAAAAAATACAAAATAAAACTGTTGTAACTAGTCTTGCTGCTGCTGAAACATGTAATTTATTCAAATAAAGTGTAAATCACAATTACATACATAATACATACATCATCAAAGCTAAGATAAATCATAAAGAAAGCTGATGCTCCTATTTCATCTACATTGTTATCATAACAATTGTGTTGATGTTGGTTTGAGTATAAGGTTGCTATTCATTCAAGAGCCCTAAATTGCTCAGGTGACGCAGTCGCCACCAATTGTCTAGACTACTGCCTTTGCTCCCCCACCCCACCCCCTCACTTTGAATATCCGTTCCGCAAGTAATTTTTGTGCCAAAAGAGTTTGTGTTTTATATCACCGGCGTATCCAGCATGGAATTGAATCGGTGTACGCCCCCAAAACATAAACATTAAACAAAAGATACCACTTGAATTATGTCTATATCACACGGGCCCTTCAACTTCATCATGAAGGCAGTTCCGAGTCCAAGGCTCCCCTTCTACTATTCTAGGATATATATTTCTCGTTATGGGATGGGCAATGTTAGTGTGACGGTATAAACATGCAGCAAGTCATTTCAGCGTCATAATGCATTTCTAAAGTGATTAATGTTTCAGTATAATTTGATATTCAAAGTTGTGAACACATAATGCCAGAATGTCCCCATCGAACATTAAATAAGATGGCGATCGGACAACGTATTTGCCGAAAAATATTGCCAGCAAATATCATAAGGTATATGAGATTGTTAGGATAGAAATAAAATTGAATAAGGTCCCATGAGCGTTTTAAGGGTTAAAAGGCATAATGAAATATATCAAGACGCATTCACACGAAAAAGTTACAGATCTACAGCTCCAGAATTCGTTCTAACTTTATTGCAGACTGGTCATTATACAGCATCTCTCTTGCTGATTATATTTATAATGGAAACTTTTGCGTTATGTACTGACACAGACATCTAAATAATATATAATTTATTATAGTGCTACTATCGTAAAAACAAAACTAAAGGACGTGTGCTAACTAATGTTCGTATTGGTGACATTGAATTTCCACGATGATTTTCAAGGAAGGATCCGAGTATAAACAACAAAGAAATGATATCAACACGAAATTCGAAAGGTGTATTGCAAAATATTTCGTATAGTTTACTTACATGAAGTTGTAGCTGATATCAATCGGAAAGACAAATATATATTCCATCGAAGTCGTTGATCTATATACCGTAAAACCATTACTGATCCTGTGGAACATCATACTCTATGTCTATCCACACGAGAACCGGCTAAAATATTCATGCTCCGTCGCCGACGATTCGGCTCGCCGCAATGAAATAATGAAGAGGTACTACAGATGAGGTAACAGATGAAGGAGCCTCTTCTATCTGCCACTCGTTTCATAATAATACCTCCTCGAAGCGCTGAAGGTACTTCTATTATCAATGAGATTACCGGAAGAATAGATCATTATTTGTTCTATCCCCCCTTTCTCCCGTTGCAATCTGGCCTTCTATATGTAGCTGAGAGGTGCGGGCAGGCTGCATGAGAGCTTGCGCGACAGAGAAATAATATGGATTTTGATCGAAAGTGAGGTCCATACGGATCGATTTTATGACTAGTGGCATGAAGAGGGGGAATATAAAGGGAGAAAATGAAGAGAGGTGTCGATAAAACCAATTGATCGTACCCTGACCTATTTAATAAAAACAGTGTGATCAAAGGATTATATTAATAGGTCAAAAGGATAATATAGGTTTCTAGCGTAGAGAGAGAGGGAGAGAGAGAGAGAGAGAGAGAGAGAGAGTGACGTCAACATAAATAAAAGTTCGATCTACATCTGCTTTTGATTTAGTATTGATTTAGTATTTTCCATATAGACTAGATGACACACTCCCGCGCCCCTCACCACGTCCCCCCCCCCCGCCCCCACCCCCGACAGATGATGAGATATAGAAAAGAAGTATGTTACAGGAGTCGACGGCGAGAGATTAGATAGATAGATGATTATAGAAAAAGTATAGAATCTGATGTAGATAGAGAGAAAGAGAGAGAGACAGATAGAGAGAGAGAGAGAGAGAGAGAGAGTGAAAGAGAGAGAGGGGAGGGGGAGAGGGAGAGGGAGTGAGGGAGGGATGGAGGGGGAGAGCTGGACAAACACGTTCATGTTTATTTCAATATTACTCTGCCGGCATAAACATCAAATAATAGTAATAAGCGTCATAATAGAGGCCGAAGTTGCTAAACAGACGGCTTTCCGTAAATGTAATGAAATTCTGCGCCGCAACTCGATCCGTGTTACCAGGGAGGTGAGACTCTCCTGGCACACATAATGGTTTTACGTCACAATAATATGAGGACCCTTGTTAGATTGATGACCGGTGACGCACGGACACATTTCAATAACAAATGGTTTGGGGTTAAAATGCGTGTCTGGAAAAGGATCAAAACAAACATAGAAATCAAATTAAATTGTATTTTACAGGTCGTTGCCATGGGTGGTTTTGTTGTGACAAAGTTACTTCCCGAGCGAGATTGAGGCCAGTTATACCTAATGACCATTCAACATAAAAGGAAGACAGTAAAGGGGCAGCTTATTCATTGTGACTGAATAACGTTTCTTCTTTTGAGGAAGCAATACAAGTCCCAAGATGCAACATGTTGGCTCAAAAGGACTTCTCGAGGCGAAATAGACAACAAGAGGCTAAGAGTTGGTGAAGAAAAAGAATAGCGAAATTGGAAACAGCTTCGGAGAATCCAACAGGCGTAATATACAGTTCACAATTATTGAGTAGCAACGACTGTAAACAAAACGAATTTTTCTCCCTTTTCCCCATATTTGGCTTGTTCGCAAATATATATGAAGCGATTGGACATATTTACGCATGATATGCATGCAACAGACGTCCATGCTTGGGTTAACACTTAACAAATATTATTATCATCCCAATTTACAATCGTAATCGTGATAATGTATGACCCTAACTGTACCCAAATTTAACATATTTCTTACTACATGGTCTAGACCTACGTGGATGGCTAGGAATTGGATTTGTTTAAACTTTGAAAAATGCATTTTATTTCATAATAGTTCACTGTATGACTCTCTTGACCCCTCTAGACCCTATCTGTAATTCCTTTTCGTTGACCTTTCTCTTCGAATTTTTTTTTAAATGCCCCCCCCCAGCATAATGCAACGGGATACTCAGTGTCTACTATATTGAGGGGCATGAGGGGCACTTAATTGTGTTACATGGAACCCCTTTCTTACGAACCATTTCTGCAAGATATATCGGGGGGAGGGGGTACAGGCTTGACCTATTAAATTTATAGAGGTAAATATGTATATTTAACTGTATGAGTTATACGAAGAGATAACAATATTCTAAATCGTAAAAACTGTGGAGTCATCTATTTACTCATGATTCATCAATGTCAGACATGCTTTTCCGTTTTTTGTTCTCTCTCCCATCATATCAAACTAATCTCAATGAACCTTTGATCGAACTGTATTTGTTCATTAGCTCTTCTTCACGGAACGTCCACGACCTAGATATATGAGTCCCAAGCTGGTATGAATTTCACTGTTATTGAATTTGAGGCCCATTGTTCGGTGTTTTAGTATCAAACATTATTTGGGTCAAGTATTGCACGAGCTCCCCACGTGTTGCCTAGGCCCATCGGGGATCATGTAAAGCTTCCCCCGTCGCCATGGCACCCAACCAAGTTCAAAAGTGCATGAAAATAAGCTGTGTTGTCTGATACAGCGTGGTCCAAAAAATGAAATCATGTTCTTGAAAGCGGTATGCTATTTCATTCAACCTCATTCATGTCAAAGTTGTTTTCGGATCCTTATGCATGATTGTACGTTTTTGTTATGTCGGTTTTCGTTTGTGGGTGTGGGTGTGCGGGCCTATGTGTGTGGGAGGGGGTCATACACAGCAGACACTATAGTGATTTGACTAAAACATTGGAATGACCCCCCCCCCCCCCAACAATAAAAAAAAAAAAATAGAATAAAAAATAAGACTAGACTAAAAGGGGGGCCAGTAGAAATAAAAAAAATATATAAATCAGGGCAGGGTCCTGTCTCATAAAGAGTTGCGATTGATCCCAATCGATCGCAATTACGTCTGCAATCATTTTTAAGTCACAATCTCCCATCTTATAAGTGCACAGTTGCGATTGATACCGGGGATTGATATCAATCAATTTAAATCAATTGCAACTCTCTATATAAGACGGGGCCTTGGATTCCGAAACTTCGCTGCTATTCTGAAATACATGTACAATCTTGCCCCTTTTACTATGTTTACATGCAGGTGAATAGAGGTTTGCATTTCGATGTTCTTGTCAGAATAAGAGTCTAATAAATGCATCATGATTTTATCATTTTGTTCTCTTTCTTTTTAGACACATTGTATAACTCGGGTACCTTTGTTACGTTGTAGAAACCAAGCTGCATGACTGCATGTCTGTGAAAAACTAGATATTGTACTACAACATTTTATGTCTTTTCATTGGCATTCATTTCGCACTTGTATATTGATACTGGAATACTCCTGGTCTAGAAGAATAGAAATATAACGCATCCCTCATGATATTAATGCCTTTGACATTTTATCTAAGTTAAAGAATGCTCCAAATTGACAGGCATCTTCGATAGCAAGGATTGAAATTATTTAACTATATGTACAATAAGATATATAAAATTGTAATCACCTTTTAACTTAAATATACAGGTATATGAAACCAGTCTCCACATGAGATTCATTCAGTCAACACTCTCATCATCATTTTTTTTCTTCAATTCAAGTTCACAAATTCATCACAAATATTATGTGCATCGTACCATACTTTCACTAACATTAGATATCCAACAGCATTGTCAAAAACAAGCAAAGAAACAAACAAAGATACAAACACACAAGCATGTACTTAGAGTTGTAACAGCAAACCAAGTATGAATTACATGACAAAGGGAAAGAGTGATTCTAAATATCATATGTATGTTAATTTTTATTATCAATGTCATTAAGAGTCTATATATAATCATTTCGTCATAGAATAGTCGTTGTAAGAAATGTGTAAAGTACTATCTCTACCACTATCATACCATTTTACATAGTTGTAGATAATAATATGAAGATACATGTTATACTTTAACATTAAAGAGAAATTCATTTACAACAAATATATAGAAATCAGAGAAAGAATTTGAATAGAAGAAAAGCAAGAAAAATATATTGCACAAGAATGAAATACTATTCCCCAAAAAAATATTACAAGTAGATGAATAAAGATGGAATTGTACAATAGTATTGATAGTTTAGTACACTGGAGTATAGAATACAAATGGTTATTGTAAGCTTGCTTTTAGTACAGAAAGAACACAATCAACATACAGAAAATCTATTTATGAGAAATAAATACCACATGTATATGCAAGGAATGAATAAGAAACTGTAAAAGATTAACATTCATTACACTTTTTAAGTGAATAAACGTGACTGCATCATTATAGTAACTAAAATACTATGAATAATAACTTTAAAATGATAATAACAAATAAAGGTTTTAAGCAATAATGTTTTCAATTTGTTACTTTGATTTTCATCTCTTACCATACAACTATTATTCTTGAAAGAAAGATTGTTCCCAAATCCGAATTTCTATTTTTAACATCTTAGTTTCTTTGAAGACAAAAAAATGAAAAATACTAAAAATAGAAATCCCAAAGGTAAAAATTTGAAATGAAAGCTTGAAGAATACTTTAAAGTCATCATTAATTACTACATTATCCACAAATAATAGCTTTGTTTTATTTTCTTAGTTGAAAAAACAACTCCTTCATTACAGATACAAATTAGATGTTTGGCATTAAAGAATAACTCATTTAGTAAATATATAGTATTTACTTATAAAAACCAGGCTGAAATACTGCAAACCGATTTTGTATTGCACAAATCTAATCAAGCATTATGTCAGAAAGACGGAAAACTGAAATTGCAGAAAGGGAAGGAATTATTTAAAGGTTTTATCTTCTGTACAGCAGATTCAACTATTAGTAGATACAAGTCTTCTACTTTGTTACCTATGTAATTTGTGTGAATGAGCTCTCATCTCTCTATACATTACTGATCTGATATATATTGAATACAGTTTTCAGATGTATCAGCTATTTAGAGCAAGTCCAGTGTGTTTGATCACTTGTCTTGCCATACATTATAACAGATATTAGAAACAGAAAAGTATATTTGTACTTGATATTTTAGTCTGATCCACAACAAAGTAGGGCTTATGTCTGAATACAATCATCAGATATACTCAAATCATTGATTTGACTGGTAATGTATAACAGACATAATAGCTAGAACTTGCCCTTTGACATTCGACATGGACAACCAGTTCTTAGATAGTTTCACAATCTGGCTTTGGTAAGAAGGGACAAAATCCCTGAAAGCTTGAAGAAAATTATCAAGATTTAGTGAAGGAATCAAAATAATGTCCTTGGTATTATCATTATGTCATAGTATGCAGCAAAGACAGAAATAATGTGGCCACCTAGAAGAACCACGTTGCTTTAAAATGAAGATTTCAGCCAAATGTCAAAAGGGTACTCCAAAAAATAAAAATGTTATATAAAGTTAATATTCATAAATGACTCTCAATATAAAGACTGATTTTTCGTTGGCATCTGAATTGAGCCGTTTTATACTACAGATCAGTCCTTACTGTTACATCATATTCCCTGCATGCTCCTAACTTCATAAAATCAAAGGGATAAACCCCATTGCAAATGAATATTGTACTGTTTTGAGCATGATCCTAAGCTATCCCTGTCATGGCAATGAGTATTTCTGAAAGGCATTAAGATGAATACACCAACTGTGCACACCTAGAACCAAAGGGAAAGTAAAGAGAACTGCTTTTTAATGGTGTACTATGTTTGTTCTTTTGACCACTTTCATATTGACACAGTCACACTACTAAACTGACTCATATTTGACCCCAAACCAACTCATTGATGGCCATTCTGCTGAAATCAGGTGTTTAGTGTATAGTATGTTGGGTGACAGCTTTGACAATATGACTGAGGTATGATTATGACTCAGGTCTGACAGAGGTAACAGCCACAATGCTAAATTTCTAAACATTACAGCAAACAGAAGATAAATTCAGGGGCCTATCAGGGCCCTTTTAAAATTATTCAGAGGCATGACTATTTCTGAACCTGATCTTTACAACTTCTCCAATGTTAAGATTCTTCTATCAAAATAAATGAACTGAGACAATAAACAAATAAGTAGTCCTAGTGTTAATGTTTTCAAAAAGAGAAGGAATATGACATGCACTTGAACTTCAGATACCTCTTTCTATTGACACATTGAGACAAGAGTATATCTGATCCTCATTCTTTACAAGTTCACAGCTTTGAAAACATTGACATGTGTTATCACAACATGCAAACCCAGCTTACTAAAGCCTGAGTAAAGCATTAATAAATATCATTATAGAGATGGAATGTGACGTTTACTAAAACAAAAAACAGCAAACAAAATAACAAATTTGAAGTATATACAAGAAAAAACCAAGTACAAGAGACACTTTGCCAGGGTGGGATACACTCAAGTACTTAGTATCACATATCATAAATTAATAAAACATTTAAGAATTTCAGCAAAAAAGTAAGGCAATAAACAAACAAAAATGGGTGTAAAAATGACAGCAAACAATTATAGTATCCTGCCTAACTTTTTGTCGCCCCCAAAGTCCAACTAAAACTTACCAATTTACAAAAGACATAAATTACAACATAAACATAAACAAACTTCCTTGGAGGTTAATACACTCTTCATCTTACTTAAATTTTGTTCTTCAGTTTCTTATAAACACATTGTCTTTGAATAATGTTACAGTATCAACATTCAACAAGTTGTTGATGTTTTTGTAAACATTGTAGTCTTTTCAACTTGAATAACATTTGATTTAAGTAAAACAAACATTTTTGAAGACCATAGTCATAGATATTTCAAGCATCGTTGTCACATCAACGGATATATAACATTAATTTATGATCAGTAACATGCATCTACTAGTACTATTTGACATATTTAATGATATGCCACGAGAGAGACGATGAGAAATATATTCTTCATATATTTAGTTTTGTTCAAACAGCAGGAAGACACAATAATGTTTATAATCATATCATATTAAATAGTTTTGTACACATAGCTTTATAATGAGCTCAGAGAATGCTTAAACAAATTTGCTCCTGCACATAAAGAATAAAATGAAATTGTGACAAAGTTTCTTTCAAAATCAGCATCCCAAACAACTTCAATGGAAATTCAGCAAAGTATATAATTATCCACGATGGTTCCAATGATACTGAAAAGAAGGCTTCATCAATGATTTCAACTTGTTTCTTTCTTTCTTTCTGCATTTTTTTTGGTCTCGCACACTAGATGCAGGGAAAAAAACCCATCTAGATAGATTCTACTGATAGTACAAGATGTCACTACATGTTCTATGACCTAAGTGATTTTTTCCAATATTTTTTGTGTTGAACATTGAAATTTTTCAGCTTTCGTGAACATGTGGTACTACAATGTAATAGTAGATGCATAAATGCACAGTAACCACGGTTCCTCGAATACTATGGACCCCTGTCTAAATTTGCAGGATATCTTTAGTCACTGTAGTGTAACAGAACAAACCATGCAGGCTAAAACGTAGCCATAACAGAAAAATATGACTGAAATCAAAAATAAAGATGTATATACTTAGGCAGTAATGTAGCAGCATGCTAGTTGTACAATGCAGCTTTGTACTTTACAGCTGGTTCATAATTCAAGCAGTACTGTTAGTCTGTTAACCATCTTACCAAAATGTTCTAGATCATCAGTTCTCATATAGGAAACATAGAGGTTCACTGATAATGATTGTAGCTCTTTTTTTACATATTGCTATTCTTCTACAACGTTTATTGCTACTCCTTCTCTGGTATGAGTCAATGTGTGTGGACCTATTGTGGGCTATAATTGTATCTCAAAGATGTAGTTAAGCTCTACAAAAATGGATTTTTGTTTTTGTTTTGTTGGTTTGACCAGTTTGAGCTCTTCAATAAATGGGAAAAACATGTTTGTAAAAACAAACAAAAACAGCAACAACATTCATCTCATTAAAACCAAAATAAAGATCAATTCTAATTAATTTGTTATTGTTAAACAAAAAAGTGCCTGATCTGAGATGAGCTGAGATCAGCTCATTAAAAACAAACTTACCAATTGAAAGGCAATAAAGTATATTTTATTGTATCCCCAAAAAATTCCTATACCTAAATAATCTTGAATTTAATCCATTTTCTTTACATGGTTAAATAAAATAACTAAGGATTATCGCGCTGAGATTTATACTTGTCAAAAGTAAGCTCAATAAGAAAGGAAACAAATTGAAGGAAGTGCCAATTCTAGCTACCTAGTTTAATAGACCTTGCTATATCACGTGGAAGCTGTTCCGTAGACCCATCCCTTGAAGAGAAGTCTTGTCTCTTATCACTGGTCTTTGTGGGATACAAACCTAGCTTCATCCGAGTTCTTGTCCTGCTCTCTGAACTCCTGAGGGACCGTTTAGGGAATGGGTTGAAGACTACACGAGCAGGGGGCGTTGTGGGCTCTTCACAGCTGGAGCTTCCACTGCTGCATCGTCGCCAGCTGGTAGAGGCAGACACTGGGTTTTGGTGAGAAGCGTGAGCTGCAATCCCGTTGGATTCCATCCAGGGTCTCTTGTCACTGGGACTCGTTGTTTCCGACGGTCTTGATCGTCTTCTTGGAGAAGTACTTGGGAGGTTGGGATTGAATGCTTCAATGGCGCAGTTGAACTCGGGTGTTGATGTGCTATTTGGAATGCTTTCTGTGCTTGTACCGATCAAGGTCTTTTCCGAGTCTAAGTGTTGCCTCGGTCTACTACCGGAGACATCATTCGCATTTAGGTCTGGACTGTCTGACGATGTTGAGCTGTACCTAACATGATCAACGCCATTCCTTTCAAGATGTCTCCCAGTTTCACTACTGCTTTTTCTGTGCTCGCTATCCTCGTTGCTACGACTCTCCCCGTCCGACCCCCAACCAAGATCAATCAACGAGCCAATTTCAGGCTCCAGAGACTCTTGAGAGCATGTCTTTCCTTCATGGCTGGACAAACTGTCCTGGTGATCCTTGGTTAGATCATCCCGGGATGATGAATGACCATTTCCTGCAGAGACATCATCCCCATCCTCAAAGACACTTGACAGTTCTGACATGTCATCCCTTCCCTGATCATTCTTAATATCAATATCTTCCTTCCCTTGGGAAAGAAGCTTTACATTTGGCTTTGTGTTAACATGCACACGTTTGGTTGGAAAGTCATCGTCGCCATAGTCCTTCCTTGATGGGGGTGCAATCTGAGGTGTAGAGGCAATCTTGGCATTCTTCTTTCCTAGTCCTGCTTTCCCGACAAGTAAGTGGTTGACGACTGCTGGACTCTCTATTGCAACAGCTATGTTCTTCTTGCGTGATACTGGCTTGTAGGCTATGAAATATAATTGGATAACAAAAAAATTCATAATAGTGAGAAATGGAAATACTATTTGAAGCATGAAGAGCATACAAGAATGTATGGATAAGATAAACAGCAAAATAAATCCTTCTGCAACAGTTCATACTTCTGCTTTATGAAAGGTGCTTTAAAAATGCTCTGTATTATTATCATCATCATCCTTTGAAAAAAAGAAAGATGTTAACATATACACTTTCAGGAGACATTATCATACATCAATTTGTAAACTAATAGCTACTTGCCTCTCTTGTCGGCTTTACTAGTGGGTCCATAGATGACATGCGCCCTCATCTGTCTGTGCTGTATGCGTAAGTACTGTTTCTTCAACGACTGGACATCCATGGTCATCCTCTCCATGAGGGCAGCAGACTGAAGGGTCAGGTCTTCAGAGCTAGTACTGTAGGCACCAGGACTGACCTTAGTGATATCATCTGCCGCTGATCCTTGGGACTCAGATCGTTCACCTATTCCAATCGAGAGGACAGAATCATGAAATGACAGTAAATTCTGTTAATCTCAAATCTTGTAATAGTCATATTTTACAGTATGTTCATAACCAAATGCTCTTTTGGTGGGAGCTATTGTTACAATAAAGTGGTGTACTGGGATATCTAATTAATTTCACTTTTTAGGTAAAATAAAGAGATTCTCACAGGGTTATTTGAATTTACAAATAAATTTATGTAATCTACAAGTACTTCAGCTCAGTCTTTTGGTTTTGTTGAGGGGACTTGAACTGAATAAATATAAAATAATCTTTCTTCCATGACACACTCTATGCAATTTTATACATAAACCTAATTCCAAATTTCAACCCTAGACCAATCATTATACCTAACCCTTACGGTAATTTCAAACCAAACTTAAAACCAAATTACAACCCTATCACAGCATCACTACCCCTAGATCTTTGACATAATGAAACCTGGAGCAAATGTCGCCGTAGAAAATGTCAGATCACCAACTTACCCGCCTCTTTAATAGCATATGGAGACTGTGGAGGGAAGAGCCCTGTGAAGCATGTCATATTGGTCAGGTCCTCCTCATCCATAAACTCTGTCTCCTCATCACTATGGCTACCATGACTACCAGAGGGTTGGGAGTACCCCCTTGGTCCCTCCTTACGCTTAGGACCCACGGCGGTGACAGGTGACTTGGTCTCGGAGGTGGTGGAGGTCTTCTCCAGGCCACCGAGGGGGGAGAAGGGGGTGATGCTGAACATGTACTTCTCCCGGATCTCATTCAGATGAGGGAAGGGGAAAGATGCCATGGAATATATCGTCTGTGGAGAGGTAACAAGGGTAGTCGGTGTTGTTAAATGAGTAATTAGTGCTCTCATAGGTAATATGGTCATTCTTATCATGTGCTTTTTAGTGCATGTTAATTGAGAAATTAAATTTGAAAAGTGGAAATCAAAACATTCCTGCATTGCATGTCTTCAAAAAAGACTCACATTAAATGTACATTACTAGCTTTTCAAAAAATTCTGTCTACTTCTTTTGCAACTTGTCCCCTGTACTTATAAACTCATACCCATGCCTTTATAGTTATATTTACCAGTGCATGTCAATATGCTATTTCTGTTTGTCTCACTTATTTAAAAAATTGGCCCCTAATCAAAAGAGAAAGAAATAGCTAACCTTTGTCATACCATAGGGTAAATATTGTATGAAAATATGATAGCATAATGGCCTTGTAATATTGAGAAGGTGAATCAGAAGAGAGTGATGCGCGTTACCTTAATAAGATCATCACCATCTATAAGATGGTCCTGAAGCATCTCACTGCACAGTGCAGCCATCTGACTGTAGAACTCATCAGCACTCTTGATCTCTAACAGGGGTCTAAGAACACAATCAGAACATAGAGATAAGACATTGGATCAAATTATAGATATCACCACTGCAGTGATCATCGTACTTGTATCATTCATAAAGATCTGCAGAGGACTTCAAAGCCTTTAAGATGGCTAGTTCATACTGAGGAGGCCTTCAAAGCTCTAAAGAAAGAGATGTCCTGCCTCAACAAGGGTAAGTAAATGTATCATGACTTTTACTCAATGTCCAAATTTGGCCCAGATAGCGAGTACGATCCTAAGCCCTCGGAAGACAGAATCCTAGACCCACAGGACAAAGCACTGTAATCACGATCATCACTGTTACTCACTATGCTAGGTTATCCCAAATGGACAACATCACTCTGAGAAGGAAACATTGAGAGCCTCCAAAAAGGAGGGTACCCAAGACCCTTTGGGCCAGCTTTATAATCACTTACAATTATTACTGACTGTGCCACCTTGGCACAGACAGCCAATGAGGTTCTACATCACATGCTCTGGTGAGAATCACTCCAAGGTCTACATCCTACTACAACAGAATTATTCATATCAAGCCTGGACCAAACATAATACCCAGTCCTAGCATAAACTCCAATATAAACCCTACCCCTCTTTGATGTAATATAGCCCAGAGTAGTTGTCAGAGCAAACATTGAGTCACTTAACAATGGCAGCAGTGAAGGACCTTGAGTTTTGGAGGGAGAAATGTCCCACACCCCAAGGACAAGCAATATTATGATCATCATGTAAACTCACTGTGCCAGTTTGGCCCAGATAGCCAGCGCCACTCTGAGGAGAACTTCCGAGCCTTCCAGGAAAAGGGTATCCCAGACCCTGAGGACCAGCTTCTTAGGGAGACAGGTTGCAAAGAGTGTCAGAAACCACTGCATGGTAAAGACGTTGGTCAGAGGCGGCTCATAGCTCCCTGTACCAGGCAGGAGACAAAGAAGCAGAATATTTAAATTGATTTAAGACTTTTGGGTTACAAAATGTTTCATATATAATCATGAGGTAACTCATTATATATGTAAAGTACTTTCTCTTAAACACAATAACTTAAGTTCTGCTAAAATTAGAAATGGTGATTATACTTTTCCTTTTTTGTTTTGTTGTTTTGGGGGGTTAATTTTCTTCTTTCAAGTGCAACTATAATTACAAAATGTTGCCTATATTTTCATATCCTTTTTCTGTATTAATCTTACAACTGTATTTTCACCCGTCATCATCAAAATGGCTTTATCTAATTGTGGAAAAGTGGACAAAAAAGAAGAAGGGAAATGGTCTGAAGTAATCACATTGCATGTGTAGTTACTGGTGTGTAATGATCAATGATCATGATTAATGCATAACAAACAAGTCTACAGAAAATATCAATGAAATATAAGCACTATTCTTTTCAGCTAACATAAGCCCTTTAAAAAAATGTGAGATACAGTGAACTAGGACTGTCTGTACTATAGGTCTTACCTGATAAGCCATCGTTGGCTGATTTCTGGAGTTTGTCTAGATGCTGGGCCAAGTCAGGGAGTTTGAAGTGAAGGAGCTCACGGAATACAGCCATGTCTACAGACAGTGCCCTCAAGTTGTTTGCGAAGTAGCTGTCAGGTAGGACATGATCTATCAAGAAAATCATCACCTGAAGATACACAAGATGGAGGAAATCTGAAGTAGTACATTCACAACACTCTTGTGGTTAAAGTTACTTTTTCATATGGCATGGAAAATTGGCGATTTGAGTATTTTCTTTAATAGTTTTTTTTTTTGGGGGGGGGGGGGGTAGGGGCTTATTTTATTCACAAATAAAAAATCAAATATTATTTCTAATATTGGGTGAGTCATTTGAGTCTCTTAAAATCATGAACTCCTAAATTTTCACTTTAAACTACAGCAATAAAGTGTTCTAGCTAGACTTAAAGACATTTATGTAAAATATATTGTAACAGAGTTAATTCAAACTTATTTAGCATGTTGTGGAACAGTAAAAACTTTGATATGTGATATCCGAAAAATCCATCCCAGGTGCCTTTATTTGTGTCCTTCTACCGCACACTTGGCAATATGTTAGCATTGATGTGTGGGCGTAGTAACAGTACACACACTTATATTTTTGTGTTAAAAAAAAAAAATCACAAAATCAAATTGTTGAATTTGTATTTGGTTGAATACCTTGAGTGCATCATCCTCCATTCTCTCCATGACCTCCAGTATGAGAGCAGCAATGACGTTAAACCCCTGGCAGTAACCTACAGACTTATTCCAACGAGCATAAGCCAGCAGGACCCGCTTCAACACCACTCGGTCCTCTTCAGCTCCTTGACCACAGAACCCACTGCAACCAGTACGATGAAGATCCTACAAGGCAACGACCATTTTGATTATCTTTTTGATCGAGTGATTTGATTGAGTAATGTCAAGTGAAATCAATTTAGCAACCAAATATATACAAAGACCACCTCTCTATAAGGACCACTATTATGTTTCCTTTGAAATGAAATTGAAATTTTAAGTACTATAATGAAGTAAATTTTACAATGAGACCATCTGTAAATAAACCAGTTTCTTATCTCATTTAAGCAGTCTTTATATATGTGTGACTACATTTACATTACTAAGAACATTATTAAAGGTAAAGACCAGTATTGGAAACGCCCTAATTTCAAAAAATGAAATGGAAGCTCTCATTACCAATCATGTGAAAGAATATGTTTTGACTAATACATGATGATTGCTGGGAAACCGCCTACTAATTCATATATTTGGTAAATTTGTTTCTCTCATGGTCTGTGAGAGATATAGGGTAGTCCCATATACATCTTTTTGTGTATAGTGCTTGTAACTTTACGAAGAATGGGCCAAATTTCATATAATTTTGATGATTCCAGAACCTTGCAGATGCTAGATGCTGGATGATCAACCTTTTCTGATCTATTTCACAACGTTTCTTTCACAATGCAATCGCATGACCATAACTGGTCTTTACCTTTAAAATAAAATTATATAAAAAAAAATAAATCATCATTTGAAAATCTCACAATATCGATTTGACAAAGTAGAATTTAGTGCTTAATCATATATTACATTTTTAATAAGTAGTTACATGTAACTTGGTACATAACAGTGCACAACTTACTGCTATACTTATGGTATCTTTAAAAAAGCCCACCTAATCTCAAGTGCTTATCTTACCTTCACAATCTGCACTCCCAGTTTGTCATCATCTGGATTGGAGTGGTCATTGAAGGCCACCTTAACTGTCTTCTCCCAATCCAATTTGAGATGCTTGATATGTTTGTCTGCTAGGCTCAGCCAGACGGCCTTACGTAACTCCTGGGGCAGTCCAAATGGAAGACGAGCCCCTGCTCTCAACGCATCGTACCACTAAACAAAACAAGATACAACCAACAATTGTAACCATTTTCTTCTTACTAACACCCTTCTTACACAAAAACAAAAGATAGTACAAAAACAGCAATGGGAGATAAGAAGAAGGTAAAAATACTGAGTATTTCTGCATAACTTCAATCCTGGACCAAACATGCTTACCCTTATCAAAGTTTAAATTTAGATGATTTAGACCGGACTGGTGCTAATGAAATTAAAAAATCAAATATTAAGTGTAGAAGAATGTGATTGGGTTACAAATAGATTTAGAGCTGGGTTACAGTGAAGTTGACGTTAGAAACTGAAAAACTAAGCATTGGTTTGATTTTTGTGCAATGTTGTTCTTTCATAATAAATACAAAAATATAAGTGTGTTTTAATCACATCCTTTTCTTTTACTATTTATTTATTATTCAATGCACAAGCATGTATGCTTTCTTAGCAGTCAGGTAAAATAACCAATACTATGACAAATAATATGTGCCTCAGAGAATAAATCGTTAATGTCACCATGCAGCACAACATGTATGAAAAGATACATTTTGTCACTTTTTCCATATGAGCCTCAATTCCTTTCATTGAAGGCAAATTGATAATTTCTGTCAAAAAGAATAATCAAAACAAAACTACAAACAATGAACTCCATTTTCAACCCTTTTAATAATAAAAACTATGAAAGGCCAGACTTAACATACCCATCAAAACTGGTTGGAAAGATGTACTTCATTGAGACAGTAAAGCACTGCACAGGGGGCCACAAAACCGAATCATGGCCTCCATAAATTCACTCCAATTCCCCTCTTACCAACCCAACCCTCACATAAAATCTTTTCAAAAGATAAACAAAATAAAACAAGGTCAATGTTTGTGTGGAGGCCTGTGATTACACTTAATGCATATACATGATACAAGTCAAGCTGACCTATTATTACATGATCTGAACCTGAAAATAGAATTGTGATTACAATCTCAATTTTACCTACAAATATGAATTATCACTGTGATATCACTTCAGATAAAGAAAAAAGAAAAAACTGAAACTACCCTCTTTATTCATAAATGTCCTTCTAAGAAAGATACATGTACTATGTAGGCGTATGTAATTGACCTTGTGCAAACCATCTGTCAAACTTACATGCATAAAATAAACACAGGAATAACACACAACTGGGGTTTAGGATAGGTGTTACACATCTATATTAGTACAAGGGTGTGTACATGTACTATAAGTACTAGAACGAGCATCCACCTGAAAGCTGATACAGATATACAGGTAGTTTTTCATCAGGTACACTCGATACAGCTTTATGGTGTACAGTTACTGTTTACATGTATATTCTGCTGCGAATCAGGATAGAGTTGATCCATTGTTTAGGAATATGTAATTTCATACTTTAGGTTTGCGGTAGGTACTAGACGCTACGTTTGTGTACATGTAATATGTACATGTTCATTGTCATACTGTCTGGAAAAAGTAGTTTGGTTAATCTAGCAAGAATTTTCAGTTAATTTCTCAAATTACTGGCCTGAATTAAGCAACTATCAGGTTTGGGAGCCTGTCCCAATTATTCATTCAAAAGTTGGTCTCCTAAAGATTATGGAGAAAATACATTGGATCTGAGAATAAAGGTGCTGATTTCTTTATTTTATCCATTTGTGGAATTAAACAACCTTATAAGCAAGAATGTTGTTTCCATAGGAGATTAGGAGTTACTAGCACAAACATGTGATCAATACTAATACCCAATACATTTTCCACATAAACACAGTTTGGTGATTGTTATCAGTGATATATGGGACTGGCCCTTTTGTTCAGAAGATATAATCTTTTCCTACAAAGGACATACCTGTCTAAATGCCTTCTTCCCTGGTAGTGGTTCAATGCTGAACCTCAGCTGGGCATCCACTCCTAAAAACAAGACAAAGGCGGAGGAGGATAGCCAAGATATGAGTTAATGTTATTAATCAAGCAAAGGGTTATACATGCTTTCAACATGTTAAGCCTTCTACTTTCTGATGATAACACTGTGCATGATACATTTTTTCACTGTTGAAATTCAAAATTCAAAATTCAGAATAACATAATTGTATCTATTATAGATACTATAACAGTTATTTTGATTTAAGATTTTTTTCTTCGTTTGAAATACATGTAAAAAAGAAGAAAAGAAAATCATTTGTTTTAAAGTATGACGTACGGTAGGTAGTTTTACCTAAATACTGCTAAAATGAATACAAAACCTGGCATGGCATTTGCCACAATTATAAGAAAAATCAAGCCAAAGTATTAAGAGGTAACCAAAACATGTTACTGTATCAAGGAAGGAAAGGAAAAATGTTTATTTAACATTCTCATTTTGCTTCAATTTTAACCATTACCCGGTACATGACATTTTTATAAATGGATTCTTACCGTATTCAATTCAAACAATAATAAAGAAGAAAATATCATGGGGAAGGGAATAGCATCCCAATAGAGATAAAAAGAATTCTAGATAAAATTCAAACATTTGAGAGGTAACATATGATATAGACCAACATTACACACATGCAGGACATCAGCTCATAAAAGGTGCATGAAAATATCTATAATAAATGGTATATGAATAAAAATATGAACCATAGGGCTTTCTGTCTATTTTATTGCATGCATAATTGCATATAACTCCTTGTTTTTAGCTTATAAGAAATCAGAATCAAAATTAATTCTTGAAATTTATGTTTTAACAAAGGATAATAACATGTATTTCTAAGATTTTAAACATTTCAAACAAATAAAGTTACAATTCAGAAGTTTTGTTCATTGTTAAGGTATTTCATAGCCTTCCATAGCAACAACAAATAAATCCAACATAGAAGAAATCTGGACAGTAGTTGTTGATATATGTACATGTAAAAAAATGGCAGGGAAGGAAAATCACGTACTTAAATGAGATTATAAGAACTTAAGAACTTATAACACTTATGACATATATCCATGGCCCCTAGTTGAGGGGATAGAGAGACATACATCTAAAGAATCAAGGATTCTAAAGCACATCTACTTCAGCAATGATTGCCCTGTGGTCAATCCCAATAATATCTTAATTCAACCCTGGACAAATGCTTTACCAAAACTATCCTCAACTAGATGGAATTCGACTGCGCGCAGTCGAAAATGATGCCTCCGTCATAGAGCAATTTTACAAACCAAAACAGAAGAAATTTTTCAAATTCAAGTTCAATTGTAATCCATTAACAGGTTCTCAGAATATCGTGATTACAAACAATTTCTCATATACATATATGACCCTTTGAACTTTGACCTCATGATCCTAATATCTACTCAGCTCATTGGCTCTGCAAGATATCCAGAGTTAAATAGTAATCCATCTGTCAGTTCTAATGAGAATGCGTTCACAAGCTATTTTTGCATACATAATGAGCCCATGACCTTGGACCTTATGAACCAAGAATCTACACAGTTCATTGGCTCTGCAAGATACATAAATGATCTAAGTTTGGCAGGAATCCATCAATCTGTTCTAATGATAACGCGATCACAAGCTGTTTTTGCATACATAATGGGCGCTGTGACCTTTGACCTTTGACCTCGTTACCCAAAATCTAATAAGTTCATCGGCTATGCAAGTAACATACATGACCTAAGTTTGGCAGGAATCCATCAATCGGTTCTTGAGATAACGCGATCACAAGCTGTTTTTGCATACATAATGAGCCCTGTGACCTTTGACCTCGTGACCCCAAAATCTAATCAGTTCATTGGCTCTGCAAGATACATACATGACCAAAGTTTGGCAGGAATCCATCTATCGGTTCTTCAGATAACGCGATCACGAGCCGTTTTGCATACATAATGAGCCCTGTGACCTTTGACCTTTGACCTCGTGACCCCAAAATCTAATCAGTTCATCGACTCTACAAGATACATACATGACCAAAGTTTGGCAGGAATCTATCAATCGGTTCTTCAGATAACGCGATCACGAGCTGTTTTTGCATACATAATGAGCCCTGTGACCTTTGACCTTTGACCTCGTGACCCCAAAATCTAATCAGTTCATCGACTTTGCTAGATACATATATGATCAAAGTTTGGTAGGAATCCATCGATCCGTTCTTCAGATAACGTGATCACGAGAACGGGACGTACGTACAGACGTACGTACAGACGTACGGACGGACGGACGGACGGACGGACGGACGGACAACCCGAAAACATAATGCCTCGGGCTACTTCGTAACGGAGGCATAAAAAGCTAAATCCTACATGCTTGATAAAATAGAAACCACAGCAATTCGTTGTGCATCTGGCAGAAGGCTGTAGGCGCATTGCACCATTCTGCTAAGAGCAGACGCGCACTATTGAGTTAAACACAAGGTCGATAGTAATAAAGTGTCTGTAACTTCAAAATTATGTGTTTTATTTCATATGAAACCACTCAAATTAGGTAGTTACAACTTACAATTACAATCCATTTTTTCCTTTTCGTTATACATTGTATGATAATGAGAGAAATCCCTATCATGTTTGACAAATGGGATCACATTTATAGAGCATTCAAAACCTTCGAAGCAAGATATCAGAAATTTGGTTTGTGGCATGCGCGCCTGCTAACAACCTTCTCCTAGCGCAACAAAATTGTTGCCAAAACAAAAGTCAACTGATCCAATAAAGAAATGCATTACTTCTCTTCTGAGAAACAGCTTGGAGCATGGCTGTGAGGACATCTTGGTTCTTCTGTCTCTTGGCTAGGTAGCGATCCCTCCGCTTTAGCTGTTTGATGAGTCTACCTGACAGGACAGCTGTGCCATGCTGAAGGTCTCGAACCATGTCCAGGAGATCATTGGTGGCTGAATCATCAACAGAGAAGAAAGCAAACATAGTTAGGCAAAGGCCGACAAGGATTGAATAAATGATAGGCTAAAATTTGTATTGGAAATGAAAAAAACACCACATAAATTGTTTTGTTGTAGTTATTGTAAATATTGTGTTTTGTAGTTATCTCATCAAATTATGATTCGAGTTACACAGCTTACTACATTGACTGGAGAATTGAACAGATTTTGTATCAAATTAACTCCATGTTTAGTGTTTTGTGATACTACACACAAACTTCATTTCATGACGATAACTAAATGAGTGGGAATAACATGAAGATTATGACAGTAATGCAAATAATAATAGAGCCTAGGCTAGCGGCATGAATTTCATACATGTTTTTTTTCTCTCACTTTCTCTCTCTCTCTCTCTCTCTCTTTTCTTTTCCTTCTGTAAACTAAAGTGTTAGATCTAGGCCTAGATCTATTCTTAAATGCATAAATGGAGAAAAAGCGTCCTCACATTTTACATTCAACAAGGTTCTCGGCAATCGCGAGGACTCTTGAAAGCTGTCTCCTTTACTGCTAAGATAAGCTCCATCAGATGAACACTCTGTGAAGCCATCACTGTCAACACTTGGCCTTGTGCTTGCATGGCACCTGTCGTAAATCTCACACAACAGACCGTCCAAAATGGAATCTTTCCTATCGCGTAATTCACCGCCATCTTGATCCGTTTCCACGCTATCAAAGCTGTCCAATTTATCTAGAATGTTAGCACGTTGGCAAGATGAATTGGCCCGCCTCAGGTCCGACAAGTCTGGTTGAGAGTCGGAAGGGTTAAGGGATGACAGAGGCGAGGGAGAAGGGCAAAGAGACGATGGGTCACCACCTTCGGATAGCACGTCCAGCGGACCGAGGCCTTTGTCGCTGCGGACATCTCCGGCCTCGCTCGAGTTGTCGTCGTCGAGCACAATATCAACATATTCCCCGCTCGTTTCGAAGCCTATTTGGTTACCAGAGGACTGAATGCCTTGTTTATGTAATGCTCTGGACAATGCAAATGGCAAAAACAAATCATCAAAGTCCGAATTATCATCCGGTTCTTCCATATTGTCGTTTAGCTCATTATCGCTTCAGCCATTCACGTCATCACGTAACTCGCGAAATGAAGATTTTGGGTCAAAGCAATGACGTCGACGTATTGGATAAAAAATTAGTCTATTTTGCAGACACGTATCAGTATTGTCGAATTTCAGGATACTAGTAGACTCTACTGCGAGGTAATTCAACCAGGCATGTCTTCTTCTTCTTCTGATTATTAAGCTATGTTTGTATTCTTTATTATGTATCATTATCATGACATGTACATGTGTTGTACTCTCATACCCCAGAAGGGGGTCGAATGAGTCAATAAATTCTATTCTATTCTATTCTATTCTGATTAAGTCTGCCTCTTTCAATTGACTGAAGATTCTTGCAAACTATGTGCGTGTGTCTAGTAGTTAAATATTAGAGGTCTTCTTGGAGAAGCGACATATAAATATGAATTTGAAATATCCTCAAGAATTTCAGTATGCTATTAAATGCTATTTATTTACGTGTGATAGATCTATACAAACAAAACATATAAAATACATGCAAAGTTGCAAACTTCGAGTGCTAAAAAAATAAATTGAATATATGTTCTATAAACACATTAAAACAGTAATTTTTAAAGGTCTTAAGGAGACAATTTTTCAAAAGAAAGCTTAAAGAAACTAAAACATGAATATTCCCTGTCTGTTATTAATAGAAAAGGGTCTGTATTTTAAGACAACGAATTTCGGTTGAGCTCTCCGTTTGTTTTGGCAAGTACAAGGGACCCAACAACATCTCGTCACGACAAGGCATGCAAAGTCAAGAAGATAAAAACTAATAACTATTTAGTCCCATGCAAGAACCTGAAACTTAAAACTCCAGTGTTCTTCGCTTGCTACAAAGAACGTTCAGGTCAAGTTAATATGATCTAGTAGGGGGCAGTGAATATAGGCTATACATTTGAAAACATAACAAAACAATGGCAACAATTAATACTGATCTATATGCATCGGGGCGGGGGGGGGGGGGCGGGATGCGGGATATAGATGACGAGTTATTAATCCATAAAAGGGTGTTTGGGATATCAAGAAAATAAGAAACTTGGTGACAGCATGTATCGAATTATTTTTTTGGTACTGCTCTGGTATCAAGTACATGTATGTTAAATTGTGCTTTTTTTAAACAAAGAAATACAAAAGAGCAATCACTTCCTCTATATATGAAGACTAAATAAACACTGCTCTTATATTCTTTGTGCCTGATAATTTCTGATGAGCTATATTATAGGCCTATGAAGTATAGCTTCACACAATTACTTTCCTTTTTCTGAACTTCAAATAATCAAATGCATGCAGAATGTCTGAGACATTGACATTGACTGTAGGCCACCAAATACTTAGCAAGCCTCACGGATGCCCATCTTTGAGGAATATTTACTTTGGCTGATTAGCGTTCATTTAAAAATGAGATGCATATATTGCTGCAGCTCATGAAGAGAAATATCATGGTCTCAGGTGGATAACGATAATAATGATAATAATAATGATGCCAGTGATGATGATAATAATAACAGTAATGGTAACAATGATGATGATAATATACTAATTATTAGAATAATGATTATATCAAATATCAATGATAATGATAATAAACATTTTAAAACTTGATTTATTTAGTTCCTTTTCCAGAAGATAGACCTTCAAAGTGCTGTCGCTAATTAGTCTATAAACAAATTCAGAAGAATAGGGTTTTCAGATGTTTATCTTGAAGAATTGTAGTATACTATTGATGAAGATGAGGTATAATCAGCTTGTTATCAGGCCATCCGGGCTAGTTAAAACAAAGTGCAGGCCATTGATCAATCTTCAGTGGAGGAGGCCGAGGAGGAGGAGGGGGGGGGGGGAAGAGAAAATCCAATGTTAATATGGGACATTGTGAGTCCATATTTCTTATGGGAGCAATTGCTCCTCCTTTTATAAGAAAGTTATTACAGCTCAGCTTTTCAGCTGTAGGCCTATCCTGTATTATTATTTCATTATTTATATTATAATGCTTTCTCATACTTGCAAAATCACATATAATTCTACATTTCTACTTGCGGGGAGTCGGAAATGACTTACAGTGAACAGGCGCGGATCCAGGATTTCTTAGGGGAGGGGGCCCAACTTTTTTTTTGTTTTGCTCCCGAAAATTTGAAAATCGCGCCGGCCGAAAAGTCGCTCAGTGGGGGGGGGGGGGGGGGGGGGGGGGGGGGGGGGGTACAGAGCACAATTTTTTATTTATTTTTTTTTTATTTATTTTTTGCTCCCGAAAATTTGAAAAACGCGCCGGCCGAAAAGTCGCTCAGTGGGGGGGGGGGGGGGGGGGGGGGGGGGGGGGGGGGGGGGGGGGGGGGGGGGGGGGGGTAGTGAGCACATTTTTTTTTTTTATCCTCAAAAAAAAATTCAATTTGCACCCCCCCCCTCCCCCTTGAGCGCCAGGGGGGGGGGGCCAACCCCCAAAAAAGGTAAAAATCACGTGATTTTACATGATTTTTTTTCTCAAGGGGGGGCCGGGCCCCCCGGCCCCCCCCCCCCTGGATCCGCCACTGACAGTGAATGAGATGCAGGACCCCTAATTTTGTGTTTGTTTTTCTTTTCGTTTATAACTTCTTAACGTAGGGAGAGTTACATCTGGATATCCCATATATTGTATAATAATTATATATCAGCCTTAACTTTGTGATATTCATTTATGTTTTACCCAACCCGTTTTCTTTAGTTTTCATTTTTAAATCTAAACTTTCATGCATAAATCTCTTATATGCATATATAATCTTCAGTATTGGAGGCACAGGGGCGGATCTAGCTTTTTGCTCAGGGGGGGGGTTGACCAATAATGACGATGCGGAGCATCGTCCACGAGCCGCGAAGCGGCGACCCGATTTTTTTGGGGTGTTTATTTGAACCCCGTAAGTGATGTTTTCCTGGCATCTATTAACACAATGGAGACCATAAAAAGCAGTGCATGATAACGTCTTTTAAATCAAGTAACAGTTAAATACACAGTTATATCCAGAGTTATCATGTGTTTGGTTAAGTTACCAGATGAGTTGAATATCTTCTCACAATATTTGCTCTTGAAAGGGTTTCTCTCCAGCGTGCGTTCTTTTTTCTTTCTTTTTTTTTTTTTTTTTTTTCCTTTTTTTTTTCCTTTTTTTTTTTTTTTTTTTTTTAATGTGGGGATTTTGGGGATGAGAATCGGCAACGCTGGCCTAGCTTGTCACTTCGGCGGTGGCCCGTGTCCTCAAAAAAGCTGATGGGGGGGGGGGCAAGGGACTCTGTGACATTTGTTCGCCCAACCCCCCCCCCCTCCCCCCAAAAAGAAATAATAATAATAATAATAATAATAATAATAATAATAATAATAATAATAATAATAATAAATGAAATAAATACATAGAAATAGAATAAAATAAAATTACAAGTTTAAAAAAAAAGATAAGATTTTAAAAAATGGTCCCCGGATTTTTTTTTGGGGGGGGTTGCAACCCCCCCAACCCCCCCTCTAGATCCGCTTCTGAGGCAGATTATCTTGAAGAAGAAGAAGAAGACTATACTCATCTATCCGTAAGCCTTTCTTATTTATTTAATTTCCTTATCTCTCCTTTTAATTATATTATCCTTTATACATAATTATAATAATTTGTTTTCCTTCTTCAAATTTTCCCCTCTCTCTCTCTCTCGTTTGTATTTCTTTTTCTTGCTAAACTTCCATTATTGCCTCGTAGGCTTTCACTTTTTCCTTTTATTTATATATTGCCAATACCGTATTTGGCGCAAAGTTTAGATCGGTCGGCCAATATTTTGATTTCCAAACAAGAATCAGACGAAATTTCATGTAAGTGCCAATACAAAAATTATATTTGAAACAAAATGTTATATTGGAATACGTTTATAATGTTGTTAAGTGTTTATTTTTCAATTGTTTTCCAAGCAAAATATTCTAATTAACAGCTATCTAGAAGATGTTCATTGCGGATATATGCGTTTCTCACAATTCAGTCCCACTCGTTGTAATTGTTGTCGTGTCCGGCCCCTGTCTCTAGTAAAAATACTAATTTAGATCTAGATCTAGACCGATAAGTTAATGGATAATAGATGTTTTACTGTTTCTAGGACTAAACGTGGAATATCACCTACAAATATTAAATTACTCATTGTTGAAAACATAACCTAGTCCCTCACATTTAACTTGAAGCTTAAGTTAAGTATGAATCATTGTCTTGATTGAAATTTGAATTTGAATGTGAAGAATTCACTCTTCACTGCACTGTCATCATATTCATAATCGTATACATATTCATGTTAACATTTTTAAACGTTGTTATTCATTTTATTGTTTCTGTAAGTGTTATTTGTTGTTCTTCTCTTCCTTCTCCTCTTTCTTGTTCTTCTTTTTCTTCTCCTTTTCCTTCTCTTTCTTCTCCTTGATCTTCATCATCTTCTCCTTTCCTTTTCCTTCTCCCTCTTCTTCTTCTTCTTCTTCTTCTTCTTCTTCTTCTTCTTCTTCTTCTTCTTCTTCTTCTTCTTCTTCTTCTTCTTCTTCTTCTTCTTCTTCTTCTTCTTCTTCTTCTTCTTCTTCTTCTTCTTCTTCTTCTTCTTCTTCTTCTTCTTCTTCTTCTTCTTCTTCTTCTTCTTCTTCTTCTTCTTCTTCTTCTTCTTCTTCTTCTTCTTCTCTTCTTCTTCTTCTTCTTCTTCTTCTTCTTCTTCTTCTTCTTCTTCTTCTTCTTCTTCTCTTCTTCTTCTTCTTCTTCTTCTTCTTCTTCTTCTTCTTCTTCTTCTTCTTCTTCTTCTTCTTCTTCTTCTTCTTCTTCTTCTTCTTCTTCTTCTTCTTCTTCTTCTTCTTCTTCTTCTTCTTCTTCTTCTTCTTCTTCTCTTCTTCTTCTTCTTCTTCTTCTTCTTCTTCTTCTTCTTCTTCTTCTTCTTCTTCTTCTTCTTCTTCTTCTTCTTCTTAGGTTCCAACTTCTTCTTCATCCTATTCTTTCTTCTTCTTCTTCTCCTCCTCCTCCTCTTTCTTCTCCTATTCATCTTTTTCTCCTGCTCCTCTAAAAAAAAAGTGTTAAAGCACATGTGAGTGTGTGTGTGTTTTGTATTATGACTTCACCAGACCAATACACTCATTACAAACTTGCTCAGGCCGTCAGACGGGCGCAAATTAGCCTGATATTTCCCCAAAAGCGGGATATTTTGGAAACAAGACCAACATTTCTCTGGATATTTTCTTGACCAAATATCCCGCTAATTGCAATTGGGGCTGATGAAGACGCAAATTATCTGGCTAATTTGCGCTCGGGATAGTTAAAATAGCGGGTTATTTGGCGACCTCCAGCAGAAGAAGACAGGCCTACTGAATGTTCAAGATTACAAATAAATGACATGTGCCAAACGGTGTTTTGGTAGAAAATGTATAGGGGCCAAGTAATGAGCATAGAAAGATGAGGAAATCAAAGTAAGTAGGCCCGACACCATGTGCTTAACACAGGTTGTTATTTTTGTTGGAGATGATTTCCAGGGAGTTTTTGTGAGTTTGTTTTTATTTTACGTGTTCAACAATTAATCAATCTAATGCAGGATAAACAATCCAAAATGAATTATTTCCATGTTCTCTCGTCATACCGTTCCCATACCAGAGCTCAAGATTAGCTCTAAGGTGTACCCTGTGGGTCTTTCTGATGACTTATGATGGAGGAGGGACCAATAAAGTTTGCATCTGGTGGAGATGACATCAAAATTTGGGACCTCTCCAGCTCAACTCCTCAGCAACTGTTTTCACCGCATGCAGGTCCCATCTCAAGCCTCTGCTGGAGTCAGAACAATATCCTTTATTAATTTTGAACAGTTATTATCTAACTTATATTTTTGTATGACAAAAATCTTGACATGTAATCCATAATAATAATAATAAAGATAGATTTATTGAGTGCATAATAAACCGAGGTGCTTGATCATTACATTGTAAACATATAATGACAATTCACATGATCATAAGGAATGCAGGCAAAATAGAACAAGGGAATGTCACACACCCTGCATTTCTCTTCCCTGAAGCAAACAACAGAATTATTTTAGATGTAGCATGTTATTTATTTAATTTGTGATGAATTTAAAACTGAAAGCATGCTTAAGGTTGCTTGGCTTGTAAATTTTAAGCTAATCTGAATCATTAATGATCACACTTCAATTTAAACCCTAACAGTGTTCATATAGTCAGCAGATGGGACGCCAGAGATTTTTGATGGGGTTAAACCCGGTAAAGTTTTTCATCAGTGTTGACGTTTTTCAATCTTACACTATAAATCATTATTCATTGAAACTCTGAATAGCACCTCAAATAAGTCATGTAAATTATGTACTCTATGATGTTCCTTGACACACTATTATTTTCACATCAACTCTTGGCCAGTGCATCATCAGTTGGGGATAAGATTGTACTCTCCTACGGAAAGAGTCTTTCAACAAATATTATTGAGCTTGCAGTTGGGGTAAGATATTTAGACTGCCTGACAAAAGAATAATTATTATTGTGTAACACTAGAGCATTCACATTTAACATTGTCCTCACTATCTAGGCCACTACAAGGTCACTTTTTCAGCTCACCAGTCAACATGTTTCAACCAGTTGAGTGCAGCAAACCCTAGCCACCGATCGAAACGACCAAAGTGGTTTGAACTGTGTTCTGACATCAGCGCACACAATTTTATATTGAATTCAGATGTCAAAACCAACCCATCAATTGATTCCGACTACAAATTTGGTCTGATTTTGGACAAAAATCGATACAAATTGTCATTTTGGGGCCAAGAAGTGACTTAAATGACCATTTTGTTGGTGATAGGGTACATTTTATCCTTTAAAAAACAAATCGAATAAGCCCTACAACTCTCCATTGCTGATAATGATAAGGATTAGCCGTCTTTACAATTTTCGTTAGCGGTTCCAATACTACTGTTATATGCACATTTAAGGTTATATTGTGAATTTGTCAACTTATTCCTCAGCAGAAACACTGATATTTGATAGAAAAAAAACTGTCATGCGTAAGTAAAATACAAACAGCAGTGTGAATTCCACTTCTTTTATCTCTTTTAAACTCTCATATGATAGGAGAAGCAGACATGTCTTTCTATGAACTCAACCTCACGTTACCTGGTTTGTGGAGGCAAGAACAAGCTGGTCAGCATATGGGACCTCAAGAACAAAAAGTTGAAGAGGACATACAAGGTATTTATATACTGTATATGAAGAGTCTAGGTCTTTGATTGGTCAAAACTGCAGGCATGAATTTTTCTACAGAATGTTGGGCAATATAGCAAAAAAATATTGACCGGGCATAGTTCTACTTGCACAAGGAAAGGACAAAATAGTTAGTCTTGAAGTTAACAATAGATACGCTAAGTTAGACATGTCCAATGGTCTTTGACAAGTAAATTTTCCTTCCCATTTAAAAATAGTTTCAACCCTGCCCCACAGAGCAGTCAATATTAGTTATGCTATGATATAAGGTGTCAATGGTGTAGCTAAGACTTCCATTCTTACTTAGGAGCATTTAGCATTATCTTTGTGACCTGTTTTTTTTCCCTCATTTTTTATTTTTTTGTAATGTATTTTCCGGTAGTTGTTGTTGATGATGTACAATTATTTGTTTAAAAGAAAATGTGTAAATCATCATACAGAGAAATCAAAACAAATTAGCGAATGGATTAAAGCCATTGAATTGATGAAACAATCTACTAATTTTCTGCATGTTACAGGAGCATCGAGACAGTGTGAGCTGTGTGCTGTTCAATTGGAATGATTCCTACCTGGCATCAGGGTCGGCGAGTGGAGAGATCTTACTTCACAATGTAGTATCTGGTCAACCTGGCTCCCCTATGGTTGCATCCAATGGACAGGTAGGCACTCACTTACATCATGACAGGAAGTCAGCTATTTAGTCATTCAAATTATGTTTAAAAAAAACTTATTACCAAGGCTGATCTAATATTGAATTGCAGTTAATTTGAATTGAAATAAATTCATGAATCAGTAGTTAATCAATGCACAATCATTGATTGATGAATTTGCCTTGATTCCGATCAGTCACTATTCTTTAGCAAATGGGACCCCTGATTTTCCAATTACAAGGTATTCAAAAAGCTGATTGTGGGCCCTGTATTATATAGAGCTGCGATTGATTCAAATCACAACTTCTGTCTCTTAGGTACACAGCTGCGATTAATTACAAGTTGCGATTAATTATAAGTTGCGATTGATTAAAAATTACGATGGATTTGAGTCAATCCCAACTCTTAATGGTACAGAAACCTGGTGTATGTTTTCTATGAAGGAAGAAGAGAGTGGAGAAGCATCAACTCATGCACAGCTTTCAGATTTGAAGTGATCTCTATCTTCCATATTTATTATTAACTTGCCATATTGTAGATTTTTCCTATTTTTTATGTTATGATGATTCTTGTATATTTTTGTACAGTGGCTTGCCCGTTTCTAATATTGTGCCTACCATATCTTTATATGCTTCATTCTTTCTATCACACATTCATTCACCAATCCATCCATCCATTTGTCCATTAATCCACCATCCATCCATCTATCCATCCCTCCATCCAATCCACCCATCCATCCATCTATCCATCAATCCTTCTATCCATCCATCCACCCATTCAATCCATCCACCCATTCACCTATCTTTTCACAGACAATCCGGGATGTCGGGTACTCCTTCTTCAAGAAGTCTCTCCTAGCTGCTGCCTCAGATGATGGCAGTCTAACCCTGTGGGATACCAACACTAGTAAGCTGGTCACATCATTCAGCGATGCTCACAATGCACCCACCACAGCCCTGTCTTTCTCACCGCTCAATAATCTCCTTCTCGCCAGCTCCGGTCTTGACAAGAGGGTGGTCTGTTATGACGTTAATGGCAGAAGGCAAGTCTCTTTTAATAATAGTTTACATCTGCTGAATGTGTTTTGAAAAGTGTGTTGTATTTGGGTATAATGTCCCTTTTTACATGGGCTATGTTTTATGCCCATTTGCTCTAAATCATGAGTGTAGTGATACAATACTTACAAATGAGATTAAGTTGTGATTTTGAGTTGCTAGAAGTTATGAGAAGTAAGGAATGTGTTATATTGGTTTGCACATATGACATGTCCATGTATCCCCCCCCCCCCCCCCCCCCCCCCCGAATATGAAGTCTCTGAGATGGTATGATATCTTGTTTGACGTTAGACATAATTTGATTATTGTGCATCATGTTCATATTTTTGTAACTAAATAACATCAGCTTTTGAGTTGCATTTATTTCTTATTTTGGCAAAAATTGCAATACCATTTTAATCAAGAAAAGATTGATGTACAATTTAGAAAACATGACATTAATACCCAATACCTGGTTATTTTTCTATAGTGTGATCAAGACGATGACCGTTGAGTCCCCTCTCACATCACTGTCCTTCATGCAAGATGGAGCAACGTTAGCAGCAGGCTCCACCCGGGGCAAGATCTATGTCTTTGATCTACGCATGGGATCTGCCCCTCTCAAAACACTCAACGCTCACAAGTCTTCTGTACAGGCTATAAGATTCCAATATGCTAATGGAGCTCCTAAGGTAGGTGGTTTGATTCAGATGTGTACAATGCATATCTGATTATCTCTGTCCGGGTACTGACCTTTCACATCCAAACAAGTACTCAGTTTCTTCAGTAAGTTTGTATGCAAAAGCCACATGGCAAACTCACAACTGTAAAGTGTGGTGGGGAACCTTGATTTTAAAACTCAAGTTGTTTGACTGTAGTGAGATTCAGCCCAACTATCAAACATGATTGGTTTGTTGTTAGGGCTTACAAATGTTCTGTTTTTAATATTAAATGTTGAGTAATCTAAATTGATAGAAATTGACCTGACCAAGCCATGAGTATGTAGACTGACATTGATTGTGAATAAAAAAAATATAAGCATACAGGTTGATTTGACTATTTAAAGCTTATCTGGTCTAGTTTATAGGGGGAGATTATACCACACTGCAAGGTCACTGGACAGGTGGTTATCTCATCAACTCAGCTCTCAATTAACATAAGAAAAAGAGGATCATGGGGGACCAATGGTCACCGATTAGGCATTGTTTTCTATACAGAGGGAGCAAGTAGCTACAAGTAGTGCAGTCACGCTTTAGGAAAAGGGAGACCCTCAAATCAGTATATTTTGATAATTTTTACTCATTTCTATATTGTCATTATGATTCTGAAAAAAATATGCAAAAATGATATGGTCGATTGAAGGAAAAAATACTGAATATTATGAAAAGTAGTGTAAAATATATATTAAGTGAAATATTTAATAATTTTACATTTAATAATTGACTCCATTTTACTAACCATGATTTTCCTCAAGGTGAATGGGCCAGTCAGCAAATCAAGAACAGCAGGTTCTCACAAGAAGTCGTCATCGTCCACCTCTTCGATACCGATGCACGAGCCCAGCGAGCCGACATCATCCATTCCTGATAATGTGAAGGCATCTAAGGAGAGTCTCAATGAGAGGACCAACGGTGATCCTTCTCCACGGTATGAGCAGATGGACAATATGGATATCATCTCACCAATCAGAGAAGGTGAGATTAGATTTCTTTATTTGAGATTATGGTTGATGAATTGGTTGTTAATTTACCTGATATTTGACTCATTTCTGTATCCTCATTATGACACTTTAGGTAACTCATTCTGTCTGAATGTAGATTACTCAACATTTAACATTAAAAACATATCTTATCAATTTGAATTTTATTGCAATCAGATCACATTATGTAGACCTGAAAGATTTAGTTCAGTAGATTTTTTTCTCTGTAACGAAGAGTCCTCATAAGAGCTGCCTGAAGTCTCATTCACACATGATGCATATAAATCTCAGCGGCAAATTAAAATGACATAAATGTAGTGCATTTCCTATATCTTACAACACACAACACAAAGTGATTAAACATAGGGACTTTACTGGGTGCAGCTACTTATTTTTCGATCTGATCTGCCATTCACTTTCACTTTAGATGATATGGATATGCTGCAGCTCTTGTTTTTCCTTTCTTTTCTTTTTTTTTCTTTTGTTGTGATTTACGACATCATGTGTTAGACAGGATTTCCTTTATTGTATCATAAGCAGTTCTTAACAAATTTTAAATGGACATTTGTATTGAAACAGGAGGTGACTCGACCACAGCTAGGACATCAGTCAGGAATGGTCCCAACTCTGTAACTGATGATAGGCCAGAGACTATGGGCAAGGCAGAGACACAACAAAGACGTAACAGCTTACCTGGTAAGAACTATTCTTAATAAGTGCATATGTTCTCCTTTAGAGGTACACAGACTGAGACTATGTTGAGCATGCATCACATTACAGTATTTATTTTGCTTTCTAGCCAGTTTGAGTCTCTGATTCTTATTTTGAAGCAAAATTCAAAATTAATATTTTCTTGGTTATTTTATTTATCCTGTTGTGGTTTATACAAATAATAAAATGCAGCAACTTGAATTCTCATGTTTTGAGTGGGAGACTTCGAGGCCATTTTCCCTAAATAGTCTATTTTTCCATATAACATTGTACTCATTTACTAATTATTCTATATTTTTGGCCTGCAAAAGGGATACAGTAACTTTGAATTGTTTAATATTACATGCAGTTAACATAAGTATGTGTAAATACCAAAATGTGCTTGTGCCACTGGGCTTGAAGACTGGAATCATTCATAAACTACGATGGTAATGAAATAATCTTAATTGTTGTTCCATCTTTTAGGTGCAGGTATATTCTCCCCTCTGTCATCAGAAAATGACAATCCAAGTATTGATAGCTCAGTAAGGAGAAATCCTGTTGGATCAGTAGCCTTAGAATCCAGCCCTTTCGGACCAATTAGGAGAGCTTTTCCAAATAACTTGGATGGTCTAGATAATGGCACAACAACGGCAACTTCAAATAGCGTCAGGTTTAGATCGGTGAGTATTGTGTTCTTTTTTAAATTTTTTACAAGGTCTTTGTTTAGCCTGCAAAGTAAGCTTTGCCATCATGTGCAAATTTCATGTTTTCCAGCCTTTGCCATTGAAGATTTTACCGGAGGTAGATACCAATACCCTTAAAATGGGCCCCTATGTAAAAATAATATTACATTATTATTACATGTATTTGTGCTTTTTGTACTCTCTTCTGTAGCCATTGCACAGTCCGGTCGACCTTCCCTCGCCAAGGAGAACATCCTTTCCCACCACCGTCATGGATACAAGACGCATTCCAGCCTCCCTCAACATCCGTCCTGTCAGACTGGACAGTGATACCAGGATGGAAGGGGAGGAAGAGGAGGAGGCAGCATCACCAGTAACCACGCCAACCATTCATAGACCAGGTAAGACAAAAAAAAAATTATGATATTTCTATAATAGCCCCCCCCCCCCCCACCCTCATCCCACTTAATTATTGTATCATGCTAACTTACTTATAGGTTAGATATAGTTGGTAGATAAAATAGCTTCCAATGATCTCACTATAGTTAGACTAATGTCATGTTGATTCAAAGGCTAAAGATGAACCTCTTCTTTAACTTCCTGAGCTTCTAACCTTAAAAGTTCACCTAGATCTATGTGAAAAATTTATTTCAATTCTGATCATTCTGACAGAAAGATATAGTGCAGCCACATTATATAGCTTTAAAAAAAAAAAATTGTTCCGCTGTCATCCCAGTTTTTAATCGAGTTGCAGAAACTGTATCAGTGATTGTTGTAATAGGAGTAAAAATTTGTTGTGTGGTACATGTATAACAATATCACTTAAAATTTCAGTCATGAAAAAAACAAGGGACATCATCTATTATCCTGTGGAAAGATACAATATTAATCCAGTTATGATTATTATCATATTATATTGGTTTCTCCCATGCTGATTACTGTCTAAAGACTTCTCCAGTGACACAGAAACGTTATCCTGTTATGTCTTATTTTCCTCTTCTATCCAGTCTTCTCACCAGAGGAGCCCCCAAAGACATCATTCCCAAGAAGCTTTCCGTCCCCTGCTCCTCCTCCTCATACCAGTAGTGAGGCAGAAACAAGGATGAATGAAGGAGCTGTAGGAGGAGGAACAGAAGCTGCAGGAAGCTCATTGCAGAATACCCCATTCCAGACATTCCAAGTGGATTTCATCAAGAACTTGATAGAAGAATCATTGGACCAATTCAGGTATTATAATAAGATTCTACCTCCCTATTCGTCAGCTCAGAGTGAGAAAGGTGTCGACTCACACACTGTCCATTAATATTAATGCCTTCCTGGTGATAAGCAGACAATTTATATCCTGGTATATGGGTAAAGACTGCGAGGACATGCCATGCAGGTAATTTGTTTACTTGAAACACCATCAATGCTAGTGTTCAGGAAAGATATGAATGTTTTTACTGGAATATGACAGGGGGAATCGCAATATTATTGCTTTTCTTTTTGGCTTATAGGAATGTTACATATTTGCTCTTTGTTAGTGATGAACAAAATAGAAACTCATAACTTCTGTACAGGAGGAAGTTAATGCAATTTTTTTACTTTGTCTAATCACTGAAAATGGTGGTTTTGTGCAGCACATTTCAATGTCGCCTCCAGGATAAAGTTCAAAGTCCTGTAGCAAATTAAATCAGAAATTTCTCCCAACCTGTTAGTACCATAGACACAGATATCTTGTGTTTGTACCAAGATCGCTGACATATTACATTCCCCATTTTTAGGTAATTTTTTTTTAGAAATAGATATCTCTCCATAAACTGGATCAATAGTGGACATTTTATTGTCAATGTCATATGTCTACTTTGTTCTTGAATACAGGGTTGCTATCCACAGAGATGTTACTAATCTACAGTTAGAAATGCTCAGGCAATTCCAAATACAGCAGGTATGTATACACTTGATTAAAAAGCACTGTACATTGGACATGGAAGAACTAATTCAACAAACTGTATATGGGATTAATTTTTTGTGATGGACTTAAAATTATTTTGGTTAAAAATTTTCATATAAATGTGTAGGTGATGTTTATATAAACAGATTGGGAGATCCAAAGAATTACTAGAATCATTATGTAGATAATTGTTTGAATTGAATGATATTTCTTTTATATTTGTAGTGGGGAGTGATAGGATTTTTGGAAAAATAATGGTATTGATAGATGAGTAGGAGAATGGGAAGAAGAGAAAGATAGGAAAGAACAAAAGTTTTTAAATCTCATTAGAGCTTCTTTACAATTTTGTCTGGATTCGTTATCAAGATATTTCTATTCAACTCTTTCCTTTCAATTATCATGACTATCCTTTGTCTCCATAGACTGAAATACAAGCATTGCTCCAACGCTACTCCGTCAACGAGGGCCTCCTTTCAGAGATTGAGACTTTGCGAGAGGAGAACAAGAGATTAAAAAACAAATACTGATCTCGGCCATCGGCAGGACAAACTAGGAGTAACTTCCTCTATTGATACCAGAGATAGCAAGATGCCAGTACATCCACTGGATAATGCAAATTCTGGTGTTGTTCATGACATGAAACACAAGGTCATGATATTGTCACCTTACTCCAAATGGGATGTGATCCACTGGATGCCTCACTGCTATTACAAGAGGATGAATCCCTTCTGCATGCTTTTCATTTCAGCCAGCTTCCTCATGATCACATTGGATGTTTCTTTGTGTGGTAAATGTCCTTGGATCACTAAGGATGCAAGGAAGATTCTTAACTTCAAAATGGTGGAGGAAAATACAATTAGTGGAAATTGATAATCACTTGCAGTGGAGGGCAAATAATAATAATAATAATATTGGATTTTTATATGGCGCACGTATGCAAGGTCCTCAAGGCGCTCCAACATTACCCGGCTATGCTAGGCTGCTGATTTTCGACGCTCACAGCATTTAAGGAATTCCTTCCTACCGGTACCCATTTAACACCTGGGTGGAGAGTGGCAAGTGTAGATTAATGCATACATGCCAACTGTTCAGATTAAAGAGGAACATTCCTCTTTTTGGGAGAAGATAATTATCATTTTAATGCAGGTGTTCCTCTTCCTGTACAAATTTGTCTGTAGTATTGAATAGGAGAGTTAGGATTGTTCCTCTTTTTTTGAAAATAGCATAATTTGTACAGATTTCTGATTTTCAAATGTTGGCATGTATGTTAATGTCTTGCCAAAGGACATTAGTGCCGCAGTAGGACTCGGTACGAAGATAACCATCTCTAGTGGCTTCCATTTCTGAAAGTTTGGCTGATATTGTTTTCCCACCGGATGTATTCCTATGATGTAGTCTTGTGCAACCCTTGCAAAACAAGTGTCAAGATGTGGCAGTAAACCAGTTCAGAGATCTGTGGGTTGACAAAGTCTTCAATGGAGAGACTATCGCTCTGTTCTTCCAAGAAAATTGGACTTGAATACAGGCATGAGCTTCGAATTATGACAGTTCACAGACAATAACTTGGTCCCTGACTCGCCATGATAGAGAGGGTTATAGTGGGAAGGAAGAGATAGAGGGCGAAAGAGTAAGGGGAAGGGGGAGAAATAGAGAATGGGGGAGAAAGGGAGTGTCGAGAGGGGATAAGAGAGAGAGAGAGAGAGAGAGAGAGAGAAGAAAGAAGCCAGGATTCAGTGAGTATACTGAATAAATGTAAAGATGCTCATATGGGTAATCATAGAGTTGCCACTGTGCATAAATTTAATTGACTTTTAAATAAACCCTCAACTCCTTGAATATCTGTCAGTGGATTTTTCTCAAACACTCTAGTCAAGATTGGGGGAAAGAAGGCAAAGTAATAGTTGATATTTTGTTTCAAATCACAGAAGTCAAAGTTAGCATGAGAATGGTTCTACAGTGCTCTCAGCCTCTGGAAACATATGTTGAATCGTATCATAGCCCTGACTATGCCCACAGAAAAAGGAGATTCCGATATGCTAGTTGAAAGATGAATGTCCAAGTTTTTTCTGTAGAAAGTGATATCTCAGATTATATTGGCATGTTTACATTTTTTGTTGGTTGTATAATTTTCGTTTTTATTAAAACATGAGTTGCCAGTAATGCTGTGCATGCACATTCATACATTGCTTGTTAGATACAAAGCTAACATATTGCTATATGGAAATAAAAAGTTTCTTTTACTGAACTGCAGTTTATTTTTCATGAGACTCACTTGCAAGTGCATGTACAATGTATATGAATTTATTCAAATGCTGAGTATACTGTAGTTTATAAGCATACATACTAGTGAATATGTAGGTTACAATACATGGACCAAAATTCAACAGAACTTTGCCTTTCATTATCATCTTTCATTTGAGCATTAGTTATGATTACTCACCATTGAAAGCATGACATTGCTTTAATTTTGTTGCATCTTGAAATAATTTGCTTGAAGTTTTTTGAGCTACAGTGTGGAGACTAGAGGTCTTCTTTCTAAGTCATGCCAAAATATGTGCTCTATGTACTTGGGGATAGTTGAAAAGATTGAAGAAGATTGCACTAGTTCTGTTGAGGTTTACAAACTGCATTTCAAGATTAAAATGAGCTCACAATATTTGACTATCAAGTTCTCTTGTATGTCATTTAAATATTTGTTTTTATTCCCTGTTTGCATTTTTTCAAAAGACGCTCAATAAATTCATGCAGCATGTACATGTGTATCTCATTCTCTGCTTGTCTAAGGAAAAGATCAGTCCATGATGTTCATGAGTGAGGTTTCTGTTGATTTATAGAGGCATTACTATGACTTTGATGTAGTGTGATTCAAGTCATTACAATAGTTATCTGTATTTTATACAAAGCAGTATTTTATATAAAAGTGCATATTAGCTTTGAGCATCCATGGCAGATGTGATTGTTTTTGAGTTTCTATTATTGGCAAGCTTCAACTGATGTTGTATATTTGAAATTGATGGCAGGAAATGTAAAAGTCTTTAAAATAGTTCCTGCATTTTTTGTCTAGCTTGGCTTACAATTGCTATTGAATCCATTTGTTGGCACTATGCCATTGTTTGGACATTGCTGTATATATCTGTAAAACTGAACATATTTGGTATTTATTCTATCTTCTATCTTCTATGCATGTATAGACAAATTATTTCTGGCAATAATACAAATGTAAGTGGCTTATTCATGTTCAGGCAAACATTTTATAAGAAGCATTATTTGATGCACTATTCAAGATTCATGCTCAATCTTAAGTGAGAGCTTCAAATTGAGAAAGATATGAAATGAAAGAGCATAAAAAAGTAGTAGAATTCAAATTAAATATCTTGAATGCATTCTTTAGGTTTTACTCTTTTCCATTCCTGTTGGATAGTTTACCGGTAAAGAGTAATTTTGTGGCTCAGTGCGGTATCGGTGAGAAGCAAATGCTCATACTTTTTTTTTGACTGATGATTTTTTTATTCCGGTGGTCAATAAAGCAGATTTGTATGTGTAAGAATGTTAAATTTTCATGTGTTTCTACTATCGCAAGCATATTTCAGCATTGAATAACTTTGTACTTTGTCAGAAGTGAATTTCATTAATGCAATTTTGACCAATCAGAAGCCTAGAATCTTCTTGATATGCAGAGTACAATATGAATATTTTTCTGCATGTTGTTTATGTAATTATCTGCTAGAATGGTAGTACCATAATTAACGAGAACATGTTACGTCCTGCTTACCAATAATCTTGCAACATGATTTGTCAAAATGAGGTCACATGGCAAAGAATATATTGTCTATCAAGGCAGTCCTTGTAGTAGTAAACAATATCACATGTGTCATAGTCATGTTTTGCTGATGCCACATAGATGTACATGCTAAAGAGCTAATTGTCAGTGTTTCATTAAAAATCAATCCCACCGCTGCCACCAGTTAGTAATCATATAATATGTAGAAGGAAAAGTCTCAAATGAAGTAGTGACATTTCTTCATCATAAATTGTTTAATGCACATGTTTCTAACATTTGTATATTGTCTTACACAGATGGCTCTTTAGGAGTCCTTGTATGAAGTATGTCACATTTCACTCACATTGGACTCTAGGGTTCCCATGAAGAGCATGTCAAAAGTCACACACATCAAAAACTTACAGCATTCAACTTACAGTTACAACATCATAAAAAGCCTACATCATTATAAAATTGAAATCCTTCCTTTTCAAATGGCAATTATTATTTTCATACTGAAGTCGGGAGATTCTTCAGTTTAATTCAGGAGTATTATTCTGAGAGGTGTCTCGGCCTGCTGGGATGAATGGTGTTGGCATTGTGTAAGATCTGTCACAGGATAAATTATGATTTATTATTTCTATTGGGGGGAATCAGCAAGAAGTTTGATTTTCCAAAGTAAACTGGCTTTATTGTATCTCTGCAAATATAATGTTAGTTTCTACCCTATCAATCACAATTTGAGATTACAAAAATTGCGCATCTTTAGTTTGCTGGTGTAATATCCATTTGGAACCAAAATTGATTAAGAATGTAATAAGTACCTAATTGATTTTATCAATTATGGGTTGACGTGAAAAGACAGATTTTCATGGACATTGCATTAGATTCTTCGATAGATTAACCCATCATTAATTTGAAACAAGTACTTTGTATTATGGAGAAAAACACCTGTGCCCCTGATTTATGACATTTGAGCCGTTTTGTATTTGTATTGAATAATATATTCTGGAGAAAAAAGGAATGTACTTTGGAATATATATGATAAATGCTTGTATATGAAGAAATGAAGAATAAAATTTTCTTTACATCAGATAATCTGAAATGTTATATTCTTTGTACATATAACTCGGGTTGTCATTAAGATTATTGAGTAACAGGATACATTTGGGGATATTGGGGTGTTCAGCTAGATTAATTGTCCAAATGAATATGTGATTGAAAACAATGCTATTCTTTTTTATCATGCCCTTCTTCTTTAATTAGAAATATCTGCAAAAGGCCCTTTCTATTGAGATATATTTGTGTAGTCTATATGTCTTCCTGATCTACCATTACAGTAAAATGATATTGCCATATTTACCACAGCCCGAGAATAGTTTGGGACCAATTTCTCTAACATGTGACAATGGAAGTAATGAAGGAAGGGAGTTAAATTATTATTGAGAAAGAGGCAGGAATAGAAGGAATAGAGCGACATGGGATATAGAAAGGGGGAGGAAGAAAGAAAGAGAGAGAAAATGTGAAGGAGCATCAAATGAATACAACTTTCACCCCAAATCAAATATCAACCACACAACAAACGCTGCGAAAGAGCCTAGCATAAAAACCTGTCAAATAAAACCAACAACAAATAAGCAACAAAACAAGGCAATAATAAACAAACTTACCAAACAACGAAACGCTTTTTACCTGTTATGTCAATTTAGGAGAGAGTTACTAAATAAGCCCGAGGGGGAATTCCTTGATCCGATCAGTAAAAGTTACATTTTGTGATTCTTCTAGTTGAGAGAATGTTATTATAATAAATATATATATATTTTTTTTTGGGGGGGGGGGGGGGCAATCAGGCGCGGATCCAGGATTTCTTGGGGGGGGGGCAAAATTTGAAATCATGCGAGCCAAATATTGGTACGTAATGGTAAAGCAGTAGCATAATGAGCAAAGGGTTTGGAGGGGGGGGGGGATCCGCATCACCACCACTCATACATGCAGGCCCCGCTGAACGTGTTTCAAAGTGGGTGGGGAGATGCTCAAGTATTTACAATCAGGTAGAGCGTAGCGTAAATTGGCCTGGGGTCTAGGGGAAAAGCCCCCAGGAATGGAGCATTGAATTTTTCTTTGGGGGGGGGGGGGCTTTCAAAAATTTGAAAAATCGCAACCCCCCCCCCCCCCCCCACTTGAGCGCCAGACGAGGGGGCCCCTCTACAAAAAAGGTAAAATTAACGTGTTTTTACCTGTTTTTCTTCCCAGTCGTCAGCTAGCTACCATTTTGCTAAACGTTAGAAAAAAACCTAATCTTTGAAGGACTGGATTATGACAAATTATGAAAATGAGAACTCATAGCCCCTAATTATCTTTGGATTCATATGTAGTCTTGGTAAAATCTACAGTTAGAGATATAGGGTAGAAATTAAAAAAATAAACGTTTCTTATTGATATCAAAACCTGATAGAAAAACTGTAAAAGAGATTAGCCCATCCACTCAAAGCTTTGCGTTGCTCAGGAAGCAAATAATCCAGCGTCTAGCGACGGACTCGGCGCATGCGCAAAGGGTAGAAATAGTTGGTCAAATGCAAATTTAAGATGAGGGCAATACCGACCTGGGTGGATAAAGTCCAAGATAGGGACAGAGTTGAACAATGGTAAGTCCGATGTAGGATTGATATTATTGATATGAATGATATTAAATTGTTTCCCTCGGAAATAATGTGAGGAAAATACGGAAATAGTGAGGATATGCAAACTCGAATCAGTATGTAGTCCCGTACGTATCTATTGTTGTGTGTTTAGTGTTGATGAACAATAAATGCGTGAATCAGCTTTCTCTTCCAATTTGACATTGGTGGTGGTTAGTTATTTTACCTGACTGCCAAGAAAGCAAAGATGCAACCAGACGGTCAGTGTTCTGTGAAGCGCGTTACCTGTTTAAAGCAGGATGTGTCAAAATCTCTGTAGTGTGACGGAATAACTAGACCTAGTGATAGGGTGTCTGAACGATTTTTCAATTTTCAATTTGGGATCGTTTTTCACCATTTTTGTTTGATATTTGAATAAAAAATGTTATCAGAATAATACATTTCAAATTTCAAGTCTCACCGATGTTTCTATCAAAAGTTACAGCCCCTCCAACACGCTGGTATATTCATATCATTTTGGTCAAAATCGACGAAAAAGACGTCCACGCAGAGTGATGTTGTTTTGCTAAATTTAGCCAAACAGCTGTATCGCGCGATATGCAAGCGTATGCATATCGTACGCATGCTGCTAAGCCAATCCGCGACTTGCAGCTTGAGCTACGCTGTCTCCGCGACATGTGCGATTGACTAGTATGGTTGGCGTTCGTCGCACAATAAACCCGGAAGTGAATGCACGTTATAGTCAATGGCAATATCGCGGAGACAACGCACGTTGTCTCCGCGATATTGCCATTGACTATAACGTGTATTCACTTCCGGGTTTATCGAGGGAATTGCCAACCATAATTTCAGTCACTATAATTTGGGGTTTCGTTCGTGCGCGGAGATGTTACGCGATGTAACCATGGTTTGGACTGAGCGGAGCGCACGCCTCCTAATTAGCTGATCCACCAAATAGCGAGAAGGGTATTTTTAAACTGTTATCAGTTGTGATCCCTGGGGGCTAGCGAAAATATAATCACATAGAATTGTTCCTTAGGACTGGGACTACTTATCGATCGGGGCGTCATATCTCAAAAGTGACAAACCTCAGAGTTAGCCAGGACACAATGTTTAAATTGCTGTTTTGACCAAGATATTTTTAGAATTTCGGGGCCTACGCCCCTTTGGAAATATTGGAATTCACCTGCTCTTTCATATGACACCTCATTCATTGATTATCACCTTCAGGATCACAACTGATAAAGGTTTGAATCTCGATTTGAAAAAAAAAAATTGACTTTTTTTGCATGGTCGCGCAATGCACGTAGGCTGCATAGGGATGCGTGTAATCTCTATGGGAAGAATTTTAGCACACAACATCGGGTGCGCGATCAGACACCCTACTAGTGACTAGTCCTAGGCTAGAGGTCTAATAGTACCTAGATTTTATTACATGTGGACTTTGCCAGTAGTTCCTCTCGGAAGCCACTCGAGCGGATCGGCCAATGAGAGCGCGTAAACTCATTGTACAGCGCTCAATGCGCAAAGTTCTCCGTAGGGCACTAGCGCATCGACTTGGTCTTGGTTTCGAACCCGGGTCACCAGATTACGAGACCACTGCTCTACCAACTGAGCTTTCGCGCCTCCATTCCCATGTGCATTGTTATGAAAATAATTATGCCTAGGCCTACTCGAACTCGGTCTTGGAATTGAATAAAATCTTGAGGCGATCATTCCTCTAAAGATATGTATTTCATTAAGCTCAAATATCTTGCTTAAATTTAAAATTAAATATTTTTTAAAATAGATTATAGGCTACTTCTAGCCTATAAAAAAGCAATCATTCAAAAATTCTAATTCGAACTTTACCCTCCTTTTTTAAACACAGTATTCATGATCTTGCATTCAAGCCTGATGGAACCCAACTTATTGTTGCTGCTGGTAATAGAGTATTGGTAGGTCATGATATTTTGTATGTTTTTTTAGACTTCTGACCTTTTAATTGGGATATCTTTTGTGTTTTTTCTTCTTTTTAAAAATATTTGTTTTATTTTTGTGTATAACTACTTGTTATTTTAAAGCATTTTTTTTTTTCTTGACTTGTCCTCCTTGTCATCCTCCTTCTCTTTGTCCTCTTTCTCTTCCTCCTCCTTCTTATTTTTTCTTCTCTTCTCTGAAGTCCTCTTCCTCTAATTCCTCTGCATCAGTGCATCTTTTTCATCCTCTTCTTCCACTTCCTCTTCTTTCACTTCCTCTTCTTCCACTTCCTCTTCCTCGTCCTTCTATTTTCCTAATCCTTTATTTCCTTACTTCTTTTCTTCCCTTCCTTTTCCTCTTTCTTTTTTTTCTCTTTCTCTTCCTAAAGTATTTCTTTCTTCTCTTTCTCTGTGTCATCCACTTGTTCTTCCCCTTCCTTTTCTTCATCCTCTCTTTCTTTGATCTCCTCCTCCTCGTCTTCTTCCTCTTCCTCTTTCTCTTTTTCATCCTCCCCTTCTCCGTCTTCCTCTTCCTTCTTTCTCTTACTCCTCTTCCTCTTTTTCATCCTTTTATTCTTCCTCCTATTCAAGTAATTAACTAAGGAATTCACAATAATTGATGAACTAGCATTGTTTAATACTTTCATAGCATAGAATATCTGCTCAAGACTTGTGTTGGTATCTACTATCTAGTCAAATCAAGATCCTTGGAAATTTTTTCTTCATATTTCATGAAATTCATTTATTCACTTTAAAATGTCTGAAAGTTGTCGCTGCATGGAGAATTTGCTTATAATGCTGAATACAATATCAATATCATTCTACAACAAACCATACAGGCTCTCTCTCATCAACTGTTTCGAACCTCCTCCATTTTATCAACTGCACAGAATTAAAGTTATACAATATATACATATACACTCACTTACACTTGTTGTGGCGTGCACATGTAATCCAGCTAACAGTGGAAGTAACAAACTGATTCAGCCAAAGACGCAGGTTTGAAACTGAGTCACGTCTTTCGGACGGTGATGTTTAAAGGTCGGTCCCCAGACGTAAATATTCATATCTGATTGATACACATCTGTAAAAACCCAATACACACACAACACACTCGTTTGCACCCAAATCAATGTCATGTTATCAAAGAAAGCATACCAATTATTTTAGCTTGCCCTCTCTTTGGAATTGAATGGACAAGACACAAGTAAAAGAAAATTGATAAACATTAAAAATGTTATTATGCCAGTATCACTCCTTGTAACTTTCTTCTTATTTTAAAGGTTTATAGATGGTGGTCCTGATTATCTTCTCTCAACCCATCGATACATTGTGTTTTTTTTTACAGGTGTATGACACCAATGATGGCACACTTATGCAACCCCTGAAAGGCCACAAAGATACAGTGTATGCTGTGGCTTATGCTAAGGATGGTAAGAGGTTTGCGTCAGGGTCAGCCGACAAGACGGTCATCATCTGGACAGCCAAACTAGAAGGAATCCTTAAATACACGTAAGGCAGCGTCAGGGAGTGACTTAGATTGAAAGAGGATCTTTGGAAAAATTATATATTCAGGCTTGAGATTGACATGCAATGAATACATGACGGTAAAAAGTCATGATGATGAAGATGATGATGGTGGTAGTGGTGGTGGTGGTGGTGGTGGTGGTGGTGGTGGTGGTGGTGGTGGTGGTGGTGATGATGATGATGCTGTGATGATGATGGAGGATGATGGTGGTGGTGAGGATGATGATGAATTGATGATGATGATGATGATGATGATGATAGTCAGGAGAAGAGGAGGAGTATTTGATATAATATATAATAATAATGCATGGAATAGAACAGTATTTCACATGAGGTTTGGCATGTCATTCTATTGAAATAATCTGATTTTGAACTTTGTTCCTGTTCCTTGACAGAATGAGCATTCGGAATGGATCTTTTTTTTCTCTCTTTATGACATGTTTGACATCATTCCTTGTACCATTACAATAATACCATAATGTTGTGATGGTAAGTTGTTATTGGTAAATTAATACAATTAATGAATTTCAAGCCCTTTGGCATATGACTACCTATAACTGAGCTCCTAAACTGAAGGTTGTCACATTATCCAGATGAACTAATAATAATATATGTGTTATTGTCACCAGACACAATGATGCAATCCAGTGCCTTGGGTTCAACCCCATCACTCACCAGCTGGCTAGCTGTGCATTCAGTGACTTTGGTGAGTAATTGAGTACCATAGCTAGAATTCATTCTAAGACTACAGGGTTTGTGGTAAACACAAGGGTTAACACTGTTTGCACTACATGCAGACAGCAGCATTTGGTATAAAGGCAGAACTTTGCAAAAGTAGCTACAAATCTTGGATCTATAGATGTGTAGTTATACAACTCTTTTTCATACTGCCATTAAAACAGATTTAACAGACTTTCCAAGATATAATGTCATATGAAAGACATGATATTGATTGATTCAATAGTTGCAATCTTTGATAGATCATTAGTGGTGGTGGGGGATCATCTTACAAAGATTGGTATTATTAAAATCATAAAACAAAATGTAGCTATTGATTACTCAACAGCTATAGCAGTGTTAAAGATAGATTAGCAATCAAACCAATTTGGAGCAATAATGTCATTAAGAGAGTTTGTGCCCTTCTGGCTCCAAACAGATGAAATATACTCAATCTTTAGGACCTTGAATTTTGTAGCGCATCAGAAAATGCCTTTGCTCATGTGCATTGTCTTATTTTAAACAATTGATTAATAATAGAAAAAACCCACCTGGAGAATCTACCCGGTACTTCACATGTATTATGTGAAAAGGCATTTTATTTATCTTACTGGTAATGACAATCAAACTCATTTACTGTTAAGTTCTCTCCCGGAAATCTTCAAGAGGAGAATACCAGATAAATATTAGAAAGATTGTTTGATCTACAATTTTGTTTCATTTTTTTAAAGGATTATGGTCCATGGAGCAAAAATCTGTATCCAAACACAAGGTGACAAGTCGCATCACATGCTGCTCCTGGACGAATGATGGCCAATACCTAGCTCTAGGACTGTACAACGGATGTATCATTATCAGAACAAAGGTAAAACTAAGCTAGTACAGGCCTGATTTTACATCAGGCAAATATTAGATTTTTTTAATTAATACCCCAACACCTTTGTTTTGCCTTTCTCTTCGGCTGAAGTATTGTAACGAAACCGGTTCCTGTCGCGATGTTCTTCCCAGCAGCTTCTCTTGTCAGGATGCCTTCTGCTGGTAGGTTTTCCTGGTCCGGTACCAATTTTACCGTGGATCCGTTTGGCAGAAATATACTGCCCCGTTGACGTTGACACCAGTCTGATATATTGCTCCGCACCACCTCTCGACCACCGTCTTCTACCAACCGTTGTACCGTCGTATACCACAAGCCAACTAGGCCAGTCCGCTTCTGCACCCTTCAGACGTCTATACCAGTCTGCTTGCGCATGCAACTCCAATTGGCCGCACCAGTTTGCTTCATGCACCTTCCAGACGTCTATACCAGTCTGCTTGTGCATGCAACTCCAATTGGCCGCACCAGTTTGCTTCATGCACCTCCAAACAACCAGACCGTCTGACTTCGTACAGTCAGCTTACTCGACCATGCCACTGGCTCTGCTACACAGTAGTCCCTGGTATTGTCTAATACTAGAACGTAAAAGACCCAACAAACACAACCTAGATTCTTACCATGGTCGTCACCTAAAATCAGACTTCAACTTTAGGTTTCCCCATGGAAAGACATGCAAACGATCATCTCAATCATTTCGTTGCACGCAATACTTTATTGGGCAAATATCCAAACATAATCTGATTGCCTTACAATGTAAGTGTGCCCAGTGGGCGACGGCAATTATGTAGACTATGACAGGAAGCTCTCAGACCTTGAGACAATTGATTTATATACACATTTCTTATACATTTATTATTCTGGTTAGGTTTCCAAAAATTACATAAACATTGATATAACTCCACTTTACAATATCAGATTGAAACAAACCATATATCAAATGAAAGCATTAGTTTTATTCTATAAAACTAAACAAAAGAGAACAAGTAATTATTAATGGTAGAAAAGTAATTACACTAAAACTGTCAAAAACATGCACAATCGAACATTCTTAAACTTAACACGTGACTATATAGCGTCGTATATTTTACTTGAATTACGCCATCTACGCCGAAATAACTACTACGAAATGAAACCAATTTCGTGACACAACTCCCTTATTTTCCTTAGCTCGGTCCCCGAGCGATATCTAACAACAATTTACAAACTGCATATAACACATTTACAGAAAATAACGTCCATGGGCATCTAGGTATCCTTCCCACCGGAACCACCGGTTCTAAGTTAATGCAGTACTGACTGAATTCTTTAACGAGAACTATCAGTGTCAGTTTGAGTTTCAGCATTCTTACTAGCAATTTCAGTCCACTCACTAGCCCACGCAGTCTCCGACGCCATTTTCCTAGATGAATATCGCAAGTCAAGTGGTGAAGGGGACCTTTCGTCGTTATCCAACTCTTCTCCTGGTTCGGGCGTAGATTGTCGGCTATGTCGAGGGGGAGCTTCCGATCCATCATGTTGTGGAGACTCCGGGGTCTTTTGACATGACGATTTCGTCAGGTCTCTTTGGAGCGATTTGGATTTTCGTCGCGATGAGCGGTAACGACGTGGTGACCTCCCTCGAGGTCGGTCCAATCTTGGATCATCACGTCGTGGCGACCGCCAGTCCATTCTTACATGACGCCACGATGCATCAGCTTTTTCAGAGGTCCCTGTTATTGGCGTGGAAGTGGGTTTGCATCTTGGCGAAGAAACAGGTGTTAAGCTGTGTTTTCTCACGGGAACCACAGCTACATCGTGGGCTCCCTGATGCCGCTCCATCTCCGTCTTCCTACCCGTGCGATAATCGCATTGGTCGCAACGATACTTCAGGATATGCACTTCCCGCTTGTGTCTTTGCAAAGAGTCTTTCTTCTCATAACTTTTGGTACAAGAGTCACATTGAAAGAAGTGGGTAGTCGTACGTCGGGCATCAACGTCCTTGTCTCCCTGCTTGTCGGGTGGCATGTTTCTGCTTGCACTGGTTTCAATGGGCATCGTCTGATTGCACATTTCTGTGCCCACTTCTTCCAGCGCTGACAATGAGGCAATGGCAGTGCCTGCCTTTGTGATCCCCTGTTCCCTTGTTGAATTGAACACCCTGACAGGCAACACATCTTCATCTGCCTTCACGACAGATCTGGCAACGATGGGTCCCTTTTTCCATAACTCGGTTGGGTTCACAGGAGATTCTACCAGTCCTTCACACAGTGCTATCTTTTCCCCTGTTACTCTGTCTGCTAGCACCATTTCGTGTCCTGGAGGAATTGAGTATTCCTCCCCCGCTACTATCCTTCTGCAGAATGATTCTCCTTCACTATCTAGGCATGGAATTATGCCCCATTCGGTCCTCAATTCCATCTTCTGGCAGTCAAGTACGGCATTAATTTGAACTAGAAAATCTAGCCCAAGAATGCCTTCGTTCTTGAGGCTGGCCACAGTAACCATTGTAGTGACAAGTGAATCTCCGATCTGCACTTCCATCCTTGATTTACCTCTGGTCCTCAACGGGGTCCCATCTGCTTGTAGTACCACGCTGGTCACTGGTAATAACTCAGGTCTTCTATTATCCTCTATCCGGTCAAACACCTTATCTGAAATCAAAGTGTTGGTGGCTCCGGTGTCGATCAGTAATTTCAAGGACTGTCCATTGATTTTCCCTTCCAGGAAAAGTCCTTTCCTGTTAGGATCCTGAGACGAACCAACTCTGGTCTGCTCCTCTTCATCTGTCATCCCATTTGCAGTTGCCCACTGCATGTTTGTATTTGCTTTCTCTGCTGCTGGTAGTGCTGTTCCTCCCCTAACTTTCCTTGGATAAGGACATTGGTTCCTCCAGTGTCCCAATTCATTACAGTTGAAACACCGGTTATCTTCCCGTTCTGAGACTTTAGTTGGCATGGTTTGTTCCGGTCTCCTATCTGGTACATCTGGTTTAATCGTATTCCTCCCATTTCTCATGTCTAAGGCATCTAATACCTTCTCTACTATCTCATCCATAGTAGGATTCCTTGGTTGCTGTTCACGGATGGCTGCAACCTCACACTCTTCCAGTGCTCGACTGTACGTGGTTGAACGCTTCACTTCATTTCTCTGACCCTCCATCCTCAGGAAGGCCTCTGTATTTAAAGCTGCTTCCACGGCATCATCAAGCGTGCGAGGTTGAGCACGGAACAATCCTTCTCTTATTTCTGGTGTTACTACGGCATCCAGAAAATGCCCACGGGCTAGTCGGTCTTGTCCTTTTTCGTCGAACTCGGGGTAGGACAAAGCACACAGCTCCCGTATTGTCTGTCCTAATTCTTGGAGATTCTCCTTTGGTTGCCGACGACGCTGTCTCAACTCTGCTAGGTATACCTCAGCTTTGCCTCCAAGACCAAACCGGTTCTTGAGTCTGTATACCAACTCGTCGTATGTCAAATCCACTCCAGGCTGTTGGGTTAACAACTTCACAGCAGATCCTCTCAAACTTGCAGCAAGAAACTGCACTGCTTCTACTTTGGTCCATCTGTTTACTCCAGCACATGCCTCAAAATGGTGCAAGTAATCCTCGACAGGACTGCGACCGTCAAATCTGTCTGGTACCATATGGGGTCGTCTGCCGATTAATGCATCATTTGCCCTCCCCACATCATGCATAGGTGGAGAGAAAAGCGGTGGTGTAATATGAACTCCAGTTCCTGCACTGAGCCGTCTACTTTGTTCTCGGGGCGTTGAACTAAATCTAACCCGCTGTGCCGCTGGCATCTGTGAATCTGCAGTTGGTCCTGATGCAGTTTGTCCACTCAGAGTTGGGGGAAATGCTTCCTGGCGGCCTGGTTCTGGGTCTGCAACTGGTACCTGACTCATCGAAGCACGTAGTTGCTCCATCATTTGATCTACTTCTGTCATACTCCTTTCTAAGTGCTTCATCATTTCTCCTGGCGTTGGTCGATTCTGCCTATTTCTTCCTTGTGCCATTGTCACTGGATCCCACTTCTGACACCACATGTAACGAAACCGGTTCCTGTCGCGATGTTCTTCCCAGCAGCTTCTCTTGTCAGGATGCCTTCTGCTGGTAGGTTTTCCTGGTCCGGTACCAATTTTACCGTGGATCCGTTTGGCAGAAATATACTGCCCCGTTGACGTTGACACCAGTCTGATATATTGCTCCGCACCACCTCTCGACCACCGTCTTCTACCAACCGTTGTACCGTCGTATACCACAAGCCAACTAGGCCAGTCCGCTTCTGCACCCTTCAGACGTCTATACCAGTCTGCTTGCGCATGCAACTCCAATTGGCCGCACCAGTTTGCTTCATGCACCTTCCAGACGTCTATACCAGTCTGCTTGTGCATGCAACTCCAATTGGCCGCACCAGTTTGCTTCATGCACCTCCAAACAACCAGACCGTCTGACTTCGTACAGTCAGCTTACTCGACCATGCCACTGGCTCTGCTACACAGTAGTCCCTGGTATTGTCTAATACTAGAACGTAAAAGACCCAACAAACACAACCTAGATTCTTACCATGGTCGTCACCTAAAATCAGACTTCAACTTTAGGTTTCCCCATGGAAAGACATGCAAACGATCATCTCAATCATTTCGTTGCACGCAATACTTTATTGGGCAAATATCCAAACATAATCTGATTGCCTTACAATGTAAGTGTGCCCAGTGGGCGACGGCAATTATGTAGACTATGACAGGAAGCTCTCAGACCTTGAGACAATTGATTTATATACACATTTCTTATACATTTATTATTCTGGTTAGGTTTCCAAAAATTACATAAACATTGATATAACTCCACTTTACAATATCAGATTGAAACAAACCATATATCAAATGAAAGCATTAGTTTTATTCTATAAAACTAAACAAAAGAGAACAAGTAATTATTAATGGTAGAAAAGTAATTACACTAAAACTGTCAAAAACATGCACAATCGAACATTCTTAAACTTAACACGTGACTATATAGCGTCGTATATTTTACTTGAATTACGCCATCTACGCCGAAATAACTACTACGAAATGAAACCAATTTCGTGACAGTATTTATGTTATTTCTTGCCAATTCTTGGGGCCGTCAACCTGTCAAGCCGCAATTGGTTTTTAATGATTGTCCCTTTTATTATCCCCTCGCCGACGAGTTTTTTAAACTGAATAAAGACTGAACTGAACTAAACGGAACATACATATAGCAGTCAAAATATTTACTCCCCCCTTATATGCAATCCTAATACTTGTACTATTATACAACATACGAGACAGAAACAAAATATATTCTAAATCTATTGTAGTGTCATTTAGGATGCTTCCATGTTTTTCACCTTTTAACTCATGTCTTTTATAATTTGATATATCTTTTGTAATAGTTTAAAAAGATAAAGTTAAAAAGATTAAATGTTGTGTACCTTAATTTGCATACTCCTTGTTCAATGTCTGTACGCATCATTAATTATTTTGTGTATAATTGTAAAACATACTCAATGCATAATCATTTATTCACTATGTCTCAACGTGTGTATGTACCATACATGTAAACAAAGTACATTTACATTTTGTTGTCCTCATTGTGCTAATCACTCATGAATAAGAACAATATTACCAGGGGTTTTGCAAAGCTATACTGAATCTTTATATTTCTTACAGAATAACACTCTTAGTTTTAAAAAAAGCCTACTAGCAGTACTATGTAGCTAACATGAATGTTTTTGTTGTTATCAGAATGGTGAAGAGAAGCTCAAGATTGAGAGGCCTGGTGGTGGTCTGAGTCCTATCTGGAGTTTACAATGGAATCCATCAAAGTAAGTCATCGTACTGCAATCAATTAGCACTACTGAATACCATTTACCGTAAGCTCTTGCATGTGTGGCTATACCAGGAGATTACTGACTTGGCCCTTTAATTCTCTTCGTATTACCAGATGACTCATTTGGTATATTATTTTCCAATTGTTAAATTTCTGGAATGGGCTCTAAAGATCAAGTCCACGGAATGAAAATGGTTACCTCATGGTAAAATTTTTATTCATGTAAGACTAATTGGGTGTACATTTTTTTGGTAAATATTGTGAATTATATATTTAAAAGTGGATGTATCCAGAAAAGAGGATCTTTATTTTATTTATAATTACTGCATAGTGCATACAATATCAGAATACACATACCTCAATACTTCATTCTAGTATGAACAAACATGAAAATATGAATATGATAAGGTTTTGTTTTCAAGAGGTTAAAGCTAAAGACCAGTTATGGTCATGCAATTGCATAGTGAAAGAAATCGATCAGAAAAGGTTGATCATCTAGCATAGATGTACTGCAAGGTTCTGGAATGATCAAAATTATAAGAAAGTCTTCATAAAGTTAGAAGCACTGTACACAGAAAGATGTATATGGGACTACACACACGTGCGCAACACATGCATTTGTATCTCTCAACAGTATATAGATATGCTAATTTACCAAATATATCAATTAGTAGGCGGTTTCCCGTCAAAATTTTTATCGTCATGTAATATTCAAAACATATTCTTTCACATGATTGGTAATAAGAGCTTCCATTTCATTTTTTGAAATTGGGGCGCTTCCAATACTGGTCTTTACCTTTAACAGAGATGCCAACCAGTACGATTAAATTGTATTTAGTATGATAATAAGAGTGAAATACGATCTTAAAATCTCAAAATACAATTTTTCATTATCATAAAAACAGCGGAATCGCATAGAAACATGTGCAAATAAACCCCTGCAACCCCAACAAAACTTTGCTTTACATTTTCTCATTAAATTCTAATGAAAGAGCAAACATTTCACTTGACCGTACTAACCAGTAGAACATCTTTCTGAAATTTTACTGGCCCGGTGTTGACAGGTCAGTGGTAGTGTCAAGTTTTCATGAAAATCTGATTTTTCTCTCCAAAATCTGATTTTTTAGGATACTCAGTCTGTTTTTTTTTTTTGTGTCAAGAGGTTGGCATCTCTGGGTTAAGGGTGTGATCATTATTTTGTTGAGTGGAAATGATTTGAATGTAGTACTTAGCAAAAGCTGATTGACAGTTGAAAATAAAGGTGTATTGGAGACCTTGTCCCATTGATCTAGTTGTTTTTTGTTACTGATATTTTATACAGATCAGTCTTTTTCTTCGGGTGAGTCTAGATATTTGACATCAATTTTATATGCTTGGTTGTAGAGAACTTTTGGGGTTCGTTTTGGAGTGTTTTGATTCTGTAGCAATGTTAATTAGGTTGAAATATCAGCCTCACACATTTGATTGTTGCAACGATGTGCAGAATTTATGTTGGGCCTGATGATGGACTCTGCGATTTTTTTTTTTTTTTTTTTGAGTTGCTTAAACTAATAATTATACAAAAATGTGTATGTAAGTAGGTATTTATTTGAAGTTGAATTAAGTGGTCATGGAGGAATTGGAGAGAAGTAAATTCAATTTGATGAGAATGTGAGAGTATGATGTGATATTTGCAGTTATATCCTCTTATTGTGTCTATCAATTTATAAAGATTGATTAAAATTGCCTTTAGTGATGTAAGAACCATGTGCCTGCCCTTTCAATATACAAATCAATTTATTGATGGAATTGGTCACAGCTATTTTTCATTTTAAAAAAAGTGCAGTTCAATTGTGAAATGTTTTTACATACCGATGTACTTGAAACTTAGCATTATTTTGTGTTCTTGAGGAACAGTGAAATGCTTTGAATGTTGTCAGTTTCAGGAGCACTTAGGTCACTTTTAGTTAGTCTTAGGAGCCAAATATTCTGACTGCATTATTTGATAGCGAAAAGGACTTGGTCAAAGTGTCCCTATAATTTGTTATTTTGAGGATTGCTTCACGGCATAGTACTCCATGGCCTCTGGATAAATAGACTTGTCAATTTAACTTGTATTAACTTCATTTTCTCTTTCATTATTACCCTTTAAGGGAGGAATCTACCGACAATCTAGCTGTCCTGGATTGGGGCCAAAAGCTGTCTTTCTACAATATCTCTGGATCACAGGTATGGTAGCTTACAGGGACTTATCCCTTTAATTTAAAATGAAAAATATTGCACTGGAATAGATTTGTTTTAGCTAGGAGCTTTACTGGTACATGTACAGTACATGAGTTTCATCAGCACCTTTATGTATGCAACTACCGGTAGATATTGTTGCTCCAGAATTCTCTAGGTAGATTGCATTGGCTTGGATGCATGCATGGCTTCCAATCCTGTAATTGAAATTCTAATCAAAGTTTCGGTATATGTTAATGTTATGTTTCATTTGAAATACAGAACTTTGGAGAAAGAAAAAAAGTACTATTCATACAGTCATGGAGAAAAGAATTGATCCATATACATATATTTTAAGCAGTTTGCTGTTCAATTAAATTAATGCATTAATGCTTGAAAAATAACTTTTTATCAAATATGTTGTTACTTCTGATCAGATCAGCAAGGATCGTAATTTGAACTATGACCCCTGCTGTCTGAGCTACTTCTCTCGAGGAGAGTACTTGATCATCGGAGGGGCAAACAAACAGGTGACCCTTCACACCAAGGATGGGGTGCAGCTTGGGGTCGTTGGGGAGCAGAACTCATGGGTGTGGTGTGCCAAGGTCAGACCAGACCAGAATCATGTGGTAAGTAGGTGTGGTCCAGGAAGGTCACATGATTACCTTAGTCAGAAAGCATGTTTGTAAGAAGTGTCATGTTCACATAGAGGATTTATGCAAGTATAGATCACAGGCGAGCACTAGTATCTTTCAGTTGGATGTTATCTTCATTTGCCACTCTTCACCCAGGTGAATTAGTAAATGGATATTTGGTAGGAAGAAATTCCTTGAATGCTTGGTTGTTTCATCATGTCAGCTCAGCAAGAAGGGGTTGATTAAGGGTATTCAGTGCTTTGTATCTTCAGGGAAGAAGCTCTATGTTGATTAGTCAAATTTGAACTAGTATTATCATTTTAAAATACATGTGCTTTCAACAACAAGACACAATCCATCTTTAGCAATAATTATAGTACATGTGTGTGGGATATAACCATTTGTTTGTTCATGAATGCAACCTGAAGTCATCTCACTCATCTTCCTTCTCCTTCTGCCAACTCTCTCTCTCTCTCTCTCTCTCTCTCTCCAGGCTGTTGGTTGCCAAGATGGAACCATCGCTCACTACCAACTCATCTTCAGCACAGTCCACGGTCTCTACAGGGATCGCTATGCCTTCCGGGAGAACATGACTGACATCATCATTCAGCATCTCCTCACTGACCAGAAGGTCCGCATCAAGTGCCGCGACTTGGTCAAGAAGATTGCCATCTTCAAGAATCGTCTTGCAGTGAGTTGGCTTGCTTGAGTTGCTGTAAATCATTTTGGGGAGGGGTTGACGGAGGTTATATTTAGAATCAAGAATTTTTTAAGGCATACTAAGGTTAGTCCTAGACGGAATAGGTATAGATAATCCTCAGATGCAGTGTAAAGTGTCATTCTCTCCATTCTGTGAAATTACATTTGTTATTTAACCTAATGAACAAAAAGTCATGTCATTGTGAACTCATTTTCATTTCTTAATTATTTCATGATGATTATTGAAATACATGTGCTTATCATTGTTATTGAATAGATCTGCATTATCCTAATTACTAATACTTGTCATTACTATTATTACCATAACCACCATTATCATTAATAAGGTTACTACTTTGAATTTGTCTCAGATATATAGGAATTTCAAGGTAAATAGACAGTAACATATCAGAAATCAGTGATAAATTCCATTTTTGTAGCAGCATCTTGATTACTACTTGTGTTTATGGTCCTCCAGGTGCAGTTATCAGACCGGATTGTAGTCTATGAGCAGTACTCTGATGATGCCTCTGACATGCACTACAGAGTCAAAGAGAAGATCAATAAGAAGTTTGATTGTAACCTTCTCGTTGTTTGTGCTGAACACATTATCCTGTGCCAGGTCAGTATTTTGTCCAACTTCCTGAGAATTTCACATGCTGATGAATTGCACACTTTTATGTTTAATTCTTTAATTTACCTTTTGAGAATATGGTGTGTACTATGATATTTTGTTGTTGCAACACACATGTGACCATCACACAGTGCAGAGCACAATCTTTCAGTAACTTCATGGGCTGAAATATTGGGAATTTAGAAGTAGGTCTTTTTGCAAGTTTTAAACACATAATTCTGCAACTTTTCTGAGTAGTTTCTTGTCTTACATTCTTGTGATGTTTGAGCATTACCATGCATTACAAATGGTTTGTAGATTTTTAATATGGTAACAGGTGTATATACCCTGCAATGGTTTCACAGATCTGTTGGAAAATAACATTTATCCATGCCGTGCAATACTGTAGCAAATATGCTGTAATTTAAGTTTAAACATGCTATTTTTAGTCTACATGTACCAGTATATCCTTGAATATTCTGGGGATAGATTTACCTCGATTAACAGAATTAAGTAAGAATTTTATCTTTATCTTGAATGATTTCCAGGAGCGTCGTTTGACGAGTTTGACCTTCAAAGGTGTGAAGGACAGAGAATGGGTAATGGAGGCTTTGATCAGGTACATTAAAGTGATTGGTGGCGCTGAAGGCAGAGAGGGTCTACTGGTTGGTCTTAAGAACGGCCAGGTAATGTGTATTTTTGTTTAATTTGATAACAACATCAGTGAAGTGAAAAGGATGTGATATATCGTCATTTAAAATTTACAGAGGAAAGCCCATTTCAGTGCTTGTTTTGTTTTTAACAAATTTCTATGTTTGTTCCACATGATCATATCTGCATGTGTCATTGCTGTCACTACTTGACCTCAATATCAAATAGATCGGTTCAAATTCCACTGTGTCATTTGACTGTAAAAAGGCCATGATGTAGTGATTCATTCTCTTGCCTTTTAATCTGTATATTATTTGTTTGAATCCCAGCCAGACAAATGTCTTTGGCAAAGACATTAATCTAAATTTTTCTGTCTCCACCCAGATGTAAATTGGTACCTGATATGCATGAGTGCTACCTATTGCCTGCTTGTTGTATTTCTTTAAGATTTCACTTAAACAGAAGAAAACGATATTTACAGCAGCTAAAAGTTATTGTATCGAGTTGTTGATTAACTAAATAAATTCCAAGAAATCTGATGAAAAGCTTCTAAAAAGGGGCTAACCAAAACTCTGAATTTGCATGAATCTCTCCTCCCAGATTATGTAGCTCTTGAATTGTTTGATTGATTCTGTTCAGATCTTCAAGGTTTTTGTGGACAACCCTTTCCCCATCCTGATCCTGAAGCAGCAGACGTCCGTCAGATGTCTGGACATCAGCTCGTCTCGCAAGAAACTAGCCGTGGTCGATGAACACAACACCTGCATGGTCTATGATATCAATACTAAAGAACTTCTCTTCCAGGTATGGTCAAGTCAAACCATTATATAAAGACTGCTCGTAGAAAACAAGAACAGCGGTCTATACGGGCAATGAATCTGTATGTATAGGTTATTTAAGTACAGGTACAAGTACAAGTGAAAAAAAGTTTTAAGAGAAACATAAAATATTACCTTTATAGACATGTGGTCTTTCTATCCATGTAGTTACAATAACAGGTTTGACTGAAGGGACTAAGATGAAGGTGATGTTTAGGGAAATGTTCATCATTAAGTTTTGAGGGTGTATAACTAAGTAAAATTGTGAAGATTTTAATAAGCCTTACAAGGCTTAACCTCACAGTCATAGAGACAACTGGCCTAATGTAGGGCTCCACATTAAAGTTTTGTAGGTCCAGATTGGAACTATTGGGGTCTGTATGCATCTGTGGCTAGAAGAGTTAGAATTTATGGGCCTATGTGTACCAAGGGCCTCTTAGTGTTGAGCCCTGCCTCATGAAACCTTGTTTTTAATCATCTCAGGAGCCAAACGCCAACAGCGTAGCCTGGAACACCCAGTACGAGGACATGCTATGCTTCTCCGGGAACGGAACCCTAAACATCAAGGCTAGTACCTTCCCTGTCAAGCAACAGAAGCTCCAGGGTTTCGTGGTCGGGTTCACTGGGTCTAAGATCTTCTGTTTGCACATCTATGCCATGACCACTGTAGAGGTACCCCAGTCCTCTGGCATGTATCAGTACCTGGAACGCAAGCAATTCAAGTGAGAAATCCTACATGTACATGCGCTATCCTACCATCAGAGTTTTCTGATACAATAATGCACTAACATGGATTGATATAATGTAAGAAAAAAAAAATCAATGGGAATTGTGGAAGGATTTATATCCTCAGTGGAAGAAAAATTCCTCTCAAGATTTTCACTCGACCCACCATCAGTGTTGCATGGTGGTGATCTCAGTCACAACAAAAATTGTAAATTTGTTGATTACTTGAAAGCCTTGGTGAGAAAAGTTAACTTTGTCACCAAACCAAAATTGGATGCAAGTATTAATTAAAATAAATCAATCAGTGGAAGGTACAAGAAACACTGTTCTTTTGTTTTTTTTACATATGAAATTTGTGACAAAAACCTGAAAGCCCAAAATTTGTATTAAGATTAAAACAATTTTAACAAACATCATCCCTTATTTGTAAAGTGATATCAGACACTCTTTGAATTTTAGTGATTTTTTGATAAATTTTGATTTTTGTTGGTGATATTTCAGAGATGCATACAAAGTGGCGTGCCTAGGAGTGACAGTCAAGGACTGGACTGCCCTCGCCCATGATGCTATACAAGGCCTGGACTTTGATACTGCCAAGAAGGCTTTTACAAGGGTTAGAGACCTACGCTATCTGGAACTTATACACAGCATAGAGGTCAGTTTCTATCTCTCTTTCTCTCTCTCTCACTCTCTCTCTTTATTGCCTGCCACTCACTTTTTTCATTGAAAACCAAGATGAAGCATGATGCGTGTTGATCTTATTTCAGTAGTAAGATTATGATAAGGAATATCTGGAACTATACATAATAGAGAGGTCAGTACCTTTCCACTCTCATGTCCTTTCTTTCCACCCAAATCTTGAAATGGTAAATAAAATGAGCATATAGAGAGCTTCACATTTATTTATCAATCTTATGATTACACAAGAAAGTACCCTTGGGGCATTTGTTGCTCCCAGCTTCTCTTATATCATATTGATCTGCCATTGATTAAGACATAAATGTTTTACATTTTACTACTAAAGGCAGTATATTGCATCATGTATGAACATGCCTTAAGCCCTTAACTGCTATGTTGACTTAGAGGTTGGCCATTCAGTTATAGATAGGAATGAATTCATCAAAGTGTATAAATGGTGGATTATGTATAGAGTTTTTTTGTAGCAAATTTTGTTCTTAATTTTATGAATGGTTTACACTTTAACCTTGATGACAGGAGCGTAAGCGTCGTGGGGAGGTGGACGATCAGCTGTTCTTGGCTGACATCTATGCCTACCAGGGCAAGTTTGGTGAAGCAGCCAAACTGTACAAGAGAGCTGGCCAGGAGCAGAGAGCTATGAACATGTACACGGACCTGCGTATGTTTGACCATGCCAAGGTAATCAACGAGCTTGATCAATTCTTCTACATGTCAATATAACATTATTTGAGCAATGAAATGCATTGGAAACAAAATAGTGGCGAGTTGTGATTTTTTAAAGTTTAGTTTTAATGATATAGTGTTTTATTGCAATATTGTCAGACTCTTTCATTTGCTGCATGAGCTGGGCTGATAGAATGTATTACAAGTACTACACAAGGATATGTGTTTTGGAAGCTGGAAAGTACTATAATTAGGCTTGAAAGTGGCATATATATACTCAATTAGCTGATCATGATACAAGATGGTCTCTTAATTACCAACAATCATGGCTCTGGAGACTCACAAGGCAAGAAGCTCCTGATTACAATTATGAAGAGTCATATAAGCTGGGGCTTGAAAATACTGAACTTGTTCTTTAAAAGTAGAGCATATTTAAAGCAGAGTGTAAATCGGTGTTAAGAAATAAATGCTTTTATCATTTCTTGCCTTGCTTAATTCAGGAATTCATTGGATCTGGTGACCCCCAGGACAAGAAGCTGTTAATCACTAAGCAAGCTGACTGGGCTAAGAACATCAATGAACCTAGAGCTGCTGCTGAGATGTATCTATCAGCTGGAGAACATCTCAAGGCCATAGAGATCATAGGAGACCATGGATGGGCTGACATGTCAGTTCAAATCTCATATATTTCTTTTTCAATTTTCCATTTCCATTTATTTAAATTCCATCCATTAGAATTCAAATCTACATGCATAACACATGATTATTGATATACAAAAGAAACGGTCTGTATTGAAATGAATCATAAAAGCGATATATGATTTTGTGGCATCTTGGTTTGGGAGGACCAATCCAATTTGCAGGAAGAAAGTATGTATATCCGGTATATCCATGTGATTCTCTTTCCCTCAGTCTAAGCAGTCAGTAATCAAGTCTGTAAGTGGTTATTGGAGAGGGTTCTTTTTTGTTTTTTACAAATTTTGTGAATTCCATGTACAAAAATGCATTGTAAGTAAACCTGAGTTATTAATAACAATTTGGGAAAGTGTCTGTGTCCCTGTCATTAGCAAAATATCTTAATGTGTAAATATTGGCAATATATTGACAAGGTAGAGCAGAACCTCTTGAAAATGTGCCCAGTACTTCAAGAAGATGGACCAGTTTCCCTCAACCTTGACAGCCAGTAACCTACTCTCTCTTCACTCTTTTCATTTTGTGACCTGCAATATCTTTGAAACATCTGTCTCAAATTTGCCTCACATTTTTGGTCTTTTCAGGCTCATTGATGTTGCTCGGAAGTTGGACAAGGCAGAAAGGGAGCCCCTTGGGAAGTGCGCCCAGTACTTCAAGAAGATGGAGCAGTTTGCCTACGCTGCTGAGACTTACACCAAGATGGGTGACACTAAGAACCTTGTCATGCTTCATGTAGAGTCTCGTCACTGGGATGCTGCCTTCAGGCTGGTGGACAAACATCCAGAGTTCAAGGTCATTAATACAGTCAAACCTCTATTCAAATTAATCTTCCCTAGAGTTTTTTTTCTCTAAAAACTTTTGTGCAAAAGTATACAAAATATTTTACTTGAGAGAGTCTTATAATCTTTTTTTTTTCACTGTCCCAAGAAGTGAGAGTTTTATAATAATAATAATAATAATAATGAACGGTATTTGTATAACGCATATCACTAACACAAAGAAAGTCCCTATGCGCTTAGAAAAGAAGGAAAAGGGCGGAATAGAGATGAACATTTATGCCTGATACATGAAAATAATATTTATATGTCAATTTGAAGGTATCTTTTGTTTTCCCACTTTCTTCCCATCTCAGGATGATGTCTACGTCCCATATGCTCAATGGCTAGCAGAGAATGACAGATTTGAGGAAGCACAGAGAGGTATGTATAAGGATATTTTAAGACACTGAATACATTCAGATTTCTTTTTAAAACTAGCTTTAATGAATTCCATGGACCTAAGGTAACCATCGGGAAATGAAAAGTAGTCCAGGAAAATGCTAGAGGAGATAGGATCAATTGAGCAGCTCACCCAAGCCAAGTATTACTAGGGGAAGTATAGCCTCTTAATTCCTGGGGCTGAAATAGGGTTTCCCCATACACACAACCCTTCATGATGTAAGCTTTGGTATCATCCCAGTCAGGAGCATGGTCAGCTAGTTAAACCAGCTTAATGGGAGCAAATCATTCCTTATAATTGATTTAATATTAAGCATGATAAACCAACATGCCTCTCATCAAATCTTATTCCTTTCATCTTTAGCATTCCACAAGGCCGGTCGACAAGACGAGGCTGTCAGAGTGTTGGAACAGCTTACCCACAATGCAGTTCTGGAGAGTCGGTTCAACGATGCAGGATACTACTTCTGGATGCTGTCCATGCAGTGCTTGGACATAGCAGGAGGTTAGTAGAGTAGAGTGGCTTAATTAAGTGGACATCATGCTTTCAGGCCTCATCACATACCTGCCAACCCTCCCGCATTTTCCGGGATATTCCGCATTTCTGGAATTTTAGGACCTTAAAATGCGGGAGATTCCGCATTTTGGAAATTTAAGCCAAATTGGGCTTGTATTACCATTTGCCGCGATTTGTGTGAAAGCTCTCGTATAGTATACTGTGTGTGTGTTGATGGCCGCGGAAGCTCATTTGGCTTGTAATGACGGTTTTGCAGCGTATTTGTGCCACTGATAGCGTAGAGATCAGCATTATGTGTGTGTGTGTGTGTGTGTAGCGTCTGGCCTGGCATGTACTTTCCATACACGTACACACACACACACACCCATACAAGCGATGTACAAGAACATGCACGCTTCACGTGCGATAAATTTTGAGCGAACGGGTTAGCTTCGACGTGTGATCGTGAATGGTTACTAAACTTGCAAAAGTTTGTCAGTTTTACTTATAATGTCTTCCAATCCCAAGGAATACGCTTGCTTGATGGATTCATGGAGTAATTACTGTACCGTACTAACTTTTCAATTGTCTAATCCAGTATTTGGAAGAAGTGTGTCGGAACTATGGTATACAGAGTGAACGCACGCTGCAGTGCGGTACCGGAGGTGAGTCGGTGCCAGTGGAGTGGGGCAGCGATGGCGAGGCGTACCGTACATGTACTGTGTATAGTTTGATCGATGCATGTCAAATGTTGCCGTAACTGAGCTGTGTTGGACAATCGCTACACCGAATTGAATTCAGCGTACCTGCCAACCCTTCCGAATAATCCGGAATATTCCATTTTCTGGATTTTTAGGACCCCAAAATCCGGAATATTCTGTTTTTTTTCAAAATTTCGATTTTTTTTTTTTTTTTTTTTTTTTTTTTTTTTTTTTTTTAAATTTTTTTTTTAAATTTTTTTTGTTGTTGTTGTTGTTGGTGTTGCTTAAGCCAAATTAAGCTTGTTTTATCCTTTGACGTGATGTTAGAGTTCACGTATTGCGTGCGTTGAAGGGCTGCATGATTAAATTCGCTTTTTTTGCACAGATTTACCGCGTATTGCCAGTTATACACTGCCGCTGCATGTGCGAACGCCTGTTAAGTGTACAGATTTCTTATTTTCGAAGACATACCGCGCTAAAAATTCTTAATTCTCATTTTCAAATGTTGGCAGGTATGTCATCATAGTCTTGTCCGTCCTATCACGAATCATCCCTTTCCTATAAATGATTGCCAAATTGTACCTTTACTATTACCCTCAAACCCATTATATTGATTCCTTCTGTACATGTAGGTTTATGTGTATAAACAAATATTCTCAAAGAATTTTTCAAGGTTTTTACAGGTATTTCCCTCTATTTATTTAAATACCAGTTGAATAACAGTTTTGATGTATTTCATCAAGAGTATGATTTATCCCTATGTCAAATGCAATTCTATGTAAAGTACATAGAGGCAGTTTTTTATATCATGCACTTTAAAAGAAAGTTTTATCTTACTATTTTTATTCCTCTTGTATTTCCTCTATCCAGCTGACACAGACAAGAGACGAGACATGCTAAGCAAGTTCCAGGAGTTCCAAGCTAAGGCTGAAATGTACTACGTCTATCATTCCATCCAGCGCTACACCGATGAACCGTTCACTTCTCATCTCCCAGATGCTCTGTTTAACATGTCTCGATACCTGTGGCATGCCATTCTCAACGACATACCACATGGCATCAGCAAAGTGTATCCTTGGATTGTTATTGAATGTTGAGTCTATAGCCTGAATTCATGAAGGATGTTAATGGTTACAAGTATACCAGTCACTGAACATGTTTTGATCTTGATGTAAGGGGTTCCAAGTCAATGTACTATATTCAAAATATGAGCTTCAAATATTACTTCTACAAGGATATATTGCAGATTAAGTATACTCTCAGAAAACACTGAATTGACTTGTTGAGTAGACTAGTTGACACATGCGAAGGCATTTTTTTTGTACAGTACTGTGAATCACAAGTGGGAATGAAACAAAGTAGCTGTGCCTAACAAAGGTCATATGCATACTCACTATATGTGTTATGAGAAAGAGAAATGTGCAGCGTATTATATTTATGTCGTAAAAACAAAGTAACACCTGGCTGGAATGCTCCCCAGGGAGGGGAGATTGTGCACACAGTGTGTGTGAGCAAGCACTGAATCCAATGACCGGGGTAATAGTTTATTTGTAAAGCGCTTAGAGACATTGCATTAAGCGCTATATAAAAGCTAAATACTATAAATATTATTATTATTTAAAAAATGGCACGTTAGGTTTAATGTTTGGTTAGTGTAGGAAAATTCATTATGGAGCAAATGTTACTAGGACAATTATGACTGAAGTATGTGCCATAGAATCTGTGCTTTCCTTAACTCCCTGATGCTACAGGAACACCCTGTATGCCCTGGCCAAGCAGAGCCGTAACCTAGGGGCCTTCAAGCTGGCTCGATTTGCCTTTGAGAAGCTGCAGTCTTTGAGGATTCCTCTGAGGTTCCAGGAATCCATTGACCTTGGCAGTATCACCATCAGGTCCAAGCCATTCCATGATGCTGAGGTAATGTCCTAGAGGGATCAGATAGAACGGGGCAGTGTCTCATAAAACCTGTCATAAGCACAAGTTCACTGACACCCCATTGAAACATATCTCTTCGCAGAATAGTTAAAACCCCTTGTCATTCCTTTCAAACTTTGTACCAATGTAAATTTCAATTCAGTATTATGTTTTACTGGTATCTATTTAGTAAAGCGTACTAAGTGATAGTTGTTACCATTATCATTATTATCATTAAATGCATGTAATAAAATGTACACGCTCGAATTGGATGTTTGCAGACTTGTATATGAAATGATGCCCAGGTCTTGTATCTTCAAGTACTAGTAGGTCTGATTGCTCTACATGAAGGTACAGAAGAGAAGGAAAGTACAACTACATAAAAGTGCAGTACCACAGGAAAACATTAGTGTGTATTATTTGAATAGATGTGTGTGTCAACTGTCTGAAGGACTGAATGGATCAGTTTTTCTTCTTCAAATTGGTATCTTTGATGTTTTATGTTTTTCCAATGAATATCTTTCTCTGTGTGTAGGATGTTCTACCGATGTGTTATCGCTGCTCTACCACTAACCCCCTACTCAACAACCAAGGGAATCAATGTATCAACTGCAGTCAGCCATTCGTCCACTCCTTTGCATCCTTTGGTGAGTAGACATTCCTTAAAAATCTGATGCTATCCACTGGAGTATCATGAATGAACATGAATGCTTCCCATGACATACTTGTATGAAAACATCACCTGTTACTAATAATGATGACTGTGGCTGCTGTTTATATATGGAATATGGGTATACTTTGTACTGGCAAATGCATTCTTTCACAGAGAAACATATAAGAAACACCATCACAATCAAATAGTGAATGGCATTTTTTCCCCATTTCAGTGTTTTCATCAGGACAACTTTTATCTCAAGCCAATACACTTCCTATCATTTTTTCCATTTTTTCCAAGGAAAAACCTCATGGGGGTGGTCTGATAACTGAAAAAATGATCTTAAGCAGATTCCCGTGTTTCAGAAATATTTTTTTTATGCCTCCGTTACGAAGTAGCCGGAGGCATTATGTTTTCGGGTTGTCCGTCCGTCCGTACGTACGTCTGTACGTACGTCTGTACGTACGTACGTCCCGTTCTTGTGATCGCGTTATCTGAAGAACCGATCTATGGATTCCTGCCAAACTTTGGTCATGTATGTATCTTGCAGAGCCGATGAACTGATTAGATTTTGGGGTCACGAGGTCAAAGGTCTAAGGTCCCAGGGCTCATTAGGTATGCAAAAACAGCTCGTGATCGCGTTATCTGAAGAACCGATTGATGGATTCCTGCCAAACTTGGTCATTTATGTATCTTGCAGAGCCAATGAACTGATTAGATTTTGGGGTCATGAGGTTAAAGGTCAAAGGTCACAGGGCTCATTATGTATGCATAAACAGCTTGTGATCGCGTTATCTCAAGAACCGATTGATGGATTGCTGCCAAACTTAGGTCATGTATGTTACTTGCAGAGCCGATGAACTGATTAGATTTAGTGGTCATGAGGTCAAAGGTCAAAGGCCACAGCACACATTATGTATGCAATGACAGCTTGTGATCGCGTTATCTCAAGAACCGATTGATGGATTCCTGCCAAAATTAGGTCATGTATGTTACTTGCAGAGCCAATGAACTGAGTAGATTCTTGGTTCATAAGGTCAAAGGTCAAAGATCATGGGCTCATTATGTATGCAAAAATAGCTTGTGAACGCATTCTCATTAGAACTGACAGATGGATTACTATTTAACTCAGGACATCTTGCAGAGCCAATGAACTGAGTAGATTTTAGGGTCATGAGGTCAAAGATCAAAGGGTCATATATGTATATGAGAAATTGCTTGTAATCACGATATTCTGAGAACCTGTCAATGGATTACAATTGAACTTGAATCCGAAAAATTTCTTCTGTTTGGTTTGTAAACTTGCTCTATGACGGAGGCATCATTTTCGACTGCGCGCAGTCGAATTCCATCTACCGTAAATCTCTGTGTATAAGGCGCACTTTTTTGCCGCCGAAAAAATTTGAAAGTCGGGGTGCGTCTTATACACAGGTTTGTTTTTTTTAGTTTTAATTTATGGCGCTATGCCTGGCAATGTCTTCTAGCTCAGTAATCAGTGTGGTGACTCACCACTCTGAAACTACAACAACACTCAAGTTTGTCTGTCATCTTGGTTTGAAAGTAATCTTTCTAATAGATCTCAATATGTAGTTTATAATAAAAATTCCTCAATTTTTTTTCTATAACAAATGGTGTACCACAAGGTTCTATCCTAGGTACTCCATTGTCAGAAATTTAGAGGATGCTATTCATATCATGCATGACTATTGATATTTGGCATAGAACACAGTGCTTCTGCTAGGTGATGTGAGGAGGCTGGTGTGGGACACTTGGTATCATGAAGCCTTAGACTGTTGTTACTATTATTTTTGACAACTTCAACTGCACCTCGATGTAAAATGAAGGTCCTTCCTCGCGTGGGTTTTCGGCAACAAAACAACAACAACAAAACAAAAAACGATTTTTTTTTTTTTTTTTTTTTTTTTTTTTTTTTTTTTTTTTTTTTTCTTTTTCTTTTTCCCCCCCAAAAATAGGGGTGCGCCTTATACACAGGTGCGCCTTATACACGGAGATTTACGGTAGTTTAGATCTGTTCTTTTTCCCCCTTTACTACTTAACAATCATACATTTTTGTGACATAAATCTTTTGCTATTTGTAATTATTGTATTGCAAAAATTCAGTGTGGCATCAGTTGCAATTGAATTATTTCATGGCATGAAACTTTTGCGAACCTTGACTACTCATAAAAATTGGTGAACATTCCATGCGCGAGAAAGTTCTATCCATACACCATAAATCTAGTATTGTTTAATCTTGGTGCAAATTTAATTGCTCGACAATGCAGTAAGTATGAAAATCTGAAACCAAATAGAGTTGCATGTGCACACTCAACTCAATATGCAAGTACCTGTGATAAAGTGAACCTGTCTTGACTCCATGCACATGCAGAGGTGCTCCCTCTGGTAGAGTTCCACCTGGAGGAGGGGATCCCTGATGAGGAGGCAGTCCAGCTGATCCAGGTGGAGCCACTCAGGAAGGGCCGAGGTGGAGCTGATAAATGGAATGAATCTAACACAGGCAACGTCCAGTCCATGAGGCTGGATGAGTATGGAGGCAATGATTCAGATGACGTTCAGGAAGACCCATTCACTGCTCGACTGCTCAGCTTTGAGGTAAGCCCCCCACCCCCCCCCCCCCCCAAAAAAAAAAGAATGTCTGGAATTTTGTTGAACTTTCTAGGGTATTTTGACCCAGTGCTAATAGACTACTATCTAGGTGAGACCCCATCCCCTCCTCCCCAAGAGGAATGTTTGTATTTTTTAGAATTTTAAGAGTATAGTGCTGATATGGTGCTGTTTAGGGATACTATAAGCAAAGTCAAAGAAATAAAAATCATTAATAAATCTAAGTATTTCTGATAATGCACTTCTTAATGTCAGTTACATAATGAGAATAGTTTTGAAATATGTCATAAAAATGTGCAAATTTTGAAATTTGTAGATGCTCTCAAAATTTATTTGAAATACAATATATCAGATCAGGAGTTAATATACTGTATAACCCCAATTTAGGTTGGTTAAAATGTGTTGTCTTTTTTATTGGAAATAAAGGATGCATGACTTTAACTAAAGCTCTTTCTATGATACCTTCATCATTTTCAATTGCAGCAAGGAGGAAACGAGTTTGTTCCGGTGGTGGTCAATCGAGCAGTCTTGAAGACTCTTGACCGGAGTCATGTGGTGGTCAAGAGATGGCCAGCTCCTCTACGCTATCAGTACTTCAAGTCCATCATGCCTGATGTATCGGTCACTGTATGTGCTTCATGTAACCAGGTGAGGAGTAGTGGTGGTTGCAGGATTTGAGTTTTCTTGGATTATAGAAATGAGCCTTGTCTGAATGCATTCTAATACCCTAGTCACAGCAGAAAGACTGACGCCACACAACAAAATGATATTACCCTGAATGACCTGGACTAATCATGTGGTTTGGAAATGGTTCAGCAGTGTGACTCATCATACCATAGGGCACCAACACATCTAATGTACTGTTTACCTGGGGTCTCGTAGGTTTAGGAACACTGATTAATGTTAAACGACTGAGCCTTTGCATGCTGGATTTAGCAAACATGAAACGGGTGGTTCAAGATCAAAACACTTAGAGAAATGGTAGGTTGAAAAAATGATAGGGTCTCTAAACTTGTTGTAAGAAAGATCGCTAACAATGATGACATGATCCTTACCGGAATATGGAAGCTATGTGATTTTTCATTTCATTTCATTCATTTAATTTAATTTGTCAATACCCTTCCTAAGTCATATGATTGGATTCATTCTTATATGTCTTTGTCCCTTCTCACTTTGTATGTCTTATCTATATAACTTGAAAGCTTCCACTTGTACAGTTTCATTAGTTCTCCTATGACTGATAAATCTTTCTAATTTGTTTTTATCTTCTCTTCTTTTCTTGTTTTCCAGCTGTTTCACACTGATGAGTATGAGATCCAAGTCCTTCAGAAGAATCACTGTCCATTCTGCCGCAAGGCTGTACCAGAAGCTACAGAAACCTGAATCTGATCATCATTGATACCGTCCACTTGTATCAGTATCAACAGACACTAGCAGGCTCTAATATTCTACAGCCTTGTTTACACCTAATGCAGAGAAGTAGCATTACTAAACATTTCTGCATCTTGTATAACACACTTAAAGTAGGTCCGCCTCTGGCCCTTTGTTGCACTCTGCTGCCTATTTCATCTCCATCTGCCTTCCATTTATTTTGTATTGGTAAAATTAAAAAGAAAATGTAGGTAGTTTACATGTGTAAACAAGGTCTTATATGTCTGTTCACTGCTCAAGGAAGCTACATTTATTCTACAGCTATCATCATGATGATTTGACCACAACACCGTTTCTATATATATAGTTCCATTGCCTTGAGTTTGTTCTAATTTCTCCAAAGGTCCAAAACTCTTTTTTCAAAGTGCTCTTCTATTTATTTTAATTTTTCTTGTTTATTTAATTTTAATTTTTACTTTTCCTGTCTTAATATATATATATATATATATTTTTTTTTTTTTTTTTTTTGGGGGGGGGGACGTTGATGTCATTTCGTTTACTGACAATCTTCATTTTACAAGAGCAAATGAGGATTGCGATCTACATTTAAAACTCTTTCCCAAAGATATTTTAATTACCTGTTTGAATCACTTCTTGATTCTTTTTACAGTTTTTTGTTCACTATTCACTATTTCAAGAAAGGATCATGTCTAAACTTCTACTTTATGTATGAATGCTGAAATGTATGTATACTGCACAAACCTTATGAACTTAAGTGCGTCTTAAAGGCTTTAGACTGAAGTTCTTCTTCATAAAAATGTTTAAAAAGGCAGGAAAAACCACTATCTGATCTGATGACATCTCAAGATCTATTCAATGTAATATTATTTCATTCATCAATGTGTGTGATTTATGTATAGTAAGAAAGACAATATGTATTCATATGACTGTGTATTTAAAGTCAAAACCAAATACTGCAGCTGGAATCCAAATCGATCTTTGATAATTAATGCAAATAAAGAAAACCTGTAGGAATCTTAAACAGGAATTTTACCCTACTAATCTCATGATCTGTGAAGCATGATGCAGTGTAATGTATTGTTAAAATAGAGGTATATGGAAACAATGTTGATATTGTTTTTCAAATAGTTCTCTTATTTGTTTGAAGGGTTGCGGTTAGGTAACTAATCAGTTTAAAAGAGAAAAAAATAAATCAGAAATCGTCATGACTACAATTACCTTGTATTCTCCTGCAATCATAGTAAGAGAAATTTGAATTTAATAATATATGTTTAAAAAAATTACTACCCGGTACACCTAAACTGTGTGAGTAAAGCGCAAATATGCCAAGCTAAATTTTTCATTTATGTTTAAATACTCTCAAAAATAAGATGGCAAAATGATGAAAATAATTTATGAAATATCTACACCAATGGTTGGTTGGGAATGAGGTCATTGTTGGACTGGTGACTTGTTCACTTATTTGCTACATCACTGCAAGCATAGATATATATATATATATATATATGTCATTTCTCCCCCCCCCCCCCCCCTTTTTTTGTTTGTGCTTTTGAAATAAAGATTCCAATATTTTATGAATGAATCAGAATGGTGGCCCATCCCTATGAAACTGATTTGAATATCAGTTCAGAGATAAAGGTACTCCCACTGGTGTTGCAGATCTGATGTAAATAGTGCATGTACTATGTTAAAGTTATATGGAAACCTTGAATACAAACATTTTTATAGTTCTCACTACTCTGTTGAAAGTACTTCAAAGACCTTAAGATGTACTGTTTGCTAGTAGATACTTTATTGTATGTGACCATTCATCTTGAGACAGTAGAATCAATTATGTGTATATTTTGATCACAGCAAATTTTGTAAAGAAAATTGAGTGTATTCATTTGTAAATATAATTTGTGAATGTTAGAAAATTCCTATTTATGATAAAAGCTGTAAATTAAAAGACTTCTCATACCTGAATGCACCTCTCCACCTGTTCATTATTTATAATGCATTTATATTCATAAGTGACATCAATATCAGTATTATTGACAAGAGAGGGTTTTAGAAGGAGACCTAACCCTTGTTCCAGCGATATTTGCTCTTATTTTGTCAAAAATTAGTGAGGTTTAGTGAGGAGTGTTTGGTCTTGGGATGAAGTTGGGAATTTTCAAAATGTGCATGTTGCGAAGAAGTTAATGAAGCATGAATTAAACAAAAGACAAATTTGTATACTGTACAGTAAAGCATATTTTATTGATTTGGGCTTCCTCACAATGCAAGCCCTGACAACCAACATAAAAATTATTTAAATGGCATCACAATTTACAAACATACAAATGCAAGAAAAGCCTACTGCATGATGATCACTAAAATAATTGTAATAACTACTGATAAAACTCATCAAGTAAAGAAATGAAATTACAATAAAATAGAAGAGATATTTATTTATAAAATTTTAACGCAAGGCAATTCTTATCAACATACATGTACAAAATTTGTGTATCTTTTCCTATTGAACTATGAACTGATATCAGAGTATGTTGGATTGAGCTTCATGACAACTTCTCTCTTTTATAAGGGATCATGCATGTCATCAAACATTGAGATTTTTTAAGACAGTGATATTCTGAAGAAGAAAAAAGTAGCTCAGCTATTAAAAGTTTGTGTAAGGTCATTATCTTGGATACAGAGTCACTAGTGCAAGTACAAAATAAAAAACCTTTCAAATATATAACAATAACTGTGTTATTCATGACAGTATTTATATAATATTGGATGGCTTTGAGTGTGATACAAGAATATATTGCTCGAGCTATGACAATATTTGATGAGTCAAAGATGAGTCTAATATTGTCTTAGCGAGAGCAATATATTTTTGTATCACACGAAAACAAAGCCATACAATATTATTATTCTGACTAGCGAAATAACAAAATTTGACTTACCTCGGTAAATATGGCTTTGTTTTCGTATGATATCGATATCAATAGTTGAAGTTCCCGGATGACTGAGCAATACGAAAACGATATTGATCTGTCATCCAGGTACTGCGCTAAAGATATTGAATACACTGATTTATTGTACCACTTGGAAGCCTTATATAAATAATAATGTTATATATTATATGTGTATAAAGAAGAGATGCATCTTCTTGCACATGTTGTATCATCTCGGCTTGTTACAAAGGATATGGAGTATCAGATAGAATTGCTGCAACAAGCAGGCCTACATGGTGTACAGAGATAAAGCTACAACCTTTTAAGACTTTAAGTTGTCACAAAAGACAGCTCTGGTTTTGCAAATGAACCCTTAAACCTCTCCAATATTTACAAGAAATTTTTTCAAAGATAACGCAAGAACATGCACATGAATGAACTCTACATTTTATAGCGAAAATACATGTAGGTACACTGAGATTTGCACTGAGATTTGCACTCAAGTATATGGTAGTTATTTTTTGGGTTTTGAAACCTTCTTTATTTCTATTATTATTCTGCTCCCTGCTCAAGCACTGATGGTTATATCCATGATAAAAACAAAATTTAAACTGATCAAATTACAGCAAAGCTCACAAATCACAGCATTTCAAGTCCTTGCCATATTTCCCTACTCCAAAATACCATGAACCAACTGAGGTGGCTACACAATGAACCAAGTATCACAGTAAAAACACAATTACCCCATATTTTTATTGGCAAGCTTAACATCACAGATTTATCCTCGCATAATTTTTTTAAAGCTGCTCTGCTAGTTCAAGACAATATTTCCATCATTTTCTGAGGTGTTGGCTATTTCTGAACAGTTTGATACCAACAATTTTTTTTCATTATTCCTTGATGCATGAGTGCAAATTCATCATAATTGCCTGACAAACTCTAAGCTCTTTTTTCGTGATAATATTTCTGTTTGTTGAGCTGTGAGAGGTTTGGATAACAGATAAAAATACAATCATATTTTGCAACAATATTGGCTTTTACAATGAATGTTTACCTGTAAAATGTTTGTAAATTATGCAAACAAGTCTAGTATTAGATGTTAAAATATCGATTGCTTATACTACTTGTCTACAAAGTATAATAAAAACAGTTGTAACTGACTTACGTATATCAATAATAATTAAGATTATAACAAAGTATACATATATCACAGTTCCAGATAAATAAGACCTATAGCAATTTAAATAATGCAAAATTCATTAAGAGACATATTTAATTACAATTGGAAGAGCATGCAGACGTATAGGTTTCTAAAATGCACAAACACTGCTACATGTACATCAATTTAGGGATGAGTAAATAGTGTGTTTTATCAACGCTATTGTAAGAGTTATATTGTGATATGCTTTGTGTTGAGCTGCCCAGTAATAAACTAGGAATACCATTTGTTACCATCCCCAAAGTATACATACTTTTGTTAGTACATCAGAGAATTGAATAGACTTCACAGACTTGTGATCATTTGAAAGCTAGAATGTGCTATCGTACCTACACTTTAATCCCTCTTATCTGAATTACAAATAATCATCAATCACCCCTCCTCCCCCCAAAAGAGATTTCTTTTTATAAAGGGGAATATGTGCAGATGGGGATGTGGGGGTTAGTGGGGGTCAGTGGGGGTCAGTGAGGGTCAGTGGATGGCCATGGGGAAAAGAGAATTCCCTCTTTCCTACTCAAAGCTTTTAAAAAAGGGGTGTGTGAAGGGAAAGTTAGTAAACTTCTATTCTACCAGTTGACTATATTACTTGCATATTACCACAGAGGATATAACTGAATGCAGAGATCATCATGCATCATTTATTCTTCATGCAACACTGACAGCCAGCAGATAGAGAAAAAAGTCACAGAATCAAACAAGCTGTTAGAAAAGGAGAAGAAAAGAAATTTATAATTTACCTAAATTGATAGAAATGTATGTGTAAAGTATTGTAATTGTTATGTTAAACAAAAATGTATGTGAGTTTGATTATTTTGTTTTAATGAATACACCTGTTAAGGGTGAAAGAAGAAGAAAAATCAAACAATATGCACACAAATTAGCAAGAACATAGAGTTGACCATAGCATGCCGAGAGATAAAGTTGTGACATACGAACACATACACAGTCATAGGTGAAATCATGGGGTGCCAAACATTTCCATCCTCTATACAATCTGCATGGGAGGGAACTATTTGAGGCTCTGTGAATTGACTGACCAATGAGAAGCAACCTCCTGTGACATAACTACCGCTCCCAACCAGCTATGGAGTTGACTAAAAGCTTATTCAGACATGATGCATAACAAACACCACTGCAGGGAAGCTGAATGAGGTAACGGTAAGCATACTATGCTATGCATTTCTCTATCTTACAACACAGATCAGTGAGAAGTGACTGCGTTAAGGGGCTATTGTTGAGTACCGGTAAAGGCGTTCCCCCCCCCCCCTCCCCATTCCTTCTTAATCCTCTTCCCCGAGATATTGCCACATTAAATTAGTTTACAAAGTTTTGCTGCAGTCATCTTTTTAGGTGGTTTACCAAATCATGTCTGATCAAGGGTTTACAAATGATTGAGCATAAAACACACACTCCTTGATATGTCAATTACAGTTTTGAAAAATGGTCTATCTTGTATCACTTCTATACATCTACAATGTAGTGAACAAGAGATACCGTACATACTATATTCTAAGCAATTACATGTACCAAAATGTGTACAAATTTAACTTTACAAAACACAGCAGAGTTGAAGGCTTTTGCTTGTTTTTGTTTTTTCCGAACATAGAAAAAATTACCCCAGTAATACTGGTCCCATGTACAATAACACATCACTTACGAAAATCTCCTTTACACTTTTTTTTCTTCAGTTCCCTGGGCAATTTCCTCTTTTACTTAATCTACTCTTCCCCCAGCACTCTCCCAATGTCTTCTCTACCTGCTGTTATCAAAGCTTACATCACAAATGCGTGAAAAGTTCATTCCTCTTTACAAGATGAGGGTTATTACACACACATTTCCTCTTGCAGCTCAGCTCAGCTCTTTGCTATCACTTGATCTCTGCTTCCAGCAACATTATAATGGCATTTGAAAAGGGGGAATCTTGTTACATCGTTGTCCCCTAATGTTTGCATCTGCAAGAATATACCCTGGATATCCTTTAGAGATTTCAGAGCTACAAATTTTCAAAAGCCTTTTACGGTTCTACAACAAGTAAGCACCGTTGATTCGTAAATGCCAACTTACAACTACAAAAACATGAGATAAATTTGTTCATTGTGAAGAATTCAGTTTTTATGAAGTAGAATTTGATATCAACTTTTCTGCTCCATACACATATGGAGAGCGAGCATGAATCGCCACAAGGGCTACCTGTAAGATGAAAAGTGTATATTGCATGTTCCATTTTCACAGAGTCACCCTATGAGCTGTACAGAATTTGCCATATCCACAAAGCCAATGGGTCGCTTTAAGCTCTCTAACAAAATCCTCATCTCATTTTAGCCCCTTTCTCATCCCACCAAACATATCTTTTAACCCAAATCAACCTTAATTACACAATTATGCATTTCTTTGACTCCTTGCCTCTTTTGGGCTTCTTCCGCGACTCCGGTGTTAGACGGTTGATCTGTCGGACTAGGTCGTAGAAGAGGTCATTGACGTTGATCTTAGCTTTAGCTGAGGTCTCCAAGAATGTACTGCACATGATTAGGGAAAAGCACAAATTGTAGAAAAAGAACATGATTTAATAATCAAGTACCGGTACTAGTATACTAGACACATTTTAAAATCAATGTTGGACAGAGAGAGAGAGAGATCACACAACAGTAATAGGTATTGTATTGTAAGAAGTTGATGAAAGCCTTCCCTGACATGCCATAATGTCGTGAGTGTCGGGAGTGTCGTGGTCGAGTGGTTTAAGGCGCTTGACTGGGGATGCGAAGGTCGAGAGTTCGAATCCCTACACGGCACTAATATCCTTTGGCAAGACATTAACCTGCACATGCTACTCTCCACCCAGGTGTCAAATGGGTACCCGGTAGGATGCGGCCGTCATTGTTGGTCAAACAGCTCGTGAGCGTCAAGTAACGCCCGGCTGGAATGCTCCCCAGGGAGTGGAGATTGTGCACACATTATGTGCAGGCAAGCACTGAATCCAATGACCGGGGTAATAGTATATTTGTAAAGCGCTTAGAGACATTTGTATTAAGCGCTATATAAAAATTAAATATTATTATTATTATATCATAATATTAAGTCTACTCTAAATCCACAAAGGAGGTTTAATTTTATACTGTGACCAGTCTAAGTCATAGTTTAAACTTCCATTGAGACCTAAACAGTATACTAAGGAGGTTTATCTTAAACCATGGTCCATGGTTTAAGATAAACCTCCTATTGTGAATTTGGCTATTATGCGCATGATTAATGACAAGTATTTTTAGTTGATTCAAATTGTGATATCTTATTGGGCTACGCTAGTAATCGCTGAGAAATTCTGCAAATCAAAAGTGTATCAAGTCATCAGACAACTAGACTTTCTATTCTTCAGGTGTTTGAAAGTCATGTGCCTATTTTGTAAACATACATAACTGGAGGAATGCAGCAAATCAACACCAAGGAGCCTCTGTTTACATCATCATTTTGCACATTGACCTCAAAACCTAATCAGTTCATCTCCCCCCTCTGACGCATAACAGTACTATCGCATCTCAAAATCATCCCTATAATGATTCTAAGATACCGTGAGAAAATGTTAGAGCAATGTTTCAGACCTACATGTACATCCGCGAGTACAACCTGACAACAAATTATGGCACTTCCTATTGCGTAGACTAGATAGTCTTGGATAGGTTTTGTTTCATACATGTATTCGTAGGATCACTGTTATCATTACTCATTACACAACAATAGCATAATGGTTGTGTCATTTACTTGGTTTGCAAAAGGCAAGGACATTAAAATGTACCCCTTCTTTTGTTAAATGACATTGTGTACAGTATTTGTAAAATAGTAGATGCATATTTTCCCTGCATACCCCACCTAGCAGGCATATCCTTGATACAATGATTACCCCATTAAGTCACAGCTGTGGTTTACACCGTGACTTATTACTGTTGGTGAACATAGAACAATCTTTGATTCTGGGCTTGTGCCAATAAGGGTTCAGTGCAATGAGTAGAGGGGTGTACTGCCAACATGCAGAACTTTATAAACCACCCTTGTTAATAGTTTTTTTGAGATATCCTAAAAAGTCTTGTCCTCTGGAGAATGGCAGCTGCATGCAAACATTACCAAAAGCATAATAGAAGTATACTCAAGGCTCTACATGACCAGCAACCCAATGGCAGAAAACCTTTAAAAATTCAACATGACCCCCAAATATTAAACAAGGGTCCATTAAAAAAAAAAAATAGCCACAAAATTGCCCCCCTGACATAAAATTTAAATGTGGAGTATTGGACAACTCAACAGACTTTAGCTGGAGTTTTGTATAACGGAATATATGCATGTTTACTAGAATACAGTATGAACAATACCCAGACTGAGAAATGCAGACAGCCAATCACCAAATAACACATTACTCTCAATGTTGTAGGTTCCTATATGACTATTGGTGAATAAAATGGAAATACATGATTAATGAAAGTTAAAGTGATGTTTGAGTAGACTAGCCAATACCGGTACACCCATATGTGAACACACTACAGTGTAGAACAGAACCAATATCTGACTTGGGTTCTGCGTTGAGGTTTTTAATGCTATCCTTCATTTTCTTCATACTCTTCAACCATTAACCCATACATGTCAGGTGATTTTCTACATGCTAGCTGTACACACTGGTCCAATGATTGTTTTAGATGATGATGAGTCTACTTACCAGCCGTTGAACTGCCTTGCTAAGCTAGCTCCTTGATCCTTGCCTACTACTCTCTCGTCTTCCAAGTCACATTTGTTGCCTACGAGTACCATGGGAACCTGAAAGGGAGGGGGCAGGGAGGGAGAACAAGAGAAGATACGTGTTACAGCACACATCTATCCCAAGAGACCCATGTTTATTTCCCTGGCTTTAGCCAAGCTTTATAAAGCATTTCTCCCTACCTGATACTGACCATTAATTACACTTAGGTTGAGAGTAGCAACCGTACAGTGTAGATTAATGTCTTGACACAGAATATTAGTGCCATAACGCATGCTTGAACCGCAAACAAATCTTAACAAATTATTTCAATCACCTGTAACGGATAATTGTATTTCAATATTCAGAATGCAAATTGCATACCGGTAAATTAATTTTTGTTAGGTAGGACAAACAGTATGGCTTGCCCTACCTAACAACACGCAACATATGCAATTTGCATTCTGACTATTGAAATACAATTATTCGCAACAGGTGAATGAAATAATTTGTAACAAGGCACTTAACAAAGATTTGTGCATTAAAATTTGAGTACATTACAAAATGGCCTATTGCCTTATTGATATAAATGGATATCATAAATGGTTGACCCTTTCAGTGCTATAAAATCAATTGATAAACACAAAAATCTTGCACTTTAAAAAAATTCTTAACAAGTTCATTAATTGTGAAGTTAGATATAGAATACTTCATATCAAGATGAATGGTCGATTTAAAAAAAAAAATCATTCTTGTGAGACAGGTTTGTAAACTTGGTATAGCATGACCTCCATGTATCTCACACGTACATGCATGAGCTAGCAAGTCTTTCCTTCAGCAATGTAATAAAATACTAAAAATACATTCAAATGCTTGATTTGTTTATAATCAAATATTTTCCAGCAGGAGCCAAGCTCTCACATGGCCCTCATAATCTCTTATTACAAGCTTTATATTATAGGATAAGTGCTGTACCTGCATTATTCTCCACAAGGTCATATTGTATAGTGCATCAAAAGTTTAGCCGAATGCATTCAGGTAAACAGCTATTAGTCTGCACAGACAGGCTTTATGCAGGGGCTGTAGAAATGGGGGGGGGGGTGCAACCCACAAGACCCGTACAATACTGCAGCATTACAATAAAATCATGTTCTTTGCATGCTCAGCCCTCTTCTCCCTTTTAAAAATGCTTTGCTAATCCCATTCCCTTTCCACAATCAACATTGATATACCCCGTAAAGGTACCCCAGAAAGGAAGGGTGTATCTCTGCTCCATTGAATCTGTGTTGTACTAAGTCTGCAGAGGGTATTTCTATTACAAAAATATAGGCCTTTATGTTAACTCTACAGTGTCTAGACAAGCATAGGTAATAGTTTTTATATCCCATTCAATTCATAAAAGATTTAATCCTCTTTAATAGCAGTTACAGAGAGGTTTCATAACATAAATAATTTATAAGCTATGTGCCAGATCATTTATTTACACCAAGGTACATGTACACTGTAACTGACAAATTGGAATAACTATACAACAATAAACAGTTACCAGTATTACCATGTTCTAAGAAAACCTTTCTTTTTGCTTACATAACTTTACAATGCTACTATACCAAGGAATAGAGTCCCCTGGTCTCTAGACTGTAGCACACATTTTCTGTCAGCCTGTACAGTAAATCTAGATCATTGTATCAAAAAAATAATAAAAAGCATTAAATATATGATCTTTTGATTCAAGAGGTACATTGTGATTCCTCTGAAAAAGATAACATTTGAGGAAGATAGTAAATATACACTGGGACTTTCTAAAAAAAAGAAAAGATCAACCAATCCCTCAGCTTGAGCACTGCTGAAGAGATACTGTTAGGTACTCACGTTATCTGTGTCTTTGACACGAAGGATCTGCTCTCGTAAATCATGGAGATCATTGAAGGTAGACTGCGCTGTGATGGAGTACACAAGGACGAAGCCCTGGCCATTCTTCATGTACAGATCTCTCATGGCTGTAAATTGTTCCTGGAGAGAAGAAGATGTAAAAAGTAAAAAAAATTATCATAAGGTAAAATGAGCATGGTTTGAGAATAAAAGGGGCTTCCCCCTACTTTTTAATTCAACCTTTAACATGATGTCCAAATCATATACCGTAAGTAATAAAAAAAACAATAGGCTACCAAAATTTACAAATTAGTCAAAGTTCTGAAATGTGAACATTAAAACAAAAATTGATGTATATAATGTGATTACTCACCTAACAACCCCCGTTTTTGTTAATTAATGAAGGGGGGGGGGGGGGAGGGTCATTAAATGTTCACACAAACATGTTTTCTCTATTTTCTACCACATTGTTGATATATTTCTGGAAGCCTGCAAGTACATGTACATGAAATCAGTGACATACGTGGCTTGGGTGCTTTTACAAGGCAATATAAGCCAAGGACCACCAATAGAATCTCTCTCTCATTATACTGTATGAAAGGCAGGCAGGCAGACAGGCAGGCTTGATAAGGACAACATCTATTCATTTCCACAAATTAAAGCATTCAATAAAGAGATTGGGAGACCTTCAGTCCCTATTAGTAATTGTACTTTTTCTTTCTTTCTCAATGCATAATCCTTCAAGCCTTAGTAGCCTTTTTAATATTGATTTATTAGGACAGTTGTCTAAATACAAAAAAAAAGTTGGTTTCTTTGGCTGAGTGATCTGAATTATATTAAGTTCTTGATAGTGTTCCTAGAAGTTGGCCTGTTACGTGTACTAATACAGCTACATGTAGATATAGTTTGTAACCAAGGACCCATGTTGGTTGTTTTCATTGCAAAGTCTGAATGAACTGTTCAGGCTGTAGACTACCACACCATGCATTACAGGTGCGCTTGCCTTTTGTAAACCTAGCTTAGGATTCACTCAAGAGTCAAGACACAAATAGTTTATCTTTTAAACATTGTCTTTTATTTCAAATTTTCAATCGCCCGAGTTACTGTTATTCTGGCTCTGAACAGACAATAAACTTCATATCAAATATGACTCTTTGCTTGCGGATAAACAGCAACATCGGTCAACACTTCAGGGTAAAATCATTGCAAAAATGCTGGTACTTCTATCCATGCACTTTTCATCACATACTTTCAATATGTACTTTTTGTTTTTTGTACATGTAGTTAATACCTATTTTTGGCATGATTTTTGTGGTTGGCAATTCAAAGGTTACTGACAAATACATACCCATCTTCTCCAGAACTATATTTGTTTTAATGATTTGGTACATGTAGTTCAGATGATAATTATTTATTTTGTGTGTGTGTCATTTCCCCCAATGTTTTTTTAAAGCTAAAATTAGAAAAGTATTTGCTTTTGATTAAAATGGTTTCTCAATCACTGCTCAACCATATTCTCACCACCACCAAATAAATAATACAAATACCATGATGAAATAATCTGGTGTGACCAACAATAATACTGATTTCAAGGTTGGCAGCCTTTTATTCATATTTTACTTTTCAACAACCCCCAAAAGTACAAAACAAAAAACAAAGTCAGGAAACGAGTAGCAATATATAGCAATACATGTCCAACACACATCCGCTTGATCTGATGGTGTTCATCCTATATGTACATTACATGTTTGTAGGTCCATGCACCATTGAAGTTGCATGTGGGCGGGTGTGAGTTTGTTACAAGAGGAGAGCCTACGGTTAATGGATATCCGATATCCTTTACTTCCTTTTCATAATAGCCATTTGACTTTCTTTTTCAACAAACAGAAAAAAATATTACCTTAACCAGTCAGGCCGCTGCACGCTCGCTAATGAGCATATCGTGCGAGCGTTATCGTGCGAAGGAAACAGCTCGATGAATAATATCCACAAACGAGAAGTTACGAGATCGTGCGAGAATTCTGGAAGGGATGACGTAGACTCCATTTTCTCGCGCATGCTCAGTTTTTGAGCAGCCATGTTTGGGTAAGTCGAACTCCAGAAAATTTCCTTTCAAATGATATAAAATTTTGATATATTTCCGCGAAATTTACGGTTTTACAGCATCATACAATGAGGTCAAATTTTGAGAAGTTTTCGTTCCTAGTTTTGTAACTAAATTTTGTTTTCGTGAACCTGACCCGTTCGAAAATAGAAAAAGATCATTTGATGTCGATATGTGTTCAGCAATGTCTGAAATTGCCAAATCAGTTGTCCAATTTGAGGTTCCTCAACAGGAAATTAGTGAATTCTGCTTCCAAAATTCACGAGAAAATCATGTTTTCACCGGAAATACGTACTCGAATTTCGGTAAACTGGCGCGAAATGGTCTAAATATAGTAAAACGCGCGAATGTTCCGCGACGTTGGAGCGTTGGGCTCAGTGCATACCGATCATACAGTATTGTCCCACATATAGATTTCCATGGTGTTATTTTGTGCAATTGTTTATCAACTGATCAAAGACCGAAACTATTTAATTTTTTGTTGAATTTCAGTTTCCTCATGTGGTCAGGCATAAAATAGGGCTGGGATTCTTAGTAATAACGTTTTTAGATTGGATTCCAAAAAGAATTTGATCTAGGGAGTAGGGTCTAGACTTCTATGAACTCTTAAAAGCTGCCCCCATACAATTCACCCACAGTGCTAATCCCTATTGTGTCAGCCACTAATCTCCTGTGTGCAAAGTTAATTTAGGGTAGACTCTAGGTTCAATTAGCGTGTGTACTTATGCACGAAAATGTGTCTGTGGCACGCGAGTGAATGAGAGTTTATGTGTGCATGGCAAGCCACCAGAAACCTGATTACCTGAGCGTGGCACGCCAGCGCATGCACAGAACAGTGTTCTTTGCACGATATGAGCAGGGATATGTGAGATCTAGACATCTAGCACTTTTTTTTACTAGGTCTAGATTGGAGTCAATGCATCGTATTGACCTTTAGCATTGCTTTACGTGTTAATAGGCAGCATTTGAATACATGAATAGTCAATACACTCGTAACACACACATGCCCACAATCATGCTGATGCGGCTGATCGGCAAGTTTGGTAGTGGACTCGCATTTTGAATTTTTAAATTATGCTTTCTTACATCGGAAAGTTGACAAAATTGTATTTTCCTGCTATTTATGTGTCATCAATTGTCTCTAAAGTGATGATTTAGAGTGAAAACAGTTTAGTTTTGTACAGTGGTGTTTGAAATGTTGAGAATCAATAGCACAGCTTTTAATACAGAGCCAGCTACATGTATGTGTGTTCTAGACTCTGATCAGTCTATACTCTAGAATTATTGAAAATCCACTGGCAGTTCACATACTTGTGATAACTAGACTAGAATCTAAATTGAACGTACAGGTAGATCTAATAATTTATATATTTTTCTCTTTTTTTTTCATTACAGCTGTTCTCCATCGGGTCATCAAACTCAAAGACAAAGCGTCGTTTTTTTTGGAGATTCAATTCTACGCAATTTGGAGAAGAATTTATTAACATTTGACATACCTTATCGAGCTACAGTTTACTGCTATCCAGGAGCCACAATCGCAAGTTTGAGAGAGAGCATTAGAAAAGAATTCGGGAATACTTTTGAGCATAGTACTTCACATGTTGTAATCCATATTGGAACTAATAATCTATCACGTCTTCTGTGGGAACGAGAACGGAAACATTTGACATATTTATATAGTACACTCACAGAGATATTTCGTTCTGCTTCAATTTGCTTTTCTTGTATTCTACCCCGCTGGGACTCTGATGAACTTCATTCTTTTTCAACTATTTTTAATGCTGGCCTTAAAGAACTTTGCTCGTCATTACCAAACTGTGCTTATTTAGATTCAACCGACGACTTCCTTGATAGTGTTTTGTTTTGTGCAGATGGAATTCATTTGAACGGACCTGGAAAATCTTTATTGTCCTCCATTTTTCATTATTTTTTGTTGAATCGTTTTAATTGTCTCCAGTCATCAAAAGAGAGTTCGCATACAAGAGTTTTTTGGACACCTCCGGAACTGAAGAAGTTGTATACCCCTCAAAAGGAAAAAAAAAAGAATGATCAGTGCCAGTGGAAGGAAACAAATTTAAATCTTGTACTATATTTACGTCGAGAAAAGCGGTCTACCTATTTCAACTTTGACAGACCAAGCAGGAAAAAGAAGAAATGTAAAAGACCTAAGGAAGGAGAGGAGGGTTTCCTGCACCCTAGATACACGGCAAAACGATCTCCAACACCACCCGAGCTGCCACCACATCAATATATCCCAGAAAAAATAAGAACATACATCCCGTATAGAGCCCTCACTTATAACAATGTATTCCAACTATCATCGTGTCATCTACCATCACCTGTAAAACCCTATATTAGGTGGAAACTGAGCAAAAAGCGTGCAAGGAGTGGGAGGAAAACCCAATTAAAAAAACGTAGGAGAAAGGTATGTTTACATGCAATCAACAATTCAAACATAAAAGGATATTATAAACATATGCTAGCGATTGATTGTCACTGACCTAAAAAATGAAAAGAAAGTTCCAGTTCAAGATAGTAAACAAAATATTTGGATGCCAGGTAATTGAAAACAGTAATCAGGTACATGTAATCAGCCAAACACTGATATGCCTCCATGGTACAAATGCATTTAAAAAGTATGTTGTGATTAATTTATTTCTATTTCTTTTACACGAACACATATTTATCTAAATAAAAGTTAATGACAAATGACAATCTGATTTGTGAAATGGGATTCCATGTTTTGCCCAGAGATAGAGTTGAGGAAATCACCTGGAATGTTTGATTTATTTCTTGTATTCATTCTTTGTTAATTGTTTTTGTTTTTGTTTTTTGGTTCCAGGCGCAGAGATGTACACAGGCCCTCATAGAAGTTGTACGAAATCCCCCCACAGGCTTCACAACCAGTCATGTGACCCCTAGCCCTCCTCTTCCAATTGATCGCCCCCCTGATCTTGAACGCAAGATGCAACATGGAAACAAGGTAAGTTGTGATTTAATTTATTCCATTTACATGGAAATTTGTTTCCCTAAAGAGCAGTCAGTGAAATTTCTGATTGGTGAAAAAACTTCCGTTTATGTTCTCCCATAGGATAAAGTAGTAATTACTCTCATTTCCTCTTCTAAGACATGATTAGGATATCTTGATGCATAACTGTTTAATGTCATGTAGATTACTTTGTATATTAAAACTACCAGCATTGTTCATTCACTGTCTAATGTTGATAATTTTGTTCCAGGTGCGGAGCTGTACACAGTCGTCCTTCCTACAACATGTAGAAGATCCCCCCACAGGCTTCACAACCAGTCATGTGACCCCTAGCCCTCCTCCAACTGATCGCCCCCCTGATCTTGAACTCAAGATGCAACCTGGAAACAAAGTAAGTTGTGATTTAATTTATTCCATTTACATGGAAATTTGTTTCCCTAAAGAGCAGTCGGTGAAATTTCTGATTGGTGAAAAAACTTCCGTTTATGTTCTGCCATAGGATAAAGTAGTAATTGCTCTCATTTCCTCTTCTAAGACATGATTAGGATATCTTGATGCATAACTGTTTAATGTCATGTAGATTACTTTGTATATTAAAATAACCAGCATTGTTCATTCACTGTCCAATGTTGATAATTTTGTTCCAGGTGCGGAGCTGTACACAGTCGTCCTTCCTACAACATGTAGAAGATCCCCCCACAGGCTTCACAACCAGTCATGTGACCCCTAGCCCTCCTCCAACTGATCGCCCCCCTGATCTTGACCTCAAGATGCAACCTGGAAACAAAGTAAGTTGTGATTTAATTTATTCCATTTACATGGAAATTTGTTTCCCTAAAGAGCAGTCGGTGAAATTTCTGATTGGTGAAAAAACTTCCGTTTATGTTCTGCCATAGGATAAAGTAGTAATTGCTCTCATTTCCTCTTCTAAGACATGATTAGGATATCTTGATGCATAACTGCTTAATGTCATGTAGATTACTTTGTATATTAAAACAACCAGCATTGTTCATTCACTGTCCAATGTTGATAATTTTGTTCCAGGTGCGGAGCTGTACACAGTCGTCCTTCCTACAACATGTAGAAGATCCCCCCACAGGCTTCACAACCAGTCATGTGACCCCTAGCCCTCCTCCAACTGATCGCCCCCCTGATCTTGAACGCAAGATGCAACCTGGAAAAAAAGTAAGATGTGATTTGATTTATTATATGTACATGTAAATTATAAAGTGATTTCTCAAAGTAAACTCAAATTAAACTCATTTCGAATCACATTTTATTGTTTATTCTCTGAAAAAACAGGATCCTGTTGCATTTAAAGATAAACTCCAGTACTGGTAAAAAAAAAAACAATTAATTCTCACAGAATCAAACGAAACTTACACTGAATGTTCAAGATTACAAATAAATGACATGTGCCAAACAATTTTGGAAGAAAATGTATACTGGCTGAGTAATGAGCATAGAAAGACAAGGAAATCAAGGTAGTACTAGCCCCGACACCATGTGTGTTGTCCCATATATAGCTTTCTATGTTACTTTACCAAGACTCGGTCAAATTTATTATGATTTTGATGACTCCAGAACCTTGCAGTGCACACCAATACTTACATGCTACATCATCAACTGTTTCCGATCCTTTCACACCTTTTCTTTCACAATGCAATCGCATTACCAGTACTAAAGTTTCTCTTTAAGTTACCATTTATTCAGTAATTCTCATCAATGGAAACCACCATTGTAACATTATGGACTTTGTGATAGCATGTTGTTTTGTGAATGTTGACATGACATGAGCAGAGCGAGGGACTGCACATGCTCGAGAACGGCTCAGCTATCGACTTCCCTAGAAATAAATAAATCAAATCAAAAATCAAAACATGTATCGCAGCACCTCACTCCATTTGAGTGACATTATTAAATAGAAATCTTCTTCCTCAAGAACGAATAAGTGAATTCATAACATAAAAATCTTCATTTTGTTCCATCACTGGTATATAAACAGTGTTCCTAGGTTGTAATCTAACCAAAGCATTGTGAAAATACAGGAGAATATTTTTTTTTGAACTGATATTAATCATGCTTCTTGACTTATGAATGTCAACTGTTTGTTAAGTTAACTTTTGAAGTTTCAAGATGATTAATTAACTGCAAGATAATCAATTAACTTTTTAATGATATATTAAGTCAGTTTTCCTTTGACTCTTATCATATTTTCAGGTTAAGCATTGTGATGTTATCACCATGAGGGATGAAGTAAAAACATCAGCCTGTACATCGCTGCTGGGGTGAAGGATAAGTTGTCTCCTTGCCAGAAAGTTTCATGTGGACCTTGTAAAATTTGCAATAAATCATCGCCTCAATATTATCATTTATGTTCTATGAAATCTAATGCCCTTGTGGCTATCATTACGGAACGTAACACCGATATTCAAATGACAGACTGTATTTGTAGTGGTTGCAGAACAAAATATGTTAGAAAATTGAAAAACCCAAAATACACTCCACAAAAGACACGTAAAAAAGAAAGAAGTATATGTTTTCTGTTCCATTATGACCGTTGTGTTGATAAGTCATTAAGAGAAAGTGAATGTGAATTAGAATCATTCAATGCTGCATTTTCTGTAGAATGTACTTCACTTCCACGTACTATACCTTTATGCATGAAACATAGATCTGAATTGACACATTTTGAGCAATCTAGAAGTTATCGTTCCTGTTCTGTCTGTGAAGCATTACTGACTTCTGATGACAAAACATACACCTGTAAAGATATTCCTGAAAGTGAATTGAAAAGATTGTGTGATATAAATGAAGACTTTTCAGGAACACAAGGTCACCATATATGTAGACCATGCTACATGTATCGTATAAAGAAAAGTAGTGCTAATAAAATGTCACTTAAAAGTATGGAAAGTTCGCTTCAGAGCCATGTGCTTGCATCAGATTCGGACGAAGACTTGTTACTCAAAATTCTAAATGATGTTTATTTGTATATATGTAGACTGTGTCTTGAGGATGGTTATTTTTTATTCATAACTGTTTATGAATATTTTTCTGATCTTGTCTTGAAAATATGTTGTGATGCGCTGCAGTATGACCGTGTAAGTAAAAGTCCAATATTTGTAAAGGGTAAGATTATACACCAGTTTGGCGAGCTTTTGATTGTACATAGAGATGCTCGTAGGAGAGGAACATTTTTTTACAGTGCAGAGATGTCTCATGATGATGTTATACGTTCATGGCATATTTTAGTTTCTAAATTGAGATCATTACAAATTGACAAGAATAGTGCCCAAGATGTGCCCGACAGACCATCCTTTTCCTCTCAGTTTAGTTCATCTTCAGAGGTGAACATGCAGCTCCGAAATGTTGTCAATAACGGAAATGAATTTCTCCGTAAACAGGCGAAACACTTTACATCGGAATATATAACTAATCCTTTATCTGTCACTGATTTTAACTTTGAGACTGCCTTATCTAATTTTCATCCATTTTTATGGAACCTAGTTAGCATTATCACAGCAACTTTAGAAGAACTGCAGTATTTTCGACAATCTTCAATTCAGTTAGACACTGAATTCATACAGTTTCCATCTGAAGACACACAAGCAGGTTCCAAAAGAAAGCAGCGTAGAATTGCATGTTTATTTCTTTTACAATTTATAATGAATGATGAGAATTATTATCCACTTCATATCATTGTTGCCAATTGTGTTAAGAAACTGTCCCATTCGTCAAAACTACTTAAAATTCTGAATCATGTAGGTTTTGCATGTTCGGAGAGCACACTTGACAGATTTCTGCAAGTAGTCCATGACAGGCGTGTTGAGAGCGGTCCTCTTTCACATTTAAATCCATATGCAGTCACATTTGTTTCTATTGATAACATAGATGTGCTAACTCCTTTTGCGCCTGTCACCATTGATAAATCAAGGAGTTGGCACGGTACATCTGTAATGGCACAACAACCCAAACCCAGTACTATCCATTGGCACGAGAACGAAAAGCTTTCAGATATTAATCCTGTCAGACCATCCGTTATTGATGAAGCTGGTACCAGTTCTGCTACAAAAAAAAAACCAGTTGTCAGAAGAAGATTAGCACAGCTTGACTCTCTTGATATTCCAGGTCCATCTTTTTTTCAACCCCCTCGTTTCAAAACCTCAATAAGGTCCCAGCTTTCTCTTGAACATTTTTCATTTTCTGCACAAGATTCTAAACAGGAGAAAGATATGTACGAGAAAGCTCTCATATATACTTTGGAAAGATATTTTTATGTCTTAGAGAATAAATCTTCTGACCTACCCAGTTTCAAATGCAAGTTGGCATTGGAAGGCAAACAAGACATAGAACATTCAGAGTTTTCCTACATGTATGTACTAGATGAGAAGGCAGACTGTCCAGACACTTTAAAGCGTACACTTGGCCTTCTGTATGAAACCTTTAAAATCAATCGGTCGTTGAATCATTTAGTCATTGCTGGTGATGGCGCAACTGTACGTCTTCTGTTGAACTTGAAGTTAGAGTATGGAGATACACTTGATTGGGTCATACCCTTTTTGGGAGACTGGCACATCCTTAAGAATTTTCAAGAGGTCCTTATGAAAATCTATTGGGATGCTGGTTTGAAGGATGTGGCCAGGTTAACCCACAAGCAAGCAACATTGAAAAGCCTGGGCAACTGTACAAATTTCAAACGCACTCACAGATTTCTCTTACAAATATATGAGGCTATTTTTATGTTGCAAGTTTCTAGTTTCCTGTCATATAGGAGTGACAATGATATTGATTTTACTAAAGATATCTTTTTGGAGAAAGTGAAAGATGTTCTAGCTCATGTACATATAGATATCAATGCTGGCAAATATGTAGATTGTGATAAGTTTTTGGAAGCACAGCAGGTATTTATCACACAGTTTGTTCAACCAATGCAGGACGAGTTTGTTTTATTTTGTCATGAAATGTCGGAAAAGTTTGAAACATTCAGGTTTTGGAACCAATTTTTAGTTAAAGATTGCCTATGTTATATCAATCAGTGGTTAGCAATACGTACAGGAAACTGGAATTTAAAATTATCAGCGCTTAAATCAATGGTACCGCTATTCACTGCATTTGATAGGCAAAATTATTCAAAATTGATTCCACTTCATTTACGTCAGTTATATTCTTTACCCGAATACATCTTAGATCATTTTGAGAGGGGTGCTTTTGTGTCAAGTCTCACTGGAAAGGAATTTTCTCTGCTTGCATTAGATGAGACTCATGAGACCACAATTAATAAAGATGTTAAGACTTCATTTTCACAACATTTGCCTCAACATGTAGAAAAAATTAGTGCAACATTACAGTGTCAGGCCAAAATGGTGAAAAATCTTGAAGAGCAAACGGGTATTAATAGAAAAGATATGTTTCAACGTGACCTCCAGAAATCTGTCATTAATGCTGAATTTGCCAATGTCAAAGCATACTTTCAAGTTTTGTGCAATACCACAATGTTTTCTCCTGTTCAGGAAAGTAATCTATATCATGTATTTACTAATGTTTCTGCCCAACCAGCACAGCAGAAATGTCTTCTTGAGTTCAGGCAATTAGGACAAGATGCTTATGATGCCCTATGCAAAATTCAAATGCTGAATGACCCGTCAGTCAAGAAAACAGTTATAAGAAAGTTTAGGTTGAAAACTTTTGCGAAAGAAAAAATAAGAGCTAAGAAAATTAATGACTTAGAAAAAGAAAAACGTCTAATTACACTGTGCTACAAAAGAACTATTGCCTTTTCAGAGGAAAGGCGAGTGCCAATATCAAATTTGGGACAGTTCGTTGAAAAGCCTCGTGCAATTTGCTTGCCTAATGGACTTCCCTACAAAGGAGCTAAATCTGTTGTGTATGATCAATTCGAAAAACGGTATTCTTCAAAGTATGAAATAGTCAGCAATTCCTGTGCCTTTCATGACGGTGATATTAGTGCTATAATCGAGGGAATGAATATAATTTATTCTTCCCCATTGAAACAATTCAAAACATTCAAAGAATATGCAAACTTTTTAGCACGTAGGTGGATATACTCTTTTTTTCGAAAGGGGTACAAAGAAGTTCGTATTCTTTTTGATCAATGCAATACCCAGGGTATATCTCCTAAAGGTGTGGAGAGAGGCAGACGTGACGAGGGGAAGGATAGTGGTGATACTGATGCTTATGAAACAATAACTGATGATAGTCCTTTGCCTGGAAACTGGATGAATTTTCTGAAAAATAGACAAAACAAGCATATGCTTTGTAGGTACTTATCTCGTGCATTTGTTGACATTGCTCCTCAGTATTTTCAGGATTCTAAGCAGTCATTCATTACATCAGGAGGGTTCCATGTTGGGCAACAAATTAATCATGAGTGGACTGGGATCATAGTTAATGAAAATGGGGCAGATGTACATGAAATTTTCCATAATCATGAAGAAAGCGATACACAAATTTGGCTTCATGTAGATAATACAACTTGTAACAAAATTCTAATTTATTCGATAGATAGGGACATAGGGATTATCGGTCTTCCTCTTAATTTTGGCGATAAGGAAATAATAATTCAATTCAGGGCTAGGGCAGGTGCAGAGAAGTTCCTTAATCTGAATACATTGAAGTCAGCCTGTTCATTGGATCCAGACCTTGGTCTTGTTGTTACAAATGATATAGACGTTAGTAAATGCATACAAACCCTTTATATTTGTTCAGGCTGTGATTTTGTATCTTACTTTGCACATCTTGGTAAGGGAGCATTTTTTAAGTCATTTTTTCAATATGCCTCTTTCATAACAGGGCATCAAACACCCAGTACACCCGGAAACCTAACTAATACAATATTCGAAACAGATTCCCATTTAGGCCTTTTAAGCTTTTATCGTCTTATCTTGTGTATTTATTTTAATGCAAACAGAGCTTGTCTTCATAATTACAACTCTCCGATTGATCTTTTTAACAGTACGAGTGCTGATTCTGTTGAAGAAGAGCACTCTAAAGCATTAGATATTGTTAGAAAGGCATCGTGGAAAGGTACATATGAAGATCAGCTCTTGCCCTCTGATGAGGCTCTACGGTTACATTGGCTACGAAGCTGTTGGGTGAGCACTGTGTGGAGTACAGTTAGAAAACAAGAATTTGATTACCCTGACATTTCAAAATATGGATTTAAAGTGACTCATAATGATGGAGACGTGGGTGTAGAATTTGAATGGGATTCAATTGAAAATATGCAACGTATAAAAGAAAATGTATTGTACCTCACACGTGGTTGCAATTGTTCTAAAAGTAAATGTAGTAACCGTCAATGTAAATGTAGAAAAGTTAATAATCTTTGTGGTCCAGGGTGTAGATGTAAAAATTGTGAAAACATAACACATATTCCTCCTGTAGATACTGTAGATACTGATGAAGATATAGATGATGAAGATAATGATGACAATGATGATAATGATGATAATGATGATAATGATGATAATGATGTTAATGATGTTAATGATGTTAATGATGTTAATGATGAAGACATGTACATGTATAATGTATATGATAGTGATGATGGCAACGAGAACAACATCTTACCAGAGTCTGAGAATCCAGAAACTGAATATTTGATGCATATAGCATAACCTTGTTTACAATTGTTTTGTAGCGAGGTTTACAGCTCTGAGCTTGTCTCAAGAATTGTATATATAGACTGGAAGGTACTGAATGCCTGTAGAGGTGAGGTCATGTTCTTGTATTTTTGTCATTTATATTTTTTTTATGTAGCAAGTTACTTTTTCTTGCCATGAACGATATGTTTCACAGTATGAATAGATCACTCAGGAATCGTTGACATGTATGATTGTCTTGTAAATAAAAAGGTTTATGGGTTTTTCTCTGAAGTAATGCATGTAGACTCATACTCGATCCTCACAGTGCTAGTAGATATTCATGCATTTATAGGTGAGCTCATGTTGTGTTTTTTTAGTAGTATGATGCCAAATATTATTTTGTTGGTCTTGCCAATATCTGAGCATTATGATCGTTTTGTAGTGCAGAAAAAATGCAATACATACATGTACATAAACAAAGGTCATGAGAGGCTTTCATTTTTACTTAACTGAACCTGTTTCATTAGGTGATACAGCTACAATGTATCGCATGTGTCAGTGATCTTGCTCAAATTATTATTCTTGTGCTTGCCATTGATTTTTGTATCTGTATGTAAAAATGTAATATATGAGTTTATACTTATCTTCTGTAACTTTAACTTTGAATCATGTGTGTGATAAAAAGATTATGCATGAGAATGTTGCTACTACCGGTAGTGATCATGTTCACCTTGCGGCCTGTGTTCTTTCAGCATTTCTTTCTTTTGCTAAATATAGAGTTATTGCTAAGTATAGAAAACCACTTACCAGTATGTATTCATCATATGTATGAATGCAACCATGCAAACAAGTGTTATGCACAATACTTTTTATCTGATTTAATGCTATATTTTGTTTGTATTACATATTATATTCTTGTTTTTGTTATAATGGTTTATGTTGAACACTTACTGTATTCCTTGTACAGTCTTTCTAATATTATGGCAAAATGTAGCATGTACATTCATGTTATAACATTCATTGATAACTCAGGATTTTTGTATTTTCAGTGCATTATTGCCTTAAACTAGCCAGTACTTTGTGTGTGTGGACTAGCTTATGAATAATCATTTCTGTAAACACATGTATTTTTTTTAACCTTGCCAAGCTGTCTCTTGTATTCAAAGAGAAATAAAAAAATAAAAAAATTGTTCAAAAGAAAGATCCTGTTTCATGTTTGTGTATTATGCGTGAACTGTATGACTGATCAGAGGACTGTGTTCCTTTATACTTGAATATTTCTTTGCCCTCCGTTAGACCTTCATTATATGTAGGATAAGAATGAGTCGACACCCTAGCTCATATACAAAATGGATCGACTTTTCCTTCAGACAATTAAGGTATTTGGTCTTCGGTGAAGTCGTATAATTTCGTTACACAAATTTGTATGGGTGGGCGCATACTATTCTTCAAATTGAAATTTCTTGAAACGAACACTAAATTTTCCAAAATCAAACGTATCACTGCCCATAGTTAATCTTAGTAATCGATAAATACCAAGATAATTACATGAAATAGGGTTAAAATGTTGAAATAACGCCATTATTCGTGCCTAGAAAACAAACCGCGAAGTCACAAGTTCGTTCACCTTTGACGAATGGTCGTTCGGTAGGTGATCGGAAATCTTCGTATTCATGTATCTTCTTAATGTGAAACTATTTTTTAAAACCGTGAACTTGACCCGTTCGAATCATCAAATAACCTGATCTTCTCACCATACAAAGAATGATGTCTAAACTCTCCAAAAATATAAAGATTGATGAGGTTCCTACTCGTGTTATACGTTTTTTATGCATTCACTTTCATCATAAACTCGATGAAAATACGGAAAAAGTAAGCTTGTACTTGACAGGAAATATTTCATAAGGTAATGGAGTCCAGTTTATTTCTAATTCAGATTAATGAAAGAGCAGTTTCTTGTCTTCAATTTGACATATCGTTTATGCTAAATGATTAGCAAGAAACCATTTTGTGTAGGTGGAAACAAGTCGGTGTTTTCAAGCTCGTGTGCTCATTACGTATTCATATTGACCGCTGGGCTTGCATACGAGTACGATAAATACGGGCGGTTTTCGGGCAGTGGCGTACTGACTGTAACGTGACTGGATATATGACCTATCTTTCAGAGGGTTTTTTTTCCTTTTAAGGATTTGGAAATGAATGTTATACTAGGAAGCAAAAAGTTTGAAAGTTGTCATAGTCAAATCATGGTTCTTTTTTTTATGGTTGCTTTTTATTAGGATAGAATTATAAAAACAGCTCTAGTACAGTGTATGTATATTAATATACAAAATACATTCGACCTTCGTGAATAGCAGTCAATCTTTCAAATTCCTGACTTCATCCTTGGACCAAACACTAACCCTAATCCTAACCTTAAACCTTCTCCAATCAACAACAATAACTCTAATCCTCTTTGAAAAATAGATTCCATAATGAACATCAGATAACCCTATGGATCATGATTTATTTGCATGTTTGTTGCTACTTTTAACTTACTGTGCCTGCTGTGTCCAAGATCTCCAGCATGCATTGTTGTCCGTCCACCTCAACTTGCTAAAAGATAAAAAGAAGGGGAAAAAAAGGGAAAAAAAATAGGGTAAAATTTTGCATTCTGTACCTGTTAATAATCAAAAGATGTAAGCTGAACTGAGAACATAATAAACTTAAACTTCTATTATTTTGATGAAAAATGTCAAAATATATGCAAAATTTGCACATATTTCATTAAAGGTAAAGACCAGTTATGGTCATGCGATTGCATTGTGAAAGAAACGTTGTGGAATCGATCAGAAAAGGTTGATCATCTAGCATCTAGCATCTGCAAGGTTCTGGAATCATCAAAATGATAAGAAATTTGGCCCATTTTTCGTAAAGTTACAAGCACTATACACAGAAAGATGTATATGGGACTACCCTATATCCCTCACAGACCATGGAGAGAAACAAATTTACCAAATATATGAATTAGTAGGTGGTTTCCCAGCAAATTTTTTATCATCATGTATTAGTCAAAACATATTCTTTCACATGATTGGTAATGAGAGCTTCCATTTCATTTTTTGAAATTGGGGCGTTTCCAGTACTGGTCTTTACCTTTAAATAACTGATAACATCTAAATTGTTGTGATGAAATTAACCTGATAAAACCAGTATTGTGTTATCTGTTGAATCATTACTTCAAAATGAGGAATATGTGTATTCCTATTTCATTAAAAAAATGCACACCTCACTTCTAAACTCATTGACTATGGACTTCCCTCCATTCCATTAGCTTAAACCGGGAATGGGTTCAAATTTAACACAAAATTGATTTCAACCCCCCCCCTTCATTTCTTTTACTGATGATGTATGTGGGACATTTACCTTTATACTATGTACGTATATGTACAGTTAAAAACTGAATTATTCATACCCTTGTTGGTTTTTGTGTTTTTTGTAACTCATGAATGAAAGGTGAACCCACTGAATGAGGGCCTTTGTTGACATCTTGTACATGTAAGCTTTATTATGTAACATTATCAAGAAACATAAATCAATTTTTCACATACTTAAAAAGTTAAAAAATTGCAAAACTTGGTAAGGGCATGAATAATTTAGTTGCTAACTGTATGTATCTTGCTGCGCATAAAACACTGACATTATACTACTGTACAGGGTGTATGCATAAACACAAAATACTTGGAACATGTACCGGTAATACAAAAAAAGGTATTTAAAATTTTGAATCCACAGTTCATAGCACTGGGCCATTGGCGTCGATCCTTACATTTACCTATTGTTCAGGGGGGGGGATGAATGAATAGATCATCCCGATGAACGATAACACATTAATTAGTTGGTCCTTCCTGCTTTGTGACTGCTATACCCTTTTATAAATAAAGATTTATGAGTTTCCCCTTAAACTTCCTTCATCCCTCTCTCTTATCCTTTATATCCCTCTCCACTCTCTTGGCACTAGGGGAAGTTGCATCAATTATCCATTTCCTTTCTGTTCTATCCCCATTCTATGGTTCAACAAAGTGTTGAGATCCTTTCAGTGGAATACATGCCCTCATCTGAGATCAAAGCCTTGAATTATAACATTAACTCCACTCTGTTCTCAAGTAGTCTGGCTTCAAGGCAGAAATAATGTTTCTTATTTTCAGTGATAATGTGATGAGTATGGTGTACTATGGACTGTCTATTAACACAGCATGTACATGTACATTTAAGAAAGGTACATGTAGGCCCTATGATATGTGTATACAGAGAAAGGGGTTCATCTACTAAAAAAGGGGTAAAAAAGGGTAAAAAAAGGATCATTCAGCCTTAAATTCAAGCTAACTCTATGAAAGTGGCTTGATTGTATATGTACAAGTTACAACTGTTATCATTATTATTTGAAAAAGCCACAACAGTGTTTTCAATATGTACGAGTTCTGTCTACCTGCACGTTATCAATCATTACATGTATATGTATACATATTAGTGATTCAGATTCACCCACAAAACAGAATTGCATGATTGCAACATACATGTATTACAGCAACAAAATACATGTACAATGTAGACCCAGTGAAAAAATGCCAACATATGCATCCACATATCTGATACATATCAACTTTCTTTCCAACAACACATTTTATCCAAGTATCACATATCATTTCAGGGAAATCAATATGGTTTCATACATGCATATATGTAGACGGAAAGCACTCAAGTTTATCTTGAATTATAACTTCAACAACTTTACTTCCTTGGAAAAAATCACAAGAACCTGACTATCTTCCGTAATGAAATGGAACCACAAACCACTATGCATGCAGCAAAGGTCCTGCATTTGCTTTCACAGCTCTTATTGATAATTCAATACAGGTACCGGTATATTAAAATTAGAGATAAATTTCTTTAAAGGACAATGTTAAAAAGGAAGGAGAGAGAGAGAGAGAGAGAGAGAGAGAGAGGGAGCGATTCAACAGAATGAATATGTGTTTATATTATAAACACATTATAACCCTTTTGAAACTACACATTTTATTCAATAACTTTTTATTCCTCCACAATCACATTTGATATGAAACCAAATGTACAAGTACTTGTACTTCACAAACTCTAGTTTAGTTTTTACTCGTGGGTATTTTCACTTGATTAAAAATTCACACTCAAGTGCTAAAAGATAGCATCAAATTACATGTTCATCATTCTATCTTACAGTTTCAAAGTATTTTCAAGCAAAACCATTTGTTTAGACAAACACATTAAATTAAAGTACATGAATAATGAAGAAAGTCAGGTGTATGTATGATAACAATATATACAATTTGTATTATCTATTTATTTAATTACTACTTCTCACTTAAAATTAGAGGATATTGAAATGAATAATGGATTCCTCCAGGACCCACTGCAACCCTCATCATTTCATGAGAAGGCACCATGATGTATGGGTGTGGAGTAGGGGATTTCTCTTTTTTTTCCTTGGAATATCAATTCCATACTTGAACAGAAAGAAGAAAGTGTGCAATTGCTTACACTTGTATTTTCCACCCAGCCCCCTTCTCTTGTTTCTATTAATTTTTCCATTTATGGTTGTAGCCTTTCTTTGAAACATAGGCCTTAGAATAGTGGGACGGGGGAGGGGGGGGGGGGTCAAGTTAAATGACTTAAATCTAATAAGGCCCACCTAGTCGGACTATGCAATTTAAACTGAACATAAATCCATTGAAATTCATGTTCACTGTATAAAGCCCCTTTGTCCAATAAACATCACATACAATATATACATGTACATGTACATGTAGTTAGTAACAAAAAAAAAGAGGACTTTATCTATAAATTCAAAAGAAACAGAAATGCACAGTCAGAAGCCAGAGCTGACTGAGCTGAGAGAGCAGGTACATGGAAGTGCAAAATAAACGTAGATCTAAATACCAGCACAAGTACTACTAAGTGCCTAACCAGTAACAAGTAACAAAATATGCACATATGCCATATCCCTATATAAATGCGTACAATGGATACGTGCAGGCTTCCATATACCTGTACTAGGAAACACAAGCAGTACTTTAGCATATCCATGTCCAAGCACTTAGTACATGTATGTACAGTACATGTACATGTAGGCTAAATCCATGTAGGCCTACAATAATAACTTACATGCAATCATACTGTACATGTACGTAATTACATAACTGAAACATATTATGCTTTGGTGTATGTACATGTACAAATCAATGAAATATGAATAAATAGCTGTATGATGTGTGCACATACAGTACAACTGTACATGGAGAAAAACATTCATTGCATATGTAGATAGCAGTACACATGCATGGAGGCTTTTCTATGAAAGTTGTAATCTTCCCAATACAGGGTGTATGAAGTAGCACATGTATAATCAAAGTGAAAATGAAAAATACCACCTTATACAATACATGTATGAGTTCAGGAGAAAGGAGAAGACCTAGGGCGCGTTCATGCTTGATTTTGACGGCCAGAATCAGGCATCTGTTACGCGTTTAGTTTAAAACACGCTTGCGTTCATGCTCACTTTTGTAGAATCACCGAAAAACGGCGATCACGATCGCCGATCGTAAACTCACAAAAAGATGCGTTTACAATTTGTAAACGCGTTTAAATGGGGTCAACGCACTGACCTCTAGTGGGTCTACGTAGCATGCACAGTGAAGGTTTGCGAATCTAGCTGGAAGACCAATTAAGGCCACACACGCAGAATTGCCTGGGGAGCCAGAGAAGTAAGCATGAACACTACATCGTGGAACTGCGATCACGATGAGCGTTTACGATGAGCGTTTCAGATCGCTCATTCTGCCTTCAAAATTTAAGCATGAACGCAGCCCTAGTCAAGTATTTTTCTTGCAGACAAAGCTCAAGTATTTCAGGCATGTGGGGTGGGCTGACCCATAGAGCAATTATTCTGAGTCACACACAAGATGCTATGGCACCAACAACACAACACTCTGACTATTAAATGTCTTGGTCAAGAAAGGCTAAGATATGTTTCAATCACAACTTTAATTCTGAAATTATATCTATATTGCTCCACTAAAGGCACTGAATGAATAAAAAGTACATGTACTGTACATTATTGTTTTCTAGACAAAAAGACAGATTCTGATGGTGTTTTGGTCCAGAAAGACTACAGGTAAATTATGAAAATGACAATGCTTTGAACACCGAATTAAACTAACAATGTACATGTACATGAGCATTGTTTCTGGACAAAGAGACTCTCAGATTTTGACGAAGCAATGTCGCACTTGTTTGACCTAAATGTGTATGCATCATTGCTATCACTTTCGCATGATTAATTACACAGCATGTTACGAGACACACACACACATCCCCAGTGTTGTGTTGTAGTACGCATTTCAATTTGGATAAGTACCGCATGCAAGAATTTTGTGATAACAAACTAATTGAAGTGTATCAACTACGTTAGACAGACTACAAAGAATACTGAGTAAAAATATAAAACACATTAATTACACAGGCGAATAAACAGTAAAAAGAACATCTACTGTTGGAAATTTACATGAAAATTACCAGTGTAA